GTTTGTTTAGCAACGCTCTGTTCCGATATCTGCAACATATTTTCAATGTAATTTTGGTTTTCACAGGTGATTATGAAATTATGATTGTAAAATTTCAAACAAGGTCAAATATCATTTTGCTAATATCGTAATGTGTTGCCCGGTCACCCGACGTTGCAAGTTATATTTTATGCTGTTAATATAGTCGGTGTCTGGAAAATTATATAAGCGAGTAGATTTACGGGCAATTGCTTTTTGGCATGGTATAGTCACAAGTAAGCTTTTTGTTATTTACCGGTTTTTAGTATATTTTTGATACAATTTTTGCCATTCCACATTAATAACTTTGCAATTATATATCTATTTTATTCTTTTTTTCCTTATCTATTTTCAAAGATAAAATGGGAAAACGTTCAAAGAAGGCAAACAATTTTTATCACACTAAATGCGTTGCCTTCAAGAAAAAATTATTATAAAACTTGAAAATTTGGTTTTTTTCATGCAAGTTCATGAAAAGTTAAATAAAATATAATACAATAACATATTCAGTTCGTATTTTTTCGACCTTGCTGGAAATTGTCTTTCTTTTAATTATTTGAGCTTTTGATCAAATAAGTAGGCTTTTCTTAAATAGAACTCAATTTGGAAAAATAATATGGTTGCCATAACAGTGCAATAACGCAGTATTAGAAAATTGATATTTTTTAGACTGCCCAAATTAGCAGTCAGACAGTTGAAACTGGTTTGGAAAACGAATTTAAATTAAACAATTACCAGTAATATTTATTTTTCAATTTCGATGTTTTTGGTTCACATGACTCGCTATTTGAACTCAAGAAAACGATATCACAGACAAAATTGATCAATGTTTTAGACAATACAAATAATCCTATTTCATCAGTATTTCTTTTGATTATCAAAAATATGAAAGACGAGACGTTTTAAAGATTGCCCTCAACAATTGCTCTCTAATGTGTTTCACATACCACGACATTTTCAGTTTTTTGATCTTCCCAACTATATTCCTAAAAAAAACCACGTTTGAATCAATGTTGCAAAATGAAGACACTCGTGTGGCTGGCGTTTGTTCTTCCCTTCAAACGCAGAAGTAACATTCCAAATGCGTGTTCCTTTACAACGGTTAATTGGCAGAATAGATGTGACCAAATTAGAAAAAAAACAGCGACGTTTTCCGCAGTGCCAATTTTGGAAGCTGAGAAATGTGATGAGAAGAAAAATCTGTGGATGATAATACCAATTCACAAATTGGGCAATAGATTTGAAGAAAGGGACTATATCTGGCGCCACGAATAATAAACCGCCTAGCAATCTCTATTCGATTGTTGTCTTTTAAAGGCAACAATCGAATAGACTCACATTGACTGCGAGAAGACAATGCAGACCTGTGCCTTAATTAACAATATTTTTGTGAATATTTATTGAAGTGCTCTATTCTGCACTCCTTATTAGGCAAATTAACAACCAATCAATTTTGGATTTAATCCAACACATTTTCTTATATGATTTTTGATCTTCCGGCACGCTATTCTTTCCAATAAACACATATATAATCCAATTGTGCAAATCAGATTAGCAATATATCTTCCAGATCAACCAAGTTTCTGGTCGTTTTTTGTTCTAAGTCACCTCCGTTGATCGAGTCAAAGATTCCTCATAGGATAATTTTTCGTAAATAAAAAGATTGTTTACTCTTTTTATAGACAAAGCTGACACACTTCCGAGTACATATCCATTTTTCAATCTTTGTATTTTTATTAGCTTTCTGAACTATGATACATTATAGGAATAAACACACTTTTTGAATTCTCATTTTTCAAATTCGCGCAAAATACAAGGTTGCTGAACAACCTGCCAAATCCGCAACTGGTTTTTGATTGCCTTTTTTTAGTTTCAAGTTAATGTATACTTTGATGGTTCTCTTTTTATTCTCAAGTTGTTTATCCCTATTAGTTAACTGACGCGCATAGAGTTTTCTTTCAGAAACAAGAAAAATGAGTGTGCACTTGAATTGAGCTATTCTAAATCCCTCAAGTATTGCGAGTTAGTAGAAAATCCGATTTGAGTGCGTACATGTTTGACTTGGATTCAGTCATTGTTCGCCAATGCTCTGATTAAATTTGATATATGTTTCAAGGCATTTCAAGGCAGTTGCTTTCGTTAAATTTACTGTTATTCGGTGAACGACAAATTTTTCTAAATAAATTTAAAATAGCCCGAGAGTAATTTTTAATATCGAAAATAAAAAAAATGATATGTTAATTTCTTCGAATGCTTTTTCGAAGTTGTGCATATAATTTAAAAAGTACATCTTAATCTTTTTATGCAATATCTGTTAACCTCAATATTAAGTTATTCGTTTCACTTTTCGTTTTTCCCTAAAATTTTGAAAGCAGCTTGAGGCAGACCAACACATACGACACCAAAAACCTTTTTTTCTTTCGAGAAATCCCCAGATGTGTCGTTTCCGTCGCGCCATTTTTTTTTCTCGTCAAGCTTATCTGCTTCGCGTTGGTTGGTTCCAACGCTTCGATTTTTCTGCTCCAAAGGGTCCTCTAAGCAGAAAGCGACGCAGCCGCGCGCGTGTGTTGTTAGCTTGCATTGTTGAACTCAAAGGCATAAAATGAGGGTGGGTGCACCCGTCCGTCGTTTTTTTTCTTCGCATTGCTCTCCATTCCTCCCACACCTTATCGCACGTCTCTCTAGCTGCGGCTGCTGATGCTGTTGATGGTGCGGCAGCATTTCTGCTCATTGCTACCTCGTCTTCATTCGACTCCTCGTCGTTTTTCTCTCAATTTTGAAGCGAGTGTTGTTCCCACCGAATCGCCAATGTCTCGACGCTCCGCGTGTTGGTCATTGCATTCCGCGTTTGTTTCTCTACCATTTCTCTGCGTCTCATTGAATGGCTTCCGCAGTCAATGTCGCCCCATATCGCAGTCTCTCATCTGAAAGAACCCCTCCTTCGTCTTCGCACCCCTTTCACTCTCTCAGCGTTCTGCAGTATTTCGCTAACACGAATGATCTCTGCGAATATCGTTCTCCATCACTATTGGTTAGAACCCCTGCGTTTCTCGTCAAGTTGCATAATTTTTGACTCTCCTTGGTCTAAACGTCTCATTCGATTCCGCAGGTTTCTTTTCAATGTCATTACAGTATATTGCGTGCTATCTCCAAAATTCACACGATCTTTGTTTGAACACTCCTCTCATACTTTCATTTTCCCATTCCCCATCTCCTTTTGGTTATCATTATAAATACCAATCAAATGTTGCCATTTCTCTCCGCTTTAAACAATGTTGACTGCAAATGCGAAATAAAAAGCGAAACATTCCGCTAAAAATGGCAAAAAAAAATCATGTGAAATGACGCAAAGTGAAGAGAAATGGGAACAATTGTTGCCATTTGAGATGGAACAAAACACATACGTTGAAATGTTTTTGAAATTTTCATTCTTATCATTAGGCAAATTTTAAATTGAATGACCATCCTGTTCATGACGTAGTTAATCGGTGGAGAAATCAGTAGAAAAAATTGATAAACAAAAGTGTCTTTGCTTCTTGGCTCAAATACGAACGTGGAGTGCGAGTAAAAATCGAATGTATTTACTTTGACGTTTTTCACGCTGACACTTCCAATGATTTCTTGTTTACAAACCGACGACAACTTTTACTCTTGAACATTATTACACCGAGAAAGGTCTTCTGTAGTTTGAATGAGATTTCCATCTTTGGTTTGTTAATAAATCTGTCTTTGTAGGTTGATGTTGACATTTTTACTGTTGAAAACCAGGATTGATGTCTCGTCGAAGTCTAACAGATAGGTCTTTGATAGTTCATTTGAAATCGAAAGTAAACATTTTTCGTCCTCGTCGTCTAATTTTTAATGATCACATTTCATTCCTGTTTAACATGAGAATGATAAATAGGGAAAAGAACAATGATTGGTACTGTGAACAGATTATGCCCAAATATATTATCAAGGAACTAATAATTATTTTTAATAATTAATTGAAATATGCTCCAGAGCATAAACAAAAGGTCCATAGGACTGTTGCCGTTTTCTAATGCCAACATGCATATATTCCCGAACCTATTGATTTTGACGCAAAAAACCAATGATAATATTTAATGTCCATTGAAAAAAAAAATGACGATTTTTTCAGTAAAGAGAAATATTTTTTTGTAATTGTTTTGCTTTAAATCAAATAATTCCAAGACAATCTTAAATGGGTCGAACATTTTTATAATTCGGGGGGATTTTCGTTTATAAAATACGCACACACACACACACACAGACGCTCATGCATGCATTCCTATTCACTGCTTTCTCATCACATTTAGAAGAAAATGGAGAGTAAGGAGAAAATACATGTCGTCCTTTTTCTCTCCCTCCAAGGTTTGCTCGAACCTATAGGTTTGAATGATTTTGGCCGCGGATGCGGTTGTCCTCAAAAAGTTTCCATTTGCACGCCATGTGTCGTTCACGTGATATTTTCGCAGTTTTTTTCTCCACATCCTTCGTTCGACACCTCACCTCGTCGTTGCTACTTGTCGAGGCACTATCTTAGGCCTCTCTGCATTTCGTGCAGAATTATCGCCGAGTTCTTCGTGCCCATAAATTTTTCCTCATGAACTTTTCGCTTCTCATATCTTGCTTGTTTTTCTAGTTTTGTTTCTGCGGTTTCCTCTTGTCGAAAGTTCAAATAACACATTTTTAGAAATTTGGTTCCCTGAATAATGAAAACTAGATTTGTACTAGGATTATATCAGACAATTATTTGATAAATTAAAATCTAGACAGCTGAAAAATTAACCGATTAGAATTTTCCCACACCCACACTAAATAGGAATATAATGACAACTATCAAAACGTACAGCTGAATTTGCGATATATGTCATTTAGTGATCATTTTAAATTTATGGTTTATGAATAAAAATTCTTATTCGATGAGAGTTTTTTTTTACACATGTAATCGTCAATTATTTGTAGGTGATACACCGCCAATGGCCTTTGTTTCGGGAGGAAATGGCGGAATTCCTCCTGGTCAGGGACCAGCACCTTCGGGATCATCGGAGCCGGCAATACCAATCACCAATCAACAGTATCTGGTAAGTTATTTTACCGCGGTTTGCAACTGAAACGTGATAAAATAATCGGAATGTTGTTTTGGAGAAAAAGGTCAAGATTTTTATTTGTAGAATGTTTAACAATCTCTATATTTGAAATAAATCCCTCTATCTCGGTTGTTTACAACTGTTTTTGGTCATTTATTTCTTTTTCAGTAACGCAATTATGTTTCTTTTGCAAAGATCGGATGTAAAAGCCTCAGTTCCACATATGTTTTGGTGTTTAATCAGACCGAACTTTAGAGAGTGACGTGCGCCCATGTTGTCATGTGACACAATGATATTTTCTTCTTTTGCTTCTATTTTTTCATTTCCTTCGATTTTAGTCCAGCGGCCCTCGTCTTTTTTTTTTATTATCGTTTCTTGGCGTCTTGTTAAGACTCTTGAGCAATGCTCTTGCTCTCTGTGTACTCTATTTTAATATTTTTCACAATGCCTCATTGCGTTCAATGACGTAGTGGCGCCACACAAACTGCAAAATTTGAGACGCTCTAAGATACGCGCGAATATAGAAAGAATGATGAGAACAACACATAAATGTTTAGATTGAACATCGGAAACTGAAGAAATAGAACAGGCGGAATATGTTGCAAAAATTATAAATTATGAAAGAAAACCTGTTTCATTGAAATATCTCTCTCAGATACTTCATAAATTAAATCGTTTCGAAAAATGTACCGACCACCTATTTTATCATTTTTTTTTCATTTTATGGAACAGCTATCAATCACTTGTCATTAGGGTTTTTGATGAAAAATATTGTCATTCATTCAAAAGGTACAAATGATTAATGATGTGATAAACGCTCGCGCAATGATTTATGGCTCGTTTTGACACTTTTAATATGTCATTTATTGAAGAACAATCTTGACGCCGTTGAAATAAATAGACAGTTTTTTCATTGCAGGAACTGATAATTCAACAACAGTTACTCCAACAGCAGCAACAACAGCAGCAACAACAGCAGCAACAACAGCATCAACAACAGCATCAACAACAGCATCAACAGCAACAACAGAATCGAGATCATCACGAAGTTCAGGCACAGGTAGCAGCGCAACAAAGACAGCAACAACAACAACAACAACATCTGCAGCAGCAACAACAACTGCAGCAACAGCAGCAACTTCAGCAACAACAACAACAACAGTTCAGTCAAATTCAAGCACTTGCTAATGGTAATCCACAAGGTAGCCCAGTAATTAAAGTAAAAATTACATAATACCTTTAATTTAGCAACGGCATTACTGATGAACTCGCAATTATTGCAAGCAGTACAACCACAGCCCGGTCAGAACCTCACTGCGCAGCAACAGCAGCAACAGTTGTTGAATGCACTTCTTATTCAAACTATGATGCAGCAACAGCAACCAACGTCACAGCAGCAAGTGATTACACAGCAAGCTCCAGCGATTGCGATTCAACTACAGCAGCAAACGCAGCCAATTCCCCAACCAACGCCGACTCCTATGATAGCATCGCCGACGCCAAATCAAAATAATGCGTTGATGTACTATCAATTGCTTCAGCTACAACAAGCTCACGCTCAAGCACAAGCGCAGGCTGCAGTGCAAGCCGCTCAGCAACATCAAAATCAACAAAGTATTCTGCATGTTTTCCAACAACAGGTAAAGCCTTGCATTGATTTCAGTGCGTATGTGACTTTTTTTAGTTGGCTGCTCAAAATCAACAGCAGGGGTTGATTGCGGCTTCTTCAGCTTCTACTCCTGGAATTCCACAAATCTTGCAAGCTGTAGCGTCAGGAGCAAGCATTGAATCTCAAATGAATGCCCAGGAAAAGCTCATGCAAGCAATCGCAGAGCAGCAACAACAACAACAACAATTAGCTGCTCAAGCTGCGCAACAGTTGCAGCTGCGTGAAATTCAGTTACTTCAAGAAAGAGCTGCCGCAGCTTCAGTGTTAACACAAGTTGCTCCAGTGGCACCAACACCAGTTCCTCAACAAACTGGAAGCCTAACAACAGGCCAGCCAATTGGATCTGCGCGTTCAAATGATGCGCGAGTGGCAGCTTATAGTTTATCACAAGGCGTATCTGCACCAGCTGGAATAATTCCAAGTATGACGCCATCAGCGACGAAGCAGCAGGTAGCGGCAGCGGCAGTAGCAGCGACGGCAACAGCGGCGGCAGCGGCAGCAGCAGCAGCAGCGGCAGCTGCTGCAGGAGCTTCAAATTCCGGTGGGAATGAGTCAATCCACGAGCATATAAGTAGGATAATATCGGAAAATGAAGTGATCTTACAGGGTGATCCGGTAGGAAAATACTGACCAGATCCCAGTGTTTTTAAACAAGTTTATTTTTACTGTAGGTTATTCGAAAGAAAAGACCGTATCACCGGCAAGTAGGTGCGCAATCCTCTATAGATCACGACAGTAACAGTGGTGGTGAGTTGTGATTGTGGTTGTATTCCTTTAAAATGCACTGAACTTCTAATTCTCATGTCGTATACTCTCAAAAAAAAAACTCTTCTTGCTATCATTTAATTTTAAATATTCCCGTGTATAGCATGACCAGATTTCTAGCTTGTCTGTAATGATATATAGATAAGTTTACATATTTGATAGATATACAAATTATATATTGTTAATCCCTGAAATGACGGAATAATCTCAGTTGTCGGTTTCTGTTCAAGAAGAGTGTGCATTGCAATTTTAGAAGTAAACATGAAATTACTTTGGATACACCCTAATACACCAACAACATCACCATCAGTGTTCTACGTGGTCGGAAGTTTGCATAGAATAGTTTTTTTTTGTTATAATTTTAATAATTTATTGCACCGCTGTAGTAAATTGTGCACTAGACACGCTTTGTTTATGTTCGAAATAAGTTAGTTTCGAGTATTCCTACGCTCTCTGTAATAGTCATGAACCTAGTTCGGTACATACATCAAAGCCACGTTATTGTCGCGAAATAATCCATTTTTCACAAAAATATTTAAAAATGCAAGAAACACTGGTAACCTACATATCTAACATTAAAATAAATCGACAGCTTGAAGTTGAATAATATCATTATTTCTGGGATTCGCAATAACATACACCGCTAATCATAATCATTTTTTTTATTTTTGCAGGATCAACACGAACATCTCCTGGTCCGAAAGACAATCGAATGCTACAAGCAGCTAGTAGGAGCCAAAGCTTGTTTGAAATGACTGGAAATCGCAACTTTCTCGGAAGTTTAACCACTGGCCAGCCGATTCGTCAAGTTCCTCCGACACCTGAATGCGGATATTGTCGTTTGGCATTCCCAAATGAAGTCGGACTGCAAGCTCATGAGCCGTTTTGTGTGAAAAGAAAGGATTTTGAAAAAGTAGTTCATTAATACATGTACTAAAACAAAATGAATCGCCACATTATCAGGTAAAAGCGGAACCACAGACAACTGGAGCGTCGGCAGTGCTCGTATCTTCAGCTGAAGGAAGTACTGATGTGCCATCGGAAGCTTCGATTGTAGTTGACTCGCAGAACCGACATAATTTGAAGCGAAAAATCGCTTCCGCAGTCGTGCCGGATTCAGCAGTATCGACGTCACAATTGCAGTCTTCAACAATTTCTTCTGCAACTTCGTCATATGAACCGGTGGCAAAGCAAAGAAAAGAAGAAGTCGCTCAAGAACAGTCGGTTTTTGAGGAGAGGAAGACTGAACAGGGGTTTGTAAGAAGGTGATTCGCGCAATATATAGCAGATCAACAAAAATGTTTCTTCAGACAACCTACCAACTCGTTACAAAATGACTCCTTGGCTGGTCAGCCTTCCGCAGCATCCTCCAATACACCAGCCGCCGCACCAGAAGTACAACTTCAGTTGCCTCAAGGTGCACAAGCAGCAACGGTAATGCAAAAACTTCTAGACAAAAAAGAAAACAAACTCTTGCAGTCGAATGCTGTTCTCATGCAGCTCCTAAAAATTGGAAGTGGGGCCATTACCAGCGCTGAACTTGCGAGCTTATCTGCGGAAGCAAATGTTCCGCCTCAATTTCTTATCCAATTCGGGCAGCAGTTACATAATATGATGTTGCAACAGCAACAACAGCGCCAACCACAGGGTCCACATCAGCAGGGACAAATCCTTATTACCGAAGAGCAGCAAAATCAATTGATTCAACAGCAGCAGCAATTGCTACTGCAACAAGAGCAACGACGTCTGCAACAGTTACAGCAAGAGCAGCAGCGCCAACAGCAATTACAACTGGAGCAGCAACGCCAACAGCAGTTGCAGCAAGAGCAGCAACGTCAACAACAACTGCAGCAAGAACAGCAACGCCAACAAAAGGTGCAGCAACAGCGTTTGCAACATCATCAGCAACTTCAACAACAACAGATACAGCAGCATCGACAACAACAGTTGCAACAACAGCAAATGCAACAGCACCAATTGCAGCAGCAGCAGTTGCAACAGCAGAAATTACATCAACAGCAAGTGCAGCAGCAACAGTTGCAGCAGCAGCAGCAATTGCAGAAACAGCTTCAGCAGCATCAGTTATCCACGTCCCAGGTTCCCGTTCAAGCGCAGACTCAACAACTTTTGCGAGATCAACACCAGCAACAGCATTTCCTACAGCAACAACAACAACTACTTCAGCTTCAAGCACAAGCACAAGCGCAATTACAAAACCAATCGAAGGCTCATAATGATATTCAAGTCGTCAAGGCCATTAGTCAAAACACAAACGCAGTTAATGTAGTTAGTGCTGCTCAAATGGCTCATCTTCAATCCCATGCACTCATGAGCCATGCTCAACTTTCTGGAAATCATATTGCTGGAGCTCCATTGCCTCATGTCTTAAAAGCAGACATTCCTCCCACTTCATTATTTGTGCAACCACCTGCGAGCATGGAAAGGATTTCCATATCACCAACCATTTCTCATCATTTGCTGAGACCAAGAGGGGTAACTAAATATTATATTTCTGAAATATGCAAATATTTCTTCAAATTTCAGGAAGGGTTGTCCAATGAAGATTTGCCTCCATTGACAGGACATGTTGATGGCCCGTATTATTTAGTGCTGTTTAATGAAATTGGAGCAAGACCGTCCTTCATGGGAACAGATTGTTCTGGTTCCAGACGATCCCGCGGTAGAAACATTACGTCAGAAACGTACGTGAGCATGCATAGAGCTCAACCGATGTTCGTTGAACAGAAGGGCAATTTATCGATGTATTCCAATTGGCAGCAGGTATGTTTAAGTAGTGTAATTTGTATTTAGTTGTCATCCTCGTATTTCAGATACAAATCAATGAGGCTGAAGCAAAGATGAATCTATTGTTTATGGGAATGTGCTCAACGAAGCCTCGTACTGGTGTCAAGCCGTTTTGGCGATACACAGTTGCTAATCGTGATCAAGGCCAATATAGAATGACCCATTCATCATTCTGGGATATCAGCTCCAAAATGCGAGTCCGCCAGGTTTCAATGAATGAGGAACGAAGTGACGAGGAAAGAGACGCCGCGTTTATTGAGCGTTTGATTGGAGGTGTATCACTTCCTCTTGGAAGAGTTTCGCTCCCAAATGTAGTAGTTTCGCAGTCTCTAGCAGAACTTTCGCAACACCTGGGAGTACCCGCTCAATCGCTAGGAGATATATCGCATCAGTTCACAGGATCTCAACTACTTCCGGAATTATCTTCCCAGCTTCATGAACCATCCCAGCAGCTTCCAGGACCATCACCAAAGATTCCGAAACTGTGTCATCAGCTCCCTGAATCGTCAAGTCAGATTCCCGGACCGTCCCAACAATTTGCAGAAGCAGCCCAGCAGCTTCCAGGACCGTCCCATCAGCAACAAGGATCGTCTCATCAATTTGTAGGATCGGCTTTTCATCCAACAGACGCATCAAGGACATTGGTGTTTCCAATTAAAACTGAGCTTGATACAACACTAATGGGTTATGGCGGAATGAAATCTCCACTTCCTTCTGATTCGTTCCAGCCAAAAACGGAAATCAAGGAGGAATGCGATCTTTTTATTGACGTAGAGTCCACTTCCAACTCAACTCCTTGGTATTTAGTTGTTCCTTTTATTTTTGGTTTCATAGATACTTTTAGTGACCCACCTATTCAAGCAGGTGCTGCTGTCAAGTTTGGAACAATTGCAGAGCCAAAGTTAACAGATGATGAGCATCCAATGTAAGTTTTCGAGTTATAAGCAGTTGAAAAAAGAAAAGTACAACAAGAAAGAAACGAGAAGCTCCTATCTCTCTGCACCCAACCCGCATGCTCACTATAACCTTAGTCTTAACGATAAGCACGCATAAAATGTTTTGTTTTCAGTGTGCCGAAAGAAAGCTATAATTTTGAAAATCAGAATTTTATGAAATCCAATAAGGAAAAACGTAAAGTTCTTCGTCCAAGGCACGAACAAATAATAGGCGGACATCGAACAGACGAGGTGTACGTGTACGTGCGTGGTCGCGGACGCGGGCGATATGTGTGCGATCGTTGTGGTATTCGGTGTAAAAAACCGAGTATGCTCAAAAAACATTTAAAGTATCAATGATTTTAAACAGATGAAATTAACAGTTGCGATGTTTTTAGATCGCATACAGACGTCCGCCCCTTCAAGTGCAAACAGTGCAATTTCTCTTTCAAAACTAAAGGCAATCTCACGAAGCATTTGAGCTCGAAAGGACATATTCGTCGCATGAACAATAGTAAGATATTCCTGATTAACATTTTGAAAAATCCGCTAATGATTTCAGGTGACCGTGAGCATGAGGACAGTATTCTAGATGCTGTTTTCAATAGCAAAAAGGCTGTTGCTGCCTTTGACGAAATGGATGCTAAGTATGCACATATGCCCGCCAACAATTCTAAATGGTTATTTTACAGCTCTTCCGACGACGAAGGAGACGTTCATTTACAACCTGAGCATGTGTACAAATTTGGACAGGAACATATTCTCATGGAACGTACCGCACATACCCCTCCAACGAGATGGATGTTGGTTGCTGACGCCAATCCAAATCTCTCTTGGCCACCACCAGAAGACATTCAACGTAACTGCTCAAGTGCACCGCCGTCCGCTATTACTCGCGAAGAAGAAGAGAAACGTGAGTTATATTTGAATTTAATCTAGCTTTGAATTTGAATCAGATTTCGTTTTAGCTGCTGTCCCGGTTTCAACTACAACAGCGCCTCCGGTCGTCTCTAATGACTCGCCTAATTCATCTGCTAATATCTCGCAGTTGCACCTGTCATCAAGCAGTTCCAGCGGACAGGTAAACTATTTTCATAATGCATTTGCCAATTGCCGCTAAATCATTGATTTTTTTTGTAGACGTTCAAAGCAATTAACCAATCGCAAGTGCAAACCGTTCCTTTGGACAATTTCCTCGGAAAAGACGTACAATCGCTAATTTAATTTTCCGATGATTTAAACATTTAGGAGAACCTCAAATGTGACCAGTGTGATAGAACGTTTAGAAAACTTTCGGATTTGAATCTTCATCAACACACTCATAACATTGAAAAGCAGCAGAGCAAAAATAGAATGTATCAGGTTAGTTACTTTTATTGACGGCATGAATTTACGCACCTCACCACAATTTACTATTATGGGTATTGTTTGCTTTCTTACTATTTTTATTGTCATAATCTCTTGTATCCTTACTTGCTCAACATCATTCTGTTTTTTCATAATTATACATCATGTCATTCAGTGCTCTGAGTGTCGAATTCCTCTTCGCACCAAAGCTCTTCTTGCTAAGCACATGGAAACTATCCACGGAATTCATGTAAGAAAACAATTTTTGTTACTAACCCTTCCTATTCGCCAGTGCGGTTCGGTGTTAGCTTTGAATTCACTTTCGCGCACACACGTCGGACACTAAATAAGGTTCACAAATGATCAATACTACTAGCGTTGTCGATACGGTCTGTGTGAAACTAAAACTATGTGTTACTTGTGGCAAATAGATCGATGATAATCATGCCAAACATACATAAACACCTTGAAACCAAAATTTTACTGTGCACCAACGGTAGACGAACGTATTTAAGTTCGACGTGAAAGAGAAACTCCGATAGCACTAGGTGAATACCAACATACCTTTCGTAACAATCTATCTGATGACGGTCCATCATATTTTCTAGATGGACGAATCGGTCCAGGCAAGCATCGATCCTTCAGCTACCACACAGTCGGTACTTGGTGGTGGGCAAAGTGCCCTGATCAACAATCCGCGATCGTTTGTGTGCATTGATTGCAACATCGGTTTTAGAAAGCATGGCATTTTAGCGAAACACTTAAGGTTTTGATTTCGATGACCCGAATAGCTAAATTTTGATACTAATTGGTGCCATATTTGTAGATCAAAAACACACGTGATGAAGCTTGAAACGCTGAAACGTATTCCGGAGGATAGTTTGTCCATGCTCACCAAAAAGGATAATGGTGCTTGCTTGAATGAAATTGATACTACCAATTGCGAGCGTGCTTTGCTTTCGCTTTTGAGTAAGAGTTTGTACGCGAACATGGCCAACAAACATCTCGGTTTTCAGCGATAGTTGAACAGGTTCGCAAAGAAAACCTGGCGGCTGGCGAAACTTCTGCTGTTAGTGTTGTTGGTAGTGTGGGCAATGTTGTTGACATCACTAATTCCTTTCATTTGTCAAATTCAAGCAATCGACTGTTGACATCTATCGTCATGTCCACAGCTCACCAAGCTCCCACGACGATGGGCCTTTTTAGTCCACCGGTGAGTACTATAGTGTCGAGCTGTGAAAGTAGTAACGTGTCTTGCGTTAGCAGCTTCAACAATTTTCCTCCGCCGCTTTCGCATCCGAACGAGCCGCATGGCATGCTTCCCAACAAAACGGCTCCATCACTTATAAGCAAAGTTTCGGGAGTGTTCCAACCACGCGATCCGAACGAAAGCCAACAAATTGAACAACTATCTATTGAAATACCGGTTTCCTGAGCAAAACAATTTACAAATTAATCTCGTAAGTTGGTCATAACGCTTTCCGCTTTAGCCGTTTGATTTTTTAATTTCCTCTCTGTTTTCATGTTATCCTCACTAAATGTTTCTCAAACCTTCTTAACCTCATGCCTGTCACCGATTGAGCACGTTACCCTCCTGTATATTATTTTGAATAAAACAAATATTTCAGAAAAAAGAACCGCTGTCTCCCCAACAAAGAAAAGAACTGCCATTGACTCAACAAAAAAAAGAACAATTCTTGTCTCACCAGCCGCCGGTTCATCAGCGACGAGAGCAGCCATCGACTCAGCAACGACGAGAGCAGTCGTCGTCTCAACACCGACGAGAGCAGTCGTCGTCTCAGCAGAGGCGAGAGCAGTCGTCGTCTCAGCAGAGGCGAGAGCAGTCGTCGTCTCAGCAGAGGCAAGAGCAATCGGCAGGCCAACACAGAAGGGATCTGCCAATTTCGCAGCAGAGGAGAGAGCAACCAACTCCGTCGCACAGAAGAGACCAACCACCGCCGCAGACGAAAAGGGAACATTCATCGTCCCAACAGAAAAGAGAGTATGCATCGACCCAATTGCGAAGAGAACATGGTGGTCCCCATCTGAAAAGGGAGCATTCGCCTCCCCAACAGATACGAGAGCCTCAATCACCTACGCCAAAAAGGGAATATCAGTTGCCTCAGCACAGAAGGGATCAGCCATTGATTCAGCACAGAAGGGAGCAACCAGTTATCCAACAATACAGAAGGGATCAAATTTTGGTTCAGCCGAAGAGAGAGCAGTCGTCTGTGCCAGTCAAAAGAGATCAATCAACAGAGCAGCACAGAAGGGAACAACTCACTGCTCAAATAAGAAGAGAGCAACCGAGTTCTCAATACAGAAGAGAAGATTCGAGCACTCAGCACCGCAGGGAAAATACGAATGCTCAGCATCGAAGGGAGGAATCAAATGCTCAACAACGCCGAGATCAGCCTTTAGTCCAGCAGAGAAGGGTACAATCGGTTGTTCAGTACAGCAAGGAACAACCAGTGATTCAGCATAGAAGAGAGCAACCAGCTATTCAGTATGGGCGAGAGCATCAACAACAGTTATCTCAAGAAAAAGATGAGCAACTATTCCCCCAGTATTTGCCACAACAAGAAATCAAAAAAGTGACACCAGTAAGCCGCGATAGGTATTTCGAAAGTATATGAAAAATTTCAAAATATAATTTTCAGGAATGAACCATCATCAAGCTCATCTTCGAGACCAAGTGAATCTGGTCCTCCACAACCGCCACATCGCGTTGCAGCCTATGCTAAAATGGATATGCGGGCCCAACAAGAGCTATTTGTAAGTTTTTTCACTGAAAATTATCATACACAAAATTTGAACGAGAATATGAAAAATTTATATAACTTTTTGGAAATGTGAAACTTTCCTGTAAAATTTCCTTAATTAAAAAATGGACGTCACAATGTTGTTGATTGTTTCCAGCATGATATCTTTAAAATTCGTTTAGAAGAATGATTAAATTGTTGTGTGGGCGTTTTGCTGCAATATTCTTCTATATAAATCCAGCTGCATGAAGAAATAGTATCGCTGGTGAAACGTTTCATCATTCATTCATGCACAATTCTCAGATCAAAACCATGCAATCAAAATCAGTGCCAGACGCAACATTTTGCAACATATGTCAACTTGATTTTGAAACCCCTTTAAAACTTCAGGTTTGAATAGTACCTGTTTGTGTTATCCCACTTTAATGTTCGTATCTTGTTAGGTTCACTTGCATGTTGACCATATTCGCATGATGGATGGTAGTGAACACAAGTGTCCTCGCAAAAACTGCGACAAGGTACTTCCATGTAAAGTGAGTCTTCGTCGGCACGTTACCGCTCATTACCTGACCGAACAGCGAGAGAAAGGTAAAATCAATGTGTGTGATGTCCATCTATTTGCTCGAAATTCAGGCCGGAGGGAGGAAGAAATCATTGCGGAAACGTTGTTTTATCGCAGAAATCCTAAAAAGGATGCTCAAGGTGCAAACAAGGCCCCTGTGACTAAAAGCCAAATAATGCAAGAGGTATGCTGCATGATGAAAAGTTGTTATTATGTTTCCAATCTGTTACTTCTCCTTCCCTATTTTGCCTGATGAATATGAATGAAAAGTCAAATTAAAAATTTAGCAAAAATATTGAGCAAAATTATGCAGATGCTTTAGTAAATTATACTAATATTATGATACTGATTTTGCAGGCATATGAAAAACGCGACAAGTCGGATAATCAGAAACACTAGTTTTGCAGCTTGTTTGTGGAATTTTATTGATATATTGTTGTCGTCTATTTTTTTATTATTTTTAATCTGATTTGCACTCGTATTTTTATATATCAATGTTATTACTATTTAAACCGTATTGATCATCAGCATTAACTTCCTCATGCCGAATGCTTTATCGTTCGTTTTGCAATCGACTAGTATTGATTTCACAAAATATTTATTTTTCAACTTATTTCTGTATTTCCCTACTTCTTTCCGCCATTGTGCTTGATTGTTTTCATTATTTTTCCTCACTTTCTAGTTTCAGTCACCCATTCCGCCCGGGTTTTCATTTTTAATAATTTAGACATTCTGTTCTTTCCTATGATCTTGTTTGTTGATGTTCTATGTTTCTCAAAATCCAATCATTGTCAACAATCTATGTGAATTTAATTTCATTTTTTGTTATTAGTCAATTTGGCATGTGTTATACATCTGTATTTTGATACCAGCGGAAATTTCTCTCCCGATTTCAACATTAATACTATTTTCACTCTTTTAAGCTTTGCGTTTAAATATTTAGTTATTTAAAATATAATATTCAATAGTAATTTAAAATGTGTTGTGTTTCGTTTAAACTATGATGTATGCTTCATGTTATAAATTTAATAAAATTATACACCATGCTGAGCGAAGAAAATAGCAAATGATGCGAGGATTGTGTCAGCAATTGCCAAGACCCAGGCGCCAACAGCCATCCAGAAAGCGGATCCGATCTTAAATTTTTCGTTTAAATCGAATGTCTTTAAACTATAACATACGTCAACTTTGATGTTGTGAACTTGATGTTCGATGCTTTCGTGTCCTGAAAGTTCTCAGGTTTAATTGACAACAATAATCAACAAACTTTTCACAGCAAACTCTTCGCTGTTCATGTAGAACACACATATCGCAGTGGTGAGAAGAAGAACGATGAGGAAAGAAATCGGCGAGAGAGGATTGATTAAGTACTTCTTAAAGCAGCATGAGCACGAAGTCACGAGATTCCAAATGAATGCAACAATTTCAAGAAGAAGCGCCATTATCATGCAGGCGGCTACGACTTTTTCGTATGGTTTCATATCCTGAAATATATCTGTTGGTCAAAAGTGATTACAAAATTACAGAAGAAAAATCGGCAGAAAACACGTTCATTTTGTAAGTACTGCATTTTCAAGGGTGAGTTGAAAACAATGATTTTTTTCTGTTGAGTAAGAAAACCAAAATTCAAAAGTCAATAAACTTTTAATTGAATATTTTGTGTATTATTTAGAAGTGAAATTATTTTGAACTTTAAGTGAAAATATCAACATGTTTCAAGAAATCGATATTTGCCAACACTGCACAGTAGTGAAAAATTAGATTTTTTTTTAATTTAATGTTCTATTTTTGGTTGTTAAATAAATCGCTATAATATTAGGAATTGTGAGAATATGAATTACCTTCCAGTGATTGACGCATTTGTCTTCGCAAAACACAGGAATAATACCTACAATTTAATGTGTTCTGAAAATTTCTGTAAATTGGACAACTTTTCATTTGCTGCAGTTTAGTTTCCGTGATATTGGCAGAAAGAAGTTCATCCAAGCTCGTGTCGTCTAATATGGTTTTCCATTCTGTAATTATTTATTCGATCGATTAAACATGTGACATTTTTACCTTTTGAAAATGTCGATACCAGTGTGAGCCCAATTGCTCCTAGCATGATCACTCCGAAGAGAATTTGAGTGATAGATGAGCACATCTTTCAACACTGAACAGACGAATTTCAAAAACAAAATAATCAAAAAGGATCAGAACAGAAGGAAAAGAAATAACCCTCCCTACAAATGTGAATTATCGTGCCGAGCGACTGACACGTTGTACAAAAATAAAAATAAATGTATGAAGCATTTCGTTGGTTTTGGATAGTGACGAAGGAAAGGCACCATTGAAAGCGGAAAACAATATTCTCAAGTTTTGTTGTCTTCACAGACATAAATATAGGAATTGAACGTTATTATTTCGAAAATAATTCTGAAATATTCCGATGTTTTATGACATTTTTTTGATGATTCAGTTCCAACTTGGAAATTTCTCGCCTCAATTTGGTTGCAAATAATCGATAAAATTCATTACATGAATAAAAACAAAATAACTGCAAACAATTAAAACAATGCCTAAATAATGTTGTTTTCGCTGATTGTATATATCAAAATTGAAATAATCTTATCCAATAACTTACGAAGTAATTTATGTTCGAATCTTGAATAACTAAACGAGTTATCTTTCTAATCTTGAGCGTTTTGTTACTTACTAAGAAACGGCAAGGTTAACCTAATTCATTAAATTTTTTCAGCTTTTATATCACATCACCTTCATGTTTAAACTTTAAATTATTCTGTCAATTAATTGTAAATTTCGGCAAATTGGAGAACTCAAAAATACAATGCTCAACATTTGCATTCTTAGCAAAAATTATTTTATTAACGGAGACTATCACACTTGAATAGCTGTTTTTACATTCAAAATTTTGAAGAAAATTCATTAGAACACATTAATCATATCTCTCATTATAAAAAAAATTGTTTTACAGACTTCTCAGCAATTGCATTTTTAGAATGTGAAATTTGTCACGATTGCGCGGCTTTTGAAATGAAATGTCGAAACATTTCCTTGGATTACGTGCCGGAAAACTGATTTCCTGAGCATCTGTATATGGCCTCGAGATGATGACACAATTGAAAATCTGTAAGCTCAACATATTTACCAACATTAACTCGTTTACCCCTAAAAGGTCATTAGATTACATTATATTTCATTTAAAACCATTAGACTCTTACAAAGATGCTGTTAAAATGCAATATCTTTTTCAAGTTATTTCATTGTTTTCATATTCTCCTTCTCCCTGTTCAGCTCTGAGCCATGTAAGGTTTGGGTTGGGTTTGGGTATTTCTCGGAAAATGTTCGCAGAAGTTTACTATGGCAATTCTCTTGTTAAAATCTAAAAAAAGAGCCTGGTGCGGCGGCGCTATATTGCACAGCTTCATTTCAAGAGCCCTGCAAAGCCTATTGCACGAGACCGATTAATTGGCACGAAATTCAAATTCTCAATTCCATATTTCCATGGCTAAATGGTCAACTCATATATTATAACGTTTTTGTTTCATATATCTTTCCACTGTATTTTTTGTTTCTTCAAATACCAATGCATACGCATATTCGAAATGTTTTGTACATGTACGTTTTTGCATTTCCGAAGAAAAAAAACGACAAAAATCGTACATTTTTCGGAGTGATGAGCAACATCATTTTTTTCCTCAAATAGCATTGCGCCAAACATGTCGAATTCAGAAGCATAAAACAAAACAATAATAGAGAAAAATATTTGTGTTTCGCGGCGAATTCCCTCAATTACTCATCGGTCCGCCTCTTCAACAATATTACGGACGAAACGGTGCCATTCTGCATTTTTTCGCGGCACATACCATACCATGCGGCTACCACTGCTTCTACCATTGGCTTTTTTTATTCCGGCATTATGTGTTTACCAGGCCGTTACGGTTAAAGGAATTGTGAATTGTCGAGGGCAACGACAACCTGGCACATTTGTGCAGCTCTACGACGAAGATTCCAGTGAGCTAAGCAATTAAAATTATTTTTTATTTATATTTTACAGTTCCAGTTTTTGACGATGACGATCTATTGGGTTCGGTGATTGCTGATCATCGAGGTGTTTTCTGCGTTAAAGGATTCACTGATGAAATTTCCATAATTGAGCCATATATTCTGATTGAACATAATTGTGGGTATGAAGGACTTAACGAGAAGGTAATCTTAATTGAAACGACTAAAAAGTTTAACAAAACATATTCAGAGAACCTTTACACGTGCAATTCCTGTTGAATATATTTTTGAAGGCAAAAAAGCGAAGCATGTCTATCATATGGGTGACATTGAACTACTTACTCCTGGTTGAATTGATCCGTAATTTAAATATTCAATGCAAATTTCAGATGCTCCTGTGCAAAAATACGAAAAGCGAATGTACATTGAAACCTCAATTGATGAGAGAATTCGTCAATGCATTCCAGTATATGTTCAATATAAGAGATTTTATGAAAAGGTATTTCCAAAATCATCTGCAGTTTGAATATAAAATATTTTTTTGAATATAATTTTCAGACCGTCTTCGAAAGCTCGAAGACTGCTGTTGAACTGCCAGTTGACAAAGATATGGACGAACCTGTTATCGAACCAACGAATGGTGATTCTGAGAATGTCGATGAACAGATAACTGAACATCCTGTGCCAATTAATGTTGATGAGAAGATAAATACGGAAACCGAAGAAGAAAGACTGCAGCGAGAAGGTAATTAATATATGTTCTTGATTTAAGAGTGACTTCCGTATCCAGAAGAAAGAATCCGTAACGAAGAGCAACGTCTTGAGGAAGAAGAAAAACGACTTGAAGAAATCAGAAGACTTGAGGAAGAAAAAATTCGATTGGAAGAAGTACGAAGAATTGAAGAAGAAAAGAAAAGAATCGAAGAATTACGACGGCAAGAAGAGGAAAATCAAAGAAAGGAGCTCGCAAGAAGAGAAGAAGGTAAATAAGACAAACCTGGATATTGCAGTAAAACATTTCTAGAACGCCTTCGTGAAGAAGAACGACGTGCCGAAGAAGAAAGAAGACGCATCGAAGAGTTTAAAATCCAAGAGGAACGCCGAAAAGAACAAGAAGAAGAGCATAAGAAACGGTTGACAATATTGTCGTGTGGATTCATTTAATTTCAGCCATTTTCAGATTGGAAGAATATTACAAACGAGAGCAGGAGCGCCAAGAATCTTTGAGAAGGAGAGAAGAAGAATTGAGGAAGCGCATGGAAGAACAAGGAAAGACAAACGCTGAAATAGTCGCAAAACCTGCTGACCCATGCGTGCATTACCCAATTGTTTCTCAAGTATGAACATATCTGCATTTTGTATTTGAATAAATAATTTCAGAATGGGCAATTGAGTCGATCCATGGAAGTCAGACACGAATATATTGAAGATCCTTGCCTTCGCAAATGACTGTTTTAAAATTTTCTCATTATCTGCAGATCTTTCATTTTCGAATATATATAATTGAATAAATAAAGTCATTTTATTTTGAGATCATGCATAATGAAGTTGTTAAATCACAGAGTGTTTTTCCTGGACAATCCGCATCACTTCGACAAGGTTCACCGTAGTCATATATTCGGTTGTTCTTGCGATTTCCACTAAACATAAAGATTTGTTTTTTTTTTCGGTTGAATTTGACTATTGTTAAAAAAAAAAACAACAGGAAAGGTGGCGCAAAAAAACTAAATGTTTAGATTTACGAACTAAAAAATTACGAACTCAATACCCCTACAAAAGATAACCGGGAAATTTTTGTACGCCAATTATTTAAAATCTTGAAATAAAAAGTTGATAACCCAATTTTTATATTTGAAGCTAGTTACAGATCGTAAAATATAGGCTCAAAATCAATGATCAACTGAAACCAACATAATAGGACAAATAGTAAATATATACCACTAATTATAATCTTATAATTTTGGTTTGAAACTGTGTAATATGAACAATTTACATATCGCAAAAGAAGACCTCAAAACCAGCTAGCCTGCATTCAAATCACTAAAACTATGCAAGTAATGTTTGGCATTTTTTTTTCAATTTTTTAGTCACAAGTCAAGACTTCTTCTTGAATTTGTTTGTATGAACTAATTTTCCAAATAGACGTTATTAAATAGCTAAACATACGCTGGCCCGTAGTGGCAAACTACGTAAGACATATGGGGGCAGTCAGCAATTCCACATCCAACTCGATATGTCTTTGCCCAAGCCATCTAAACAAATTAATATATTTTTTGTTTTTGGTGAAAATACCTGTGTATAATGCCCGATGTCTCTTCCCTTCTGTTCCCATAATTCAGAAGTAAGTACGTTATGTGGAGGTGTTCCGAATTCTTCAAGCTCTTGCCACCACTTTTCCACAGCCTTAAATTGAAAACGGAATAAAATGGTTTTCAAAATATCATACTGTATGCATAAGGCTCCTTGGATCAGGGTCCAAAAAGGAACTCATGTACAAATTCTGTCCTTGATTTGGTCTCTCATGGCTGCTTGAATGTCCAAAAACGCACTTATTCGCGTGTGCTTGTGCGTATTCCTCCAATTTACAATCGTATTCCTGAAAGTTTTTTAAATTATTAATAATAGTATTAAAATAACAAAAAACAAGAACTCTGTGAGTATTTACGGGGCTTGATTTACAAGTTATCCGTAACAAGCCGAAATTTGCATTACCACCCCCGAAAAACTACGATGGTCCACAATTACTTAGGGTTCTTGTTTTCTTTTTTTGCGAAATTAATAATTAGATATTACAAGTTTTAACATATTCCTTGCTTTTGGTTGAGTTGAATTCGTCTCGCCATTCCATTCAAGACCACGCGCAAGTCGTGACCTAGAAACATGTCAATAACTTCACATTGAAACTCGTCAAATTATTCTTGCAAAAAAAATTATTCGAAAAATTGTCTCAAGGTCAATAACATCAAGCTTTCAAGAATTGTCGACTTGCTAAATGAATGAAACGGAAACCTGTAAAAGTTATGTTGTTCTAGTGTCCATTTTCGGGTTAAATCTGTCATTTGACTATTATTGCACCAGGTGCTATTGCCAGGATCTGAAAAGAAAGAATATTAAAATGTTCGCTTTCGGTCAAAAACCTTCGGGAATGTATGGCGCCTGACACAATCCTTCAGGTAAAAGGCATTTTGAGCACGGATACGTGAAGCAATCCGAATCGTTACAGCATGGTTTTCCATTTTCGTATATCATTTCACGTTCACATTGGGCCCTAAATATCAACGATTTCGGCATATTGTCCTTGTCGCGCTGACTGCGAAAAATTGAGTAAATACCAAAAACAGAATATCAACAGTCATGGCGCAAAACAGAAAGTGCACTTTACTGGCTAAAAAAATGAAAACGATAGGCTAACGGCCCACACCGGGCACTAAGCCCTCTTGATAAATTAATGGACATTTCGTTAATTTTCCACAGTCGCGCAACGTTGAAAATATGATTCTTACTTTTCATTGTAAAGACATACAAACATTGCTGAAATGTTGTTCGGGCATTTTGAATAAGCACATCCAATTCGAAAAGTTTTTCCTTTTGCCATCTTAATTTATACCTATTATCTAAAAAAGGAATCATTTTTACATTTGCCCATCCAAAGTAATTGTTCTTCGCATAAAATCTATTTTTTGGATCCAGGTTACCATGATCTTGCCCTTGTTTCCACCAAGACTTCATAGCACTCTTGATATGAGTTAAGGAATCATGACCATCAAAATAAAACCAAAATCTACAATAACTCTAATCTACAATAACATATTCAATAAATTCTTACTGTTTGAATAACTGCGCGTTTGATCCTAGCATATTTTGAGGCATGAACGCATTTGGACACGTTAACGACCAATTTGCAGCCATTTCTTCAAGTTCACAGTCCCAATCCTAAAATACGATAAAACGATCAGTTATTAATATTCAGGCTAATACCAGTTTGTACATATTTCGCGCGCTGTTCATAAAACCACGCTTGTTCCTTTGTCTACCAAAAGCCAAAGACCTTCGCAATTCGTTATGGGTGGTTAATATAATTTCTCGTTGTATTTCGGTGATTTGTGATAAAGACGCGTTACAAGTCGAATAAGATGAAAGAATTTCTGCAAGAATGTTATGAGAAAACCACCTCATTATTGTATACCTTCTCGAGTAATATTGAACGCCTCAATGATTTTATCATCAACATTGGACCAGATAGATTCATCATCATATTCGGAATTACCACTGCCTTCATTACTTATGGCACTCTTAATTCCATCAATAGATTAGGGTTGAATTACTAGAAATTACCTTTGCAAACTTGAAATACACAATAAGGAGTGTAGACAATAATATGACGGCGTTCATGATAAGCAATAGAAAGCAGATGGCATTTCGGTTACGTCGTTTACCTCGCTGCTGTGAATCTGAAAATGACAATTTCCTGATTGATATTTAATCGAGAGTGGAAGTGGTTTCTCCTGAAATCAACTTCCCCGCCCACTTCGAAATTAATCGCAAACCATAAACTTCTACTGGTTTCTTTCAGACTATTGATGATATAAGAAAAAAGCGAACGATAGTGGTGTGGAGTGCAAAAGTCACTGGAGTAGAAGTTCTTTTCCAGTTTTCATCTGAGGCGAAACATTTTGAAAAAATACGTTACCTATAAAGGTCATTCGGGTTTCAATATGATTATTCGGTGGTCGCGTCCTCAAGGGTTTACGCAAAAAAATGAAATCAAAAACGGCTTGATGCGCGACCTGTTTATACATTTTTACAGCTTTTACGACATGCAAAAACATTTCAGTTATAAAAAAGAATGCGTGGTTTCAAATTCGAAGAAATGAAAAACATTGTTATATCTAAAACCTATGGACATGAACTATAAAATAAGTAATAAACCCTCATATAGTTAATTTTTGCTTTATTTCTGAGATCTTTCCGAAAATCTACAAAATTTTTCTATCAACGACGCATAATCATTGCTTTAATCATCGTTATTGATTTCAGAAATTTGTTTCCTTGTTAAGTCGAAACTGTTTTTTCTCCGGATCAGCCAATCAGTTGATTTTCATTCGATTTGTAGGTTTTGTTATCATTTCAGAAAAATTTCCAGATTTTTCCAACAACTACTCTCACTCTCGCTTTTCAATCATTTCTTATCAGTCAAAATCAACAAATTGAATTAAATTTTTTTTACTGACGCGACATATAAAGAAAGAACGGAGAGTTATCAATAAGCCTTAAAAAACAAATGGGTTTTCTTAATGATAAAATACTTTTCAATGAAGCAGTTTGTTTAAAAAACTGTATTTCTTCAACTATATGAAATATCGAATTAAATTATGGTTGGCATCCAGCTATTGATGTATTCGGGGTTGATTAATGCGTCTTGAAAAGGTATCGCAAATTGTGAACGCTTATATTGCCGTTTACACGCGAACGGTGAATTTTTCTTGATCAGAATGGCATTTTCTTGAATTTCCAAACGATAAAAACGCATTCCCGTATGTCTACCAGCGTATAGTAGTTGCCAGACACCGACTATATCTAGAATTATGAAGAAGAGAGTTTGAGCGACACAACGTTTTTTTTTCCAACAATTTTCAAGAAATAATTGTGTAATTTTTCGAATAATTTTAGTTGTATAACTTTAAGTAAATTCATTTTTTTTAAAGTTTCATCACACGTGATTATTTACATTTTTTTAAATGCCAACCCATATTCAATTATTTCAACAATTTATATTGATTTAGTAAAGCTGATCAAACAAATAAGTCAATGAGAACAATTTTTTCAATTTTCTCATTTTGCAATGCTTGAAAAATTTGCGATTGCCACTTTGATTATTTCCTTCTGTTCAACCTTGTAAGTTCTTTTGAACTGAACCTGATTTTCTGTAACTAAAAATAATAACGAAAGTATAATTTTTTGATAATTTCTAATAAGGATATTACATAATACAACAATTGATATATCTACTTAAAATAAAATTTCTTTGATTTCTTTCAGAAGTAATATTCATCAAGCCGACGACAGATATTTCTTAACTAGAGTTAAAAGATCAGGTATTTTTACGGTTTGATAGTGTTATATGCAACAATTGAAGAAACTAATTCTTGTAACAATGGAATGAACACGGAAGTTTTTAACACTTTCAAAAGAACAATTGCAAATAATAAGGCAACTGAATATTTTTAAAATAAATAATTAATTTCATATATTTGAAGGTTTGGAGTTGCGAACTTGAAATTAAAGCTAGTCGTGTTGTAAAAATGTGCTTGAACGATAATGGCGGTGTTCAAGAGGGAATCTTAAAAATAAGGTAAATATTTTCTTCAATTAATTATTTTAAACATTTCTGTTCAGTTTTGCAATTGATCAAGAAAGTCCTGAAACTCTTCTTCGAAACAGTGAAGTTGCACTTAACATTGTTACAATGAGTTTCAATGGAACTGTTAAAGGAAATAAGGTTTATTCCGTTGAAATCAGCCACTTTCAATTAAACGTTCCAGGGTACGAAGAAGTCGATTGGTTGCTCTTATACGAAGTGTTCGGATCGATTAGATGTCATGTGCATGTACAGTTAAACCAGTATTTTCAAATACCATTTATTACAAAATACTGACAAGAAAATACAAAATAAATAATTTGGAATCATACAGTATTTGGCAAAATAAAATGAAACACAAAATTGAACCCAATGGATAATTGGAACTAATTTCACCTGAATAACAAACAGCAAAAATTGATCAAGTTATTTTTGACTGGCATCCATTGTTAAGGATTTGCCGAAACGGGAAATTCTACGAGGTAGACCGATCGAACGAACGCTGGATAAACTTATTTTTCGCGACGAGAGGTGTTTTCGACCCGCCTACCCTAAAAGTCAGTTAAATGTTTTCTTTAAAAATCGAAACAATGAATCTAACTATAATGTGAACACGTACAATAATTAATAAACTAGAACAGATGATGAAGATATCGATAGAAGAAAATTCTCGCACATCACAAAGGTGGCAATGACAACATTGAACAAATTAAAAAAAAAAATATATATATATAGAAAGAATGTGCTAAATGTCCTCAAACGGCAACCCGGCATAATGTATCATATAATAGACTTCTTGTGTTTTGGACACACTTTCTCGCAGATTTTTCGCAACTTCAAGAAATTCCTTCAAAGATTAATTGATTTTGGATGAAAATATAAATGTTGGGTATTGAAGCGATTATTGTGCCGTAGTATTAGCTTGAAAGTGGACGTGCAATTGGAAAAAAAATTGGAAAAATGAGAAGAAGTGGGAATGGAAATCGTTTGCTTATTAAAGGGTGAAGGGAATTACAAGTGATCAGTGGTCATGCTTGCTTTCGCCGCTTCGAGTTGCGATATGAACGATCTCACTATTTCGAGAGTCGCGTGAACAGTGTCTTTGCGATTCTCAAGCACAAATCGGCCCATGGTCTTCCAACGAGACTGCGCTTTCCACACATTTTCATTTGGTCCAAGTACACGACTAATAGTTCGGCTGCTTGCTGATTTTGTAGTCACTGAAAATTTTCAATTTAAATTTTTGAAAAATTCAAATTTTGAGTTTTCATATGCGAGTGCAATACACATAGATTCACAGTTGGTCTGAGAGCTACTGAACAAATTTCACAATGACAATTCTTCACAGCAACTTGTGCAGTTCACACAAGAAGTGCCATCTTTAGAATCATACGGTCATTGCTTCGCTTCCGGGCCAAAGTCAGAGCTTGAAGCATACTTGCGCCTTGTGTACTTTTTGAATCGTCACACGTCTCCTCTACTAGTACGTACTCGGCGTCATCGATATTTGGGCGACGAGCTTTAACAAATACCTGAAGTTTGCAAAATAAGTATTGAAAAAAATATTTGCTTAAACTACCTGTCGAATAATATCAGACGCTGTGCTATTTATACTGGCTCGTAGAATAGCATATGGCTGGTCTTCACTAACATTGTGAACGCAGACAAGGAAGGTATCCCCCATCGATTTAGCTCGTGGATTCAACCCTGAACCTGTTAGTGGCTGAACATTAACTTGTCCGATTATATAGTCCTTACACTTTCCTTCAGCGACTTCAAGGTGGTGTTCGCCAATTGCATCAGTGTCCAAAGATCGTCCATGGAGTTGATTGCTAGAAGCACTTTTCACATGACCGTCTTTGGTCAGAGGCGATGGCGAAACGGAAGTGGAACTTCCGCTGGTGCCAGATTTGATGATCGATGTGATCCAAGCTCTTGACGACGGATCCTACAAGAATATCGAAAGATTTTTGAAAATTATTAACCAACTCTAAAAACCCCACTTCAAATAACTTTCTGAGAAAGCAGCATTTGCAATAATTACCTTTCAATTCGTACAAAAAATTTTAAAAGCCACATGCAATACGATAATTGGCGCAAGCTTGGGGGGATTGCGAAGCCACAAAATGGAATGGAAAAGTTAAAAGAAAAACTTTACTAAACAAGCAAGTTTTATATTTAGAAAATCAGTTAGAACGATTGTTTCAACTTATTCATGCAGCATGCGTCAACAGAACTACAAACATGCGCACTTTTAACCCATCAGCCAAATCGTTCAGTGTTGTTCTTCTCAAATCCTCACCTATTCCATTTGCAGTCTTTGCTCTGCAGTTGTGATCGACCAATAAAAAATCGAATGATGACTTTTCCTGAGCGTTTACAATAGCGATACAAATGAGGTAAGTAAGTTGGCAATGAGTGAAAGCTTTCCAGATAACGTTATTAACAAAAACAAAATGAGGTTTGGGCAACAAAATCTGCGAGGACGTGGTGTTGGTTATTGGCTGGTAAGAGTTGAGGCATCGAATGTCGCCGCCCAGTAGAGTTTTCTTGACGACTTGCTGATTTTGCGTTGGCGACGCTTTTCGTCGTAACTCACACTGCCTTTTTTGCGCAGCACGAATCGTCGCAATGAACCATTCCAGCAGGCGACGGCGTCCATTATTGGTTCATTCAATGGAAGAACCTAAATGTTTCGAATTAAATTCATAAATATGCAAAACTGAATTACCCTTTGATCAATTGAATCTTCTCCTGGAGCAGACGGCATGGCCTCTTCGATAAGCACATACTCCTCAACCTGATCAGCATTCTTTCCAGCGTTCACTAATGCTTGCTGCATCACGGTTTTCACAGTACTACCAGACTCGCTATGAACAGTAATTGCTGTTTCATCAGCAAATGCACCCGTGATACGTAGAACAAATATCTGTTTTTTCAAAATCGGCGTCGGCGAGAGATTCGGCGTCTGTTGAAAAGTTTTAATTAAATCGTTTAATTTTAATTAAATACCATCGTTAAAAGTAAGCAATTTGATAACAAATAAATAATAATTTGATAAGATAAATAAATAAATGTATATGTATGTATATATATATATATAGTTTAATTTTCATACCATATCAGTACGATAAGCCAAAGAATGCTCCAAGTTGCAATATGTTGTCGAATCCTCGTCATGCAAATAAATATGTTCCTCTTGTTCAAATCTAGTCCTGAAGATTTTGAACGATTCAAGAAATTGAACTATTCGATTTGCCTTATGAAGATCATGGCATTGTCAATTGGGAGATTTGTTGGAGTTCTCAAAGGGAGATGACGAAAACCTGGACGAATGCATCTGACAGGCACCACTCGATGAGCAACCACTCTTCCATTCTGGCCACTATCACAAACAGCAATACGCAAAAATGCGAGATCAACACAAGCGATTCGTAGTTGTGTAGTGTGATTCCATATAGGATTCACAGAATTTCGTTGAACGACTTTCGATTTTTCCCGAACGCAGTCATTCGGCACTCCAATAACTTCAACTTCGACGTACAAACTCGCATAATGAGTATTAGGATACACGTGTTGACCAGAGATAATCTGAAATTAGATTCACGTTTTTTTAGACATCAGAAAACATTTTTTTAGAATACCGTTAAATTTAATAGAAGAGCTGAATGGCACCCAATATCTTTGGAAAGTGGATGAAATTTATTGTAAAGTAAATGAGTTTCGTCCCACAAACATCTTGGTTTCAGTTGGTATCCACAATTTCCAGATTGTTCGAACATCGCCTGATTCACAGCCATTATCACGTCAGGTGTTTGAAAATTCAACGCCACCATCTGTAAATCAAATTGCCGTCTTAGGCCTTCAAATTTGATTTTCAAATTCATGCCTGCATTCCATGAGCCCAACAATTAATGGGATTAAAATTGGAAGAATCATAATGCTTCGCACTTGGATATGTTCGAATAAGCTGAAAATAAATTCGTATTTCCTCCACACATATTAGTGCCATTTACGTGATCTCGAGTGTATGAAATACACTTGGCTGGATGACGTTTCATCAGTTTTTTGGCAGCATTTTCGTTTAGTGAAGTCACTTGATAGCATGTTGCTGTTGCATTTGGCCGTCCACTTGAGACATAGTCGCCATGAAGCCCTTCACTCAGCTGAGTACTGCTTCTCTGCCTTCTTGGTGGCGTTGGAGTATTGAGAAGATTCGAAGGGGTTCGTGCGCGAGATGAAAACGACAAGCTCGCCGACGATGGCTGTTCGTCGATCATTATTCTTGGAGAGATGATTCCATCAACAGTCGGGAACCCCTAGAATTTTTCTTTGTACACCATATTTTATTCCAACTATTACTTTGAATTTCGTGGCTTGCATGTAAATGACAATATCAGAGAGTTCAGGCGCAATTTGAACGCCTGTGTTGTTTTTTCGAGGTTGCTGATGGTTTCGGATCAGTGCGTTCTGAGCCATTTGTGCATAAAGAGCTTCCTCATCAGTTTTCGCATCGTTAACCTGCGAATCAAAACAAAAAGATACTTTTTTCAAATCTATATTAATACTAATTGCTTGGTTGTTGACGGTTTAGCCTGTTCCACACTTTGGTCACTCAAAATTGAGTACTGCTGCTTGAGGTTGGCCGTTTTTCCAACTCGTTTCGATGCTTTTGGACTATCATCGCAATTCTTCGTAATATCTTCAGCATCGTCATCTTCATTTTCCTCGTCGTCAAAAAGCTCATCAAGTTCATCGTCTTCGACCTCATCAACAGTACTATAAACCACATTGTAATCAGTAGAAACTAAATCGTTAAACAAAATGAAAAATCTGGGAAATATCTAGAACATAGTAGAGAATGCATTGAACACAATAGGGATTTAGATAGGTAAATAATACAATAGGTTACCTCGATCTATGACACGAGTTTGAATTGCTGCAAAACACATTTTTGTTATCATTTTTACACATTATTTCTTTGAATATCATTTTGGCAATACTATGACGTTATACGATAGACAGGGATTAGTGTCGCACCTCCTTTCTCATTAGCCACTTTTTATCTGCGAAAAACTTGTCTGGGAATCCAAAACAAATATTATTTTTCTCATATTCTTGTCAAGCGTTAAGTTTAGAACTAACTCCATCATCAATATTAAGAGGTTGATGCAATTTTCTGGCGTTTATTTATTAGGCAAACTATTCACTGACTTTTGTGTTACAGTTATTTTCACTATAAAGAAATGACGCCGATCCTCTGAGGATTTAGTCAAAATGAAAGTGCCGTATATTTTTTATTTATCGGGTAGATTGTTATTGGTTATTGTTATCTTCGAAGGATTTCCCCTCGGGTATTTACACTCCTCCGTAATCTACACATCAACAGCGAGATGTTCTTGAAATTTCTCATTTCTCATTTCCAATTTACCTGCTTTCGTAAGAATTTTTGCTTTGCTTTCGGTGTAGTGTCATTGTCATTTCTCCCCTTACAATCGATCGGTCAAGAATTGGCAAAGGAGTTGGCGGCTCGACTAAAACACAACTAAATTGATAGAAAAGGCGCGATTCAATTTCCGTTTACCAATCATCTTTTTGTTTTTAATGAGAATTTTATTCCGCAGCTGCAATGGAGATGGTAGTCTCGGGCTATCAGAGAAGTCGGCTTCAAATAGGAAATTGGAAACGAGCAGCTCTCCGAGCACCGTTTTGAACATTTGCGCCATCTTTGCCTGTTGTTGAAGCGAGCAATGATTCTCAATTGAAAGTATTACTGGCAGGTCGGAAGTGACAAATGCCGATTTTTTAATAATTTCTACGACCTGAAAATTGAAATTCACACCTCGACCACAGGTGATAACAAAACCTGTCTGAAGCCAATTTTACTAACAAGAGTGTGACCATGATAAATCAGAGGTAGCCCATCGTCGCCATCCCAGCAATCTAGTTCGACGCATCGACATCCGGTGAGAAGAACCTAAAAATGCACGTTTTACCGCCTAACATGTAGTATTCAATAATAAACTTCAAATTTTCTCTTCCCTTCCCACTTTTCCTACTTCATTTTTCAAACTATTAGCTATTTTTTTAATATCGCCACAGAACCGGGGGTGCGACACAATAAATGTTCATCAAAATCATGAGCGTTTCTCCACAAAACTATGAATAATTCATAATTATTTTTTTGGAAGTATAGATATGCTTAAATAAACAAACAAATAAAATATTCGCAACTTTTATTAGGGACCGAAAAATTTCAGTCCTTGCTATTCTCATTTTTTATATCTCAAGCCTTATTCCTTTTTTGTATTAAATTTGTGAATATATTACAAATATTCGAAATGAAATGTGATATCTTAAATTTTGATCTCGGCGAGTAAGGTACTGAATTTGCCTTTTTGCTTCGAGAGGAGGTTCTTTTAATGAGTATAAAATTAACATTTTTTTGTTCTGCGTAATTTTCAAATGGATATTGTCGGATTTAAACAACTGAAGGAAGGAGGAGTCTTTTTTCACTTTTGCGAAGTTAGTGTTGCAATTCGAAAGGATAAATTTAAGCGTTGATTAAGTAATAGATGTACGAGTGTTTAAATGCAAATTGCGCAAAAACGTGCACTTCTTTTCATCTTAAAATCCGTCGACACATAATCAGTATTTTCCCCAAATTTAGATCAGTTGATGAATTCAAAAATTATTTTTTTTTAATTTACTAATCATAATTTGGTATATTATTTCCAATTTTTGCATTCACCACTTATTGCACAAATGAAACGTGCTCCAAATGTTTTTCAATCTTCCAAATACGGGACATTGGATATGTATGTTTAGTTGTGTGCAATTTCCAATTTAAAGCATGTTTTAAGACATGTGCATCTCTGCGCCGTGACGAAAATAAGCCAGAAAAAGACAAGAAGAAGAGAGGGGGGAAAGCGCGATAGAGAAGAGGGCGACGGGGCTCATTTTGCCTCTCTCACCGGCCGTCAGATCGGGTTTGACGCCCTATTCTGCCGCCAAACCTCGGGATATTTGTTTGTCCCCTAACGCGTTGCAGAGAAGAATTCGGTGAAGCCCATTTTCAAATGTATCTTTTTTCGTCGTCGTCGACCCCGCGAAAACACAACGCTTCTTTGTTACAAACCAATTTCGTCTTCCGTGGCAAAATTTGAGAACGTTTGCGACTTTTCCCGACCAAAATACATAAAAACAAATCTCTCAAAACAATACACAGGCGAACTACAGTAGGTGCGTGCTGGGGAACACTTGAAAATCAACTAGAGAATTGCTCGAAATTTCGCGTTTCAATTTGTGACGCTGTTATTGAAATCTACGAAATTCATCGTTTTCAACAACGTGAAGCGTCTTAACAGATTATCATTTTCATTCTCACCTGCCGATACATTTCTGCACTGCTTGGTCCTTTCAACTGATGTCCCGTCAAGTATGTATTATGGCTTGAATTAATGTAATAGTGCGATAGCGGATATTTGAGATGTTCTTCCTCCGGTTCAATTGTCTCCGGGACAAATGCGAAGTTGATAGGATCACAAAGAAACCTTGCGAATCCTTCAAAACTCATTTGGTTTTTTTGGCGACACATCGGGTCAGGCTCATGCTCCTGCAAAATATAAATATGAGTTTCGCCTGTCAAAGCAAGTGCAAATTGTAACATTTCCAGTATTTCATCTTGTTTTTAAGTTACCCATTAAAAGATAAGTCATCTCAAGGGATTACTCCTCCCGACCAGCTTTCTATATTTCTACAAACGTTTATCTATTTTTCTATTCGTTTTTACACATTTTCTTTATTTAAGAAAAGAAATTGAAGTGAAGAAATAAAAATAGACGACTTGCAATTATTCAAACGGGTTGCGCACACACACACACATAAGAAAAATCAGTAATGAAAAGAATAATCTACTCTTTAATTTTAAATAATTTATAACAACCCGCTCTCTTTCTTTTTTATTCGTCACATAGCGTCTTTTGCGCTAGATTTCCTAAGACACGTTTTCTTTATTTCCGCTACCCTATCCCACAAGATTTGTTCAATGAGCATCATTCATGCTCTACTCTTGCACTTCCTTTATTTTTCAGTCTTATTAAAAAAAAACCACATACAGACAACGTGCATTTTTTCAGCTAAAAAAACTTATTCAGTAAACATCTTCGGAAGGGCCTTCATCCAGGGTTCTCAATGCTTCGTCTGGGCGAGGATAATGAAAGCCGAACATCACTAACAAAAACCGCATGGTCAAATACTGAAGACTATGGATGTGTTGAGCGAAAAGACACTCTTGCGCCGTTAACACAAGAAGAACGCACGAATATGCCAAAAAAAGTAAAAATCAATCAAATGATTTTAGAAATATTTCGCTATTTTCAGGTATCTTTCGCGGCTGAAGTTGATGAGCAACAAGAGCAGATGAACAAAGAAAGCTCACGTCGAGAAGCATGCTGCACAATTCAATAATTATTTGAAATATTTCAGAATTGTATAAATTTCAACGATATCTCTATTCACTTGTAACGGTTTCTTACATAATTTTTTAGATTTCCTCTTTAGAATTTTGGTATCTATGCGGGAAATGTAATCTTTATATTTTTCTATTCGATTCGATTTTCTATTTGCCCAACTATAGGAATTGTTTCTAACAAATCGAATAAATGTGGTTTTCGTTTTTATAAGATAACAGAAGACATTGGTTAAGCTGGCATCACCAACGTATCGTTTTTTCGTCGTTTCAACAATCAAATCAACGATTTCCTTCTTTTGTTTTTAGTTATCCTGTTTTGCGCCAATATTATGGCCAGCGAACAAACACGGATGTTCAAGTGCTTGTCGTTTCTTCACTTGGTTCAAAAAGAAAAGGAAATATGCATTTGGTTGTGTCGTTTTTAAGAAATCATCTTTCAAAATGTAAAGAAATATGACTCTCGTGGGATAAAATTTGCAATACAATTTGGACGAACCTGAATCAGTTTGATAGCGTAGGCTTCATCGATCATCTCCATCTGGTGAGTGTTGACAAACGCTCGCAGCATTTGAGGGGTCAGCATTGATGAACGAGATGTGTCCATAAGACCACCCATGCTATAACAATTTTATAATGTTGAATTAATTATCTATTGTTAAATCGTTTTTTAAAATTTGTTTTCACATTGTTTATATATCAATTTAATGATTGAAATCTCTTTGGAATTCGTGTGACTTGTGAAAGGAAACGTTAGCGTCAATGTGTTATACTAATGCGTTATTGCTAATTCAATCATTCATTCTTGTTTTTAACTTCACTATAAATTCATTGAACTTAATAACCGCAATTTGTAATGTAAGCCATTTAATGGAAAAAAAAATACGTTTAAAGGTTAATGGAGGCAATAATGGACTTAGAGTATGCGAAAAGACACTATTCTGTTTTGCTTTTTTTAAATGTGCTTTCCTCGAAAGGGCAAGAAGGAATAATGGAAAACTGATAAATAGTGTTTTTTTACTATGTATATCTTAAGTTAAGCACGTTATATTATCACAACCGTTTCTATAATACGAACCACCGTTTCAATCAATAGAGGGATGATGACGCAGTAGATATTTTTTTCATTTTTACGCATAGCATGTTGATTGCTAATTAATGGGCTTTTTGTGATATTATTTTGTGATATTTTATGTGTATTAATATTTTCTCTCTAGAAAACAATTTTAGTGTGTCCCTCGCACAATAGCTCATCGCAAGGCCAGTGAAACGTAACGAAAAATATACATGCGCGACGTCGTTATTTCATGATTTAATAATCACTTGTTTCGAACAGAAACGAGGCTAATGAACCTGGTTTGCGCGCATTTCGGAAATGTGCCTGATACACGCAAGAATTGGCAATAAGGAATTGAAAAAATTACAACAACAACAACAACAACAAACCTGTTGACACTAGCCAATGCAAGAGCATTATAGATTTTGCTCTGTTTTTCGCTGATATGATGCGATGCAACAGAAGTATTGCGTGTCAAGAAATCTTTACAAAAAATGGTTTTAGGAATCTATTGAGAACCATGAATACTTACCATTCGGCAAGAAATCCGAATTACACGAATTGGATACGCTGGCAAGACGAGATTGCTGTCGGGGACTATGTCGATCACGCTCACGTTTTGGACAGTGCGAGGGAATTGTTGCAGTCGAAAGCACATCGTTGAAGACATCTCTGGAATAGAGAGTTGCCAGTTAATATTTTAATAACGACAGATTATCAACCTCAAATCTTTTCTCATTCTTGTATTGAACAATCGGAACAATTCAGCAAATTCTACCAATGTCAGTGGTTTTTCCTGGAACTCCTTTCCCGAAGGACCACTGAGCCCTGATACTTGGATGGACATCTAAACGTCCGTTCATGTAAAACATTTATAATCGGTTTCTACCTGTCCCGAACTACTGATAGATCCAGAATTCGGAGTTTCACCACCACGAGATCTCCAAGACTTGGTCGATCTTCCTCCGACACTTCTTCCTAAAATTTAAAGATGAATTAATTATTTGTCGCATGTTGCTATTCTTTAAAATTCATTGCGATTTTTTTTTCAATAACACTAGTTTTTTCGACATTAACAACACATGATTAGGGCTATAACAAACCTCCATAAGAGCTGCTTGTTGGCGTCCTGGATCGTGGAGTGTAAATGCTGTCTAGATCCCCAGCATCGCTGCTGGCTGGCTCGCCGCGAGGTTTAAGAAGGTAACCGGGTGAATTAGGACCAGGTGGACCAGACTGTGATGAGATTTGAGATTTGATTGATGGAGGACGAACCAATGGGGAATGTGGCTGAGGACTCTGCGATCGGCTTCCTTCACGTGATGCTCCTCGAAGCTTTTTCTGCATTGCATTTTTTAAGTTCTTCAGCCTAAATAAATCCATTTAATACTAAATTTCAGATTAATTATTCTCATTACCGGCTTTTTGCGCCACCGGGTTCACTTGACAATGAGGAATCATTTTGTCGTGTGGCATTACTGTTCGTTTGGCTGAGACCTGTAAGAGGGAAAGAATTGCCAAATTTGGCATAATTCTAGTTATATCAATGATAACTACCAACGTAACCGAACAAATGCGAATGTATATCAAAAAAGACTAATCGGCGGTAAAAACTTCGCCTTCATTAAAAAATCACAATAAGAATAAAATATCTCTTCACAAGTCGGACGATAGCGTTGATATTGGCAAGAAAATAAAAAAAAAGCAAAAAGAAACGTCCCCAATGAGCGGCCACATAATTTTTACATATACCATATTTACATTGCTCACAAAACAAAAACAAACCAAAGCCTTTCCAACGCTCAACACGCCCACCAAATGCTTGCAATGCTTCAAATGGTCGCGGTCCGCAGTTCGGTTCATTGGTCATTTCATATAGAGTGAGGTACACATTCTTAATCCATAGCATACGCCGATCCGGATATTTTTGTTGCATTTGTAGACTTTTGACCACCTAAATTATACTCGTTCCACTGAAAATTTTAAAATTTACCGCTTGGAGTCCATTGGACCAAAAGTGTGCAATTTGTTGAGGTGCCAAAAAATAGATAAACTCATTATCCGACAGGAGTTGCCCGTAGCTGACTTTCCAGCAGCAAACCGGAACAGACATCTCTTCGGCAGAATGTCGTCGGTAGATGGCCTGGGAGTAGACATTCAAAACTTGTATAAAATTGTTATAAAATTACTTCGATATCAATATCATAGCTATCCACAGCTTCAACAGCTTTAACCGATGATAAGCGAAGTTCCCCTTCTTCCACTCCTCCATTCCCAACACCTTGCGGTCTAGCAGATGGCATGGGCGATGGAGCGCCTCTTCCAGAGTCACCAGCTTGAAGATTTGTAACGGAAACCTTTGCGAGAACGTCCTGCAACATTAAAATAACTTTCTAATTTAGAAATTCGCTATACTTTTTCTTTCGGATCTTTGTTAACCGAGTAAGAAATTTTATGCCAATTAATTTGTCCACAACTTGAATCAAGTCTAAGCAGACATAATGTGCTCCTTCCGGAATCTGGCTCATATTGAATAACTGTGGTGCCGTGTTGAAGTCGTTGAATTACATCGAGATCAAATGATTGAGTATCTAATGGGATAAGAGAAACACCATGTGAAGATCCGCGAACTGGTTGTACTGGCTCGTAAGCTTTCGCTTCTTTTTCTTTTGTTTCTTTGTCTTTTGGCGGAGCTTGATTTGGTGGAACTGAAGTTTCTTCCAATTGTTTTATCATGGCGCGACTATGACGATGAAACAGCTCAAGATTGTCAAGTACAATTGCCACAAGGTTGATTTTGTCCGCATTGAGAAGACCACCAACGCCGATTCTTGAAGCAAAGTGATCTTCCCCATTTGCATCGTTCATAAACTTGAAATTTGCATTATATGTATTATTTCCGTGTAATTTAATTTCTGATATACCTCGAGTTTCTGGGTTTCGCCCTCATGTCCAATAACTACAATATTTGGTAAATCGTTAACAATAGCATAAAGATCACGAAGAAAAATTCCGAAGAATGGAATAACACGTGATTGAGGCATTCTCAATCCTCTTTGCACTGCATTGATGTAAGCTTGAGAGGGCAAAGCTTGGTTTGCCGGAAGCAATGTTTCACAAAACTGGAAATTTGCAATACTTTGAAGTAATTGTTTGGATTACATACCGAATCAAATTGTGACTTCTCCTCCTGACGAAGCGAAAGCCAAAATGGTCTCAATTTCTCGCTTTTTAGACCCATCAATACTTCGACAGCCGCATTAAAGTTACCAATGTTCCAACATGTCTCGACAATTCGCAAAATTGCAGTGAGAGCAACTTTTCGATCGTCGTGGGTTGGTTGACTGACAATAACATGAGTTATCCATGACGAAACCTAAAGCTTATAGTGACAAATAGGTTTTCTTTACTGATATACTTCGCTCAATCTTTTTACAAGATTTCGAACAGGACTGGGATTCTCAGATACTGGAACCGAGGTCAAATCGCAGCTCACATATCGCACATAATCCATTGGCTGAATCGAGTAGAATAATTGGTACTCCGTGGAGGAGAGCTGAAATCAAATTTTTATTATCCACAATTCTTCATATCATCTGTCTGTTCGCTGTCCATCAGCTTTAATCTTTTTCCCAGAAATGAGACCAACACCCCCCTCCCTTTCCCTCTCCCCCTCTGATGTCTTTCTAAATTAAATTTCAACTGTCAAAATCATCAAGGAAATCAACGAAAGCTCATTTATAGGGCTGCGTTTTTTTTCGCGGGGAAATGCTGTTTCTGAAAAATTGTGAATTTGCTTTTTTTACCTGAAATGCAACTTCTTCGGGGAAATGAAGAATGTATTGAAGACGTTCAAGCTCAAGACGAAACAGCGTGATGGGCTCCTCATTGAGAATGAATCCGGCAGTGGCGGATTGCGCCGACGACGTTGAACCGCTCCGAGACGTCGCTGAAAATTTCTTCATTTCTCCTACATTTCAATTGTTTCCTTTTGTTTTTGTGCTGCCTTCGCAATACTTGTTTTACTTTTTTTCTCTCATATACTTCCACGTCAACAACAACGACAACAATCAGCCGTCTTTAGATGTGGTGGTAAAGAGAAGTAAAGAGATGATAGCCTTAGGGCAATTAGGCGTCGAATTGCGGTTTTAGTATTGTGTTGCAATTTTGCCTGCTTCCTGCTGTCAATCGAAAAGAACAAAAATGCAGTCTGTTGGTTTGTATCATCACTCCATCGTTTCATTTTTAATTTGCTTTAATCTATCGTTATTTTCTAAGGGGTTGTTACATGGATAACATCCACAGAAAAATTATAGGGAACTATTCGCAAAAGACACGCCAGAACTAATTTTTCTGCAGAATTCGTGATTTTATCCAATCAAGCTTTCTCAGATAATTGGCGTATTGGACAATAACGCTTTCTCTTTGCTGTGTACAAACGAATTTCTTAACAAAAAACATTTCCAACATTTTAATTGAACATTGTGTGCAAAGCAGATGTTCAAAGTCAATTTAAAAAATATAGATATTATTTGCTAGTAGATTTGTGTTTTTCCATATTTGCAAAGATTACTGTAGAACTTTTAATGCTAAACAATAATAAATCTTCAACTAATCTGATCGAATAGAAAGAGCGGCGATTCAAAGTTCTCTCGCTTTTTTTTGATTTCTTCGAAAGATTCGATTCATGTGAGATTCGCGATAAAAGCCGACTCATAACTCACCCAATTTGCAGACGTAAACTAATAGGCTATTCGGGTCGGGCGGCTCTTCCACAACATTCTGTTCATGTGATTTACCAAGTGCATGTAATAATCGAGATACAACAGACGTCATTAGATGCTCGTCGCTTCGTGCTGTCAACACTCAAGAATCTCCGGATAAAAATGTGAAAGAGCAGTCTTCGACAGGCCACGCCTTTTTTGCTCACACAATCTTAGATATAATAATGCTCTACGAGACGTCAAAAAAAGTGAATACGATTGGGAGCAAAATGAAATGAAAGGCAAAAGCTGATTCCGGTGAAGAAGATCTGGGATGTGTAGAGGGCGGGAACAAGAAGACGGCGGCATCAACCAAGACAAGGCGGTCGGGAAAAAAGACGAAAAAAAAGACAAGCACAACTAGAAGCCCTGAGAACAAGGAAACAAAGAAGCAGCAGAAGGCGACGTTGAAGAAGAAACTGGGAAGGTCCCCTTGAGAATTTGTTCATATTTCGCAGTTCGCACTGATTGGTTAGCATATTGAGCTTCAAGTTCAATGTGCCTTTTTGGGTCGTGCGAGTAGAAAGTGAAACAAATTTTATATGCGGTGCGCATCACTGTGTAATAAATAAGAAATTCAATAATTTCAAACTTTAAATTAACCACCGGTTTTTTTTACAGATAGCTTGATACTGGAACGTTTCATTTTTCTCGTTAGGGCGCGACAAGAAATCTAACGTTTCCGGTTGGGATTTCAAAACACCCGCAAATCACATTTCGACGGAGCATTTCACGTGAACCGAGAGTACGAATTTGAACTAAACTGATTATTCTCATCTTTTGGGCGCAACACCACCGAATATTTTGACAAACTGGAGTTCTGACATTTGGGAGTTTTTGGGAGAAAATTTGAAAAAAAAAGATAAATATGGGATAACAAAAAGCGAGTTTTTTTTCAAAAGAAACAACATCACGCTTTCGATTAGAGTAACACAATATTTGTAGATATCTCGGAATAATTAAATTATTTAAATTTTCAGAATAAAAACTTATTGTTGTTATCGGTAATAAATTTTTACGAAGGAGATGATGACTCAAACCCAAGAATTAGTCAAGGCTGACGGCAAGATCGATTTCGAAGAATATTATATATAAATAATCGTAATCACACAACAAGATTTAAGATGAACTTACGCAGAATATAGGCCGGTATTGATCGTTTAGTATGCCTTCGATGTTTAAGGGCATTTCGTACTGCCTCCCAATTCATTGCATTCTAATGCATTTTCAAAATATTAATACAGTAGTTGAAAAAGGTGTGCTCAAGTTGCGAACAACGAGATCAACAGTAAGATTGGTGCAAATGTTGCTAATCAATAGTTATGACAAATTGAAATGGCAAATGAATCACAAGGAATGCCAATAATATTTACAGAATATATGTATGTTGTTTCTTATTTCCACGCATATACAAACATACACCTCATTTATATTTCATTTTTGTCGCGCGTAAAAAACGACAAAAGTGATGATTTAAAATTAATACAGCGAATCTCTGAGAGCGTTTTGTTTATATATGGGCATATGTACCGTTTATGCGTCAAACTTTAATAAAAGCGAATAGAGTGGCCACTGAATGGTCACATCGACTGATAGAAAATACAGCGATTAATAAACATTATGCAAAGTAAAACATACACATTGTTGCCTCAGTCAGAGACCGATGCATTGACTGGTTGAGACTCTTCTGGATTGTGTTGCTAGCAGAGTTTTGCATAATCTCCCATAATGTCATCGATATCGACTTCAATGCATTATATGATGGCGCTGTAACAAAGACGGTCACATTAAAAGGGTAGATTGGAATATGAGGCTATCAGAATACATTTTAATTGACTCATAGTTAATGCAAAAGCTTTTAATGAATTTTGATCTCAAATGACAAGAAAAACCTATTCCGAATGACTATGTGTAATATGATAGTATTCGTTTTTCTTCGTATTAGTTTTTATTTTGAATATGAAACTGTTGTGATTCAGCAGCAAAATGTGATTTTTGATATCTGATAACCAAAAGAACCATGTCATATTCTTTTGGAGCATTGATCTTGACGATACATACCAATTAGTTGCCATTTAGTTCCTCGGAATTCAAGCAATAATTGATGTTTACTAACACCTCCGCCGAGTCGCCACTGTTGAAGTGTTGAAGCGTGTTGCCGTTTGAGGACGAGTTTTGTACTTCCGTCGAGTAAGCACAGCTGAGCGGATGATAAGCAAAGAAGTCGAAGTGTCTGTTTGGTAAAAAACTGTTAAAACGCGTGTAAATCATTCAGCTCTTAAAACTAAAAGCAAGCAAACTTAAACACATCTGGGACTGTCGAACAAAATTTTATATAAATATGATTCGTAAAAAAGGGAAAGATATCTAATTTGGAATTCTATTTAATTTATGCAAATAGTTCAGAATTCTGCGTTATAAATGTTAGGGTGTCTGAAATCATTTATAAAAATGATCTAGTAGTCAGAAAATCCGAAAAAATGCAATAATTCATTCAAAATTGAAATAAACATATCAAAAATGAAGCAAACTAATTTCGGGAGAAATCGCGCAAACACAAGTGTCGTTTCCTTCCGAAAATGATTAAAAAAAGAATAGAAGTGATTCATCAATGATAAAAGAAGACACCGAAATTCAATTACAAGAAATTTGTTTTTTATTTTATATTGTCAAGTTTTTAAAAAAAAGATAAAAGTATTGCAAACGGTGCATTATTGTGCACTCATACGATACGATTTTTCGAGTGCGTGTCAATACGAACCAAACACTACTTTACGCTATTTTTTCAACGGATTTCTACTATCAAAAATTTTCCAAAATTTGTGAATATTTAAATATGTTAAAGATTGAAGTCTCACGTTTTTAAATTTCAATGTGCTTCAATTTTGTTACAGTAGTTTATGCGTCTTCTATATACGTTTATTGTAGCAAACTTTGAAAAATCGATTTCTAGCAAAACAATTTTAGCGAACACTTTTCAACAACGCTTTTTCTTCAATACATATTCCGATATAAAGTGCAATTCATTATTACTAAACGGGGGAGAATATAAAAAAATTGTGATTAATGGAAAAGAGAAAATTGCCTAGAAATGTGCTCATTAAACACATAATTTGATTTCTTAATTATTGAATGACTCAATGGAACCGCGTAAAAAACCTGAATTTCGAAATTGAAAACAGATCAAGAAGAGTAAAATTGTTCTGAATTTCGGTATGTGGCAAACAACTATTTGTTTAGTGAAGAAATGGAAGCGCACACCGATTTCTGCCTCTTATTTTCTTTGTCTTATTGTAAACTATCTAACTTGTTTTCGAAATACATTCTAACGATCCCAAAATTGGAATGGAATACTACTAAAAAAATATTCTATAAAAAACAGGGCCAAAGCGAATTTTTTTCAATATGGAAGAAAAATAAACAGAATTAGTATAATGGGCAAATGTTTATATATGAATTGAAAATCGTGTTCGATTGAAAACAACTGGCATGACTTGAATTCCCGAAAATAACAGAAAAGCATTAATCGAATTAATATAGTTATGTGGCAGTGTAGCGAACTCATACGAAAGGTCACTAGATAAAAATAACAATAGGATCAATAGATTTGTCACCAGTCAGCTGTATTCAATTTTGGAAGGATTGACTCGAGAATATTTCAAAAGTTCTTTATTAATTCTTTGCGCAAACAATTTTTGCAATGGTCTGAATTTGGGGCGCAGAAACTGCGTTGTCGACTTTGACTCTGCTATAAGAATGATCTTAATTGTAGGCTATGGAAACTAATCCAAAAAGGACTTTGCTACATTATATTTTTTTTAAATTCAAATTTAACTTAAGAACACTGCAAGCTCAGAAATAATTTCGTGCAAACTGAGATGAAACACCAAAGGTTTCAAGAAAATAACCTACTTTTCTCAATGTGCGTCCATGCAATAGCTCTTTCACTTGAAATACTTTGCAGCCGAAAGCAGCTAACTTCTTCGCTGTCTGTAAAAATAATGGAATGCTCACAAATATGCGGGGAGAGTGGGGAGGGTTTGTTGTTGTAGTTAAGCGTAGTCACACTCTCATTTTTATCACCTGAATGTATAACTTTTTCATTCCTATTTCGCTTTCATACACTTGACTGTGAAACAGTTTGCGTTTACGTTCCTAAACAAACACAAAGCGATATGCTAAAAATTCGGTTTTTTTTTCCGACCTTGACCAATTTTATAGTTCTACGGTCACCACGCAAATCAACCGGCAAACATTGGGCTTGCATCTGAAATCAATAAAAATTGCTTGAGACAGGCGAGCATACTATGAATACCTCTTCAGACATTAAGCCGTCGGTGTTTGTGATGCATCGGAAAAGCGTGGGTGTTCGCGTACGATGCTGAAGTTCCTCAACAACAGATTGTGCTCGGCTAAAATTTTATTTTTGACGGATGCTTAGAATATGCTAAAACCTAGCATTATTTGATTCATTCGGGAACCTTGGCGGTGTGCAATACAAGTTTTGATCAACTTCCCATGGGGTTACCATGATCTTCTGAGCTAGATCTCGTATACGACCTAAGATATGTTTAATTGAATTGGAATTTTTGGAATGAAAATTTTTGGAATAATTTATAAAATCACCTACCAAATTGTCCTTTGAGCAAATGCCGCCGGATGGTTTGTGTTCGTTTATTACTAGGCCATTGTTCTTCAACGCAGAGTTGAATACTAGCCAAGTAAGCAGCTTCTTCTTTAGGACATGGTAAAGAACCCGAAATCACTTGATCTTGGAACTAAAAGTTGAATGGTGATTCTTATCCAAAATAAAGTTATTTCACAAAACAATAACAGAGGTTCACACATTGATTCTGTATTTTCTAAGGTCATACAATCGACTGTGGAGCTACGCACATTGAAGATTAATTATTAATAGTTTTCAAAATGTGACATAGCGTTTTTCAATTTTCGGTGTATCTCTTATTTGAATTAATGTTACAGTTTCAATTTAAACGTGTATTAAACTCAAAAAACAGATGTTAATTTATTTGAAAACACAATAATCATTGCGAACAATCATGCAAGTGCAATAGCATCGATTAATTTTTTAATTTCGGAATAACTACTCTCATTTTCGTGAAACTTTTGGCTACTCAATCGATAAATATAAACATTGCTATCACGTTTTGGAAACAGCAAATATTTCAAATTATCACGAGACACAGATCTCATTTGTGCCATGAAATCTTCATGTGTTATAGATGTTCGTCTGCAGTCATAACTGTTTCTTCTACCAGCAGAAACAGTTCTTGTTGCGAACCATTTATGAAGCGAGCTTTTTCTACGAAGAGCTGCTTTAATTTGGTCCAAGTTTTGAATCTTTGGCATTGATCGTGATCGTTTCATCGTTGATTGCTCCTCAAAACTATCAGTTTTTGTAGACGAGTTCAATGATCTTCTCAGTTCCAACTTAGCCCTTTTCGCATTGTTATCTATAACACGAATCACAACATCAAATAAAGAAACCGTGCAAACTTTTTCTTAATCCGGAATCACCTCTTGTGTCATCGGAATGGGACTCGATTTTTGATTCCGTCTCGATATCATGACAAGAATCCTCACTCGAGTCATCATTCACATCAGAATCGTTAGTTAGTTCATCAATTCGTGGGTAATCGTATTTCGAAGGTAGTATGTACATATTTTCGTTTGAAAATATTGCACCAATAGTAGCTCTTCTTGCATATGTCGCAAGACATTGGGTCTTTTGAATAGTTGAAGGCTTCCTTGAAGCTTTGCTTTTTTGGTTGTTCTCCATGAAGAAGGAAAACGAGAAAAATGAATCAGAAATGTGTTGAAAGGAATGACATGCGACAATATAACAACCATGCAATCAATGTTTCGAAAACAATTGCTACGAACCTCTAAATACTCATCATTGATGTGTTCATTGTTTTCGGCCGTGCTTGGCTCTTCTTCTTCCTAAAATCGGAAAAGTTAAAAAAAAAAACATTTAAACAAAAGATCTCACCACATGAGTACTAACAACGTGAATGATTTCTGCACACCAGTTTTTGACTGTCGGATGTTGAGGGGAATTCAAAATCTGCCTTAAGACATCTGCGCATTCCTTCATTGTTGCGACAACGTTATCGTTTCGTTTTGTATAAACATTCAACAAGTTCAAAATAAGCTGTCGAACACATTGAAAATCCGGATTCATTTCGGTCATGCTAACTAAATGAAGAGGACTCTGAAAATCAAAAATTTAACCTGTGTTTGACATAAAATTGTTGAATTACTTCTCTATCGGGAACGCGTAGACTATCTCCGGATGACCGTGATAAAGCGCGACGAGGAATTGGAATTCGTGTTCCAATAGTGGATGCTCTTTTCCGAAGAACAAAACTGAACAAGAAGGGACCCGAATTGTCACTTGCAATACTTGTTCCACCAGAAAATGTAGAAAGTCTCAATCCAACACTTGATCGTGAGGATCGTTGACTCATTACTGATGAAGCTCGACTTGACCATCCACCAAGAGATGTCTCTGAAATGTTTTTTTTTTTTCAATATTCCCTTTTTCTCTATTTTTTCATGAAAAAAATTAAATTTTATTGAAAATTTTATTGCTTGTATAAAAGATTTCTTTAAACTTAATTATCGCATATGAGAGTATTCAAAGGTGGGTGAGGACCATTATGACACACATATATATTAACCGTGGGCGATAATTTTAGCGACGTCGGAAAAAAATGGAAGTTTTTGGGAATCGGATAAATGTTCTCAGAAGCGACTACGTTGGCCCGAAAACACATGAATTTGGTTTAGTTGCCTATGTTTGTGGTACGATGTGCTTACGACCCAGTTCAACAAATTGTTGTCGTTATCAAATTTTGTAGCCGTCTCCATTTTATGCCTTTCATTTTAGTCACCATTTTTTATTCAATCATATCCGACGATATTCACCTGTTTTCGGTTGTTATGTGAAAAATTAAAAATTTTATCATCTTTTATCTTCAATATGGTTTCAAATTCTTAAAAAAGAAACTTCCCATGCCGGGAATCGAACCCGGGCCGCGTGGGTGAAAACCACGAATCCTAACCACTAGACCACATGGGAGGACGAGAGCGAGGGAGTTTGTCGAGTATACACGCTGAGAAAATTTCCACTCACCGTCTGAACTCTTGCGGCTGCCACCTATTTGGCCGCTGAGTAGCAAGGGAGCGCAGTCAGACACATCGCTGCCAGACAGCTCGGGCGAATTGACGAAATAGCCAAACTCGAATTGAGAGAGTGCAGATGGACGACGAATTTCGATTTGTGGAAGGCCTGGTATTGCTTGAGGGCTGCTTGGCCGTCTCGTATCTAACAACATGGCAGTGCTTTCGTCTTGTGAAGGAGCGGACACCGGTCCCGGAGATCTGAAGTTAATTTGAAGCAAAAATAATAAATGATCAAGGAATAATAAACCTAGGTGGACTAGCTCCTTGAATTTCAAGTTCCGGTAAATACACATATCCCATTTGTTTTGGACCGTTTCTCGAATCGTTCGAGTCTTGCTGTCCATTACTGCGGTACGTCAACCGTTGGGCTTCTCTCCGGGTGAGCGGATAATTTTGCAGCTTTCTGGTGAACTCTAAAACCGCGTCAGATCCACTTGTATTGCTTTCATTTGAATCTCCTAAAATAATGATTTGTTGAATAAAACAAACAACGTTTCTAGAAGAAAATACAACCACTTGTATCAGATTGATTGAAAAGTTCCGCCGGTTAAAAAATTAAAAAACATAAATTTTGAATCAAGTTTCGACTCAAATTTCAATTAGAATAACCGGCAAACATTTTCAAACAGCCTGATAGTTAACTGAAATCAAATTAAAACTTTGTTATTTTCATATAATTCCTTGCATAAAAGGTTTTTCTTTGAGTGCATCTAAGTGCATACAATACATAACAGTGTAATCGAAAAAGCTAACACTAAAAATTCTCACCAAAATAATTTTAAAACTGATTTAAAACCGCTTAAATCTTTAAAATGATAATTTAAAACGTTCATGCTATTAGCAAAAAGAGATGCAGGAAAACATATATATATATATATATATATATATATATATATATATATATATATATATATATATATATATATATATATATATATATATATATATATATATATATATATATATATATTGCTTGCTTATATATAGGTGCTTCACTGTGTGGTAACGTGGATTCACTTCTCGATGTCCTCTTGCATGGATCGGTTCCCATTCGACTTCGAAACAACGACTGAATATATTTTGGCAAATGTTTCTGCACCGACGATGATGAGGAATTGGTTTTTTTCGATCTATTTGAACCACTGCTTGTATCAGTTCCTAGTCTAGAATAATGGAAAGAAATGAAGAAACATAATGGAATTAGTCCACCTTTTTCGACGCTCTCTGTTTTTCATATCTTTGGCACCAGAACTGAGTCGTTTTGGCCTTATTATTTCAACAGAACTGAATAATTCATATGCATTGTCAATTTATCGCCGAGTCGTTTACCTAGATCGTCGTATATGAACTCTTTTGGATGCTCTCGATCCTTGGTCGACTCGCAAGTAGTTTTTGTCTTTTCGACTATCGTCGCGCCTGTCGAATGATTTTGATTTTCCAAAGTTTCTAAAAGCGACACATTTTTTTCAAAATGTGGTTCGCTGTTCAATAAGTACCTTTGATTTCCTAAGCTCAAACTAGAGTGAGCACGAGGATCAGTTATTTGCTTGTAGACGTGATCGACTACCGCTACCCGTTTCTTCGTAACAAGGCCTAAATGAAACATATTTGTGTTCGTTCAAAGTAAAAAAAACTACTCACCTAAGTCCCATGACAATTTGTGCAATAATAATCTAAGCAGCAGAATTGAATCTAAAACTAATCCAAGTTTGCACAAATGAGCTTCAAGTTGTTCAAGTGACAATAAAAATTGGCAACCCAGTTGGCTAAGTTGCTCTTTGTTCTTCTCAAGAATCTTCTTTTGCTCGGAGTCGTTTGGTAATACAGCTGGAGGTGATCCGCAACTTGGGGATTCTTCAGTGATTGGCTCACTTGCAGACAAATGTTGGCTCTGTTTGACCAGTTCCGCAACTTCTGCGAGCACTTTGAGTAAAACTCCTTCAACGGAAACTGCGGAACGTGAAAACGTGCTCATACTTCGTGGAGTTGCACATGTCTCACAAATATAATCGTCTTCATTTTGCTGAGCGTTTTTTGAAGTACTCGGCTCGAAAGCTATAATGACTTGCTCAAGTTAAATCTCGTTTAGACGTGAAACTACCATAGGAGCCGAAAAGATTGACTCTACTTCCAACACGGTCGCCCATTCCTACATATACGAGAACTCGAGCGGCGTGGTATTTAACAAAAGTTCCATACTTGGTACTATGATTTGTATAATACCAATCATCGGCGGGAAGAAGCATTTGAATTAAAACATCGTCAATTTGAATATCAATCAACGTCGAGTGGGTGTAAGGATCTAATGCGATTAATGCTAGACATTGAAGAAGAAGGCACAATAATTGGGGTTCCAGCGTTGGTTCTAGCAAAACCACAAGGCTTCTGAGTTGATGTCGATCTGATAATCTCGTTCGGAATTTTCTATAACGTTCCAGATTCTATAGTGTATTTTGCATACACACATACTTGCAGTGTGTGAGAAATAACAGCAATCTAGCTACAAGAATCTGTGTACAATGTGCACAACATTGTCTCCATCGATGCGCTGGACTACAAACGGACCTCGATCCCGCTTCCCGATTTTGCATTGTTATTGCGTTGTGCAGTGCGGCAATGACTTCAATTAATATTGTTTCAAATTCTCAAATGAGCAAACAAAACCTTGGCTTGGATCCATTTCGGCGAACGAATTCATCAAATCGGATTTATGACGAGTTGGCGCAATTGTAGGAGAAGGTAGCAAAGATTGGTCTCTGTGGTTATTTTTTCAAAATAAAAAAAATGGTTTCCACTAATTACTTGTATCCAGCTCCATAAATGAAAACATGATCAACAGTCGAGTTTTGATCAGCATTTGAGTTGAAAGACTCTCCCGCTAAAAATTTTAACAAAATCTGAAAACAAACATGCTTGAAAGCATACAAGGTGTTGGAGGCTCGTCAGAATCAAACACGTGAGATCTGTTTAAGATACGCGAAGAGTAAAAAATGACATCGTTCATGACAAAGAGATCGTGAACTAAACCTGCATCAATGATCTGAAACCGAATATTTTAAGTGTTTTTTTCAAATTAATAAACTAACCTTATTAAGGGTGTTTAGTGCAGAAAATTGTCGACTCGTACCGCTTTTTTGTAAAAAAGTGAAACAAAATGTTGCGATTTGACTGAGAAGCCACGTAAGGTGCAGTTTCTTCTGCTTTTTGTACGTTGGTGTAGACGACTCATATTCTTCAATAGCCGTCTGAAAATGAATATTGTGGTCACTTTCAATGATATTTTATGCTACATGTATCATTTTATGTAGAAGACCTCCCATATGGCCATCGAATTGATCGCGATCCACACTTGACGGTGTATTTTCCATTTGCGCAGAGAATTTCGACAAGGAATTCTGAATCATAATCGGAATTTTTAAAAAATTGGCGAATTGCTTTGTTACCACAATATTATCGAGACATTCCGGATTACACGCCATTTTTTTGAGTAATTCCCATGCTTGTTCCCAACTAACACAGTCAATGACGGGATCTGAAGGGTTGAATTTTTTTGAAGACATTCACTTAGAATACAATTTTCCATAACCACTCATCAAATTAATCTCATTTTTCTCACGCAAGGCAAAAAAATTTGTTCAATGTGGCAAAAAATTTTGTTCAATTTTTTCATAGTTTATTTTTAGCGTCTTGAATCAGCTTGCATCCTTCATTCCAATTGAAGATGCAAGAATGTGAAGTAGTGGTTGTTGGAAACAAGGGAAAAAAGCGTTTGGGAGTTTTTAGTAACACTTTTAAACTAAACTGTAAAAACATATCAAAGCGAACATCGAAAACTAAATTTCAAATTATTTTCATTGGGGAGCTTAATTATTCCATTATGAAGGAATTTCAATTTTTATACGTATAATTTAAAGGAGTAAGGTTTGCACATACGAAACACAGCAACTCATTTTCAACTTACATTCCTTTGCATTTTTGGTCTTTCGATGAAGCTGAAGTGAAACAAGCGATTTTCGTCGCGCCGATTCCTTAGCGGACGACGTTTCCAGCATACTGCACGTCGACACAGAAGCTGCGGCCGACGGTCGTGGACTCAGTGGTGCTTTTGATAGCGAACGTTCACCTTGTGAAACTAAATGATTCTCATGCAATAAAGGGTAACAAATGAAACATATAAATATGAAAATAGTGTGCGCTGTTAATTCCGACTTAATTCATTATTTGATCTCTGAAACCAATTTATCCTTTTGAAAATCCCCTAGTTGTTTGTTATAGAATATTCGTCAATCAGATTGAAATATAAATTATTAGAAAATAGTTTAGAAATGCGAATGTGTATAAATCATAAAAAGCGTTTTGAAAAATGTGACGTTTAGGCAAACATAAGAGTCATTTTGCATTTAAAGTAGTTTTTAAGACTATATTGAACAATGGGGTTATCAAATAGTGGATCTAAAAAGAAAATTATATTGAAAATTAAACAACGCACATAATTTTCAAAGGAATGATGATTGAATAATCAATAGCAAAACACAGGGGGAATGAAACAAAAATTATAAAAAACACCAAATCAGACGGGTTTGAAGCAACATACATTTTTAACATTGTATTTGAAATCTATCAAGCCCGTGATTTTCTTTTAAAAGATAAATACTAAGGGATGTTGGAGTTCTACAAGCTTTCTGTGATACAACCTATTTTCCAAAAAGTGTTCTAATTACCAAACAATTTGCAAACTTGAATCAAATTCGCGTTGAAATGAATAGATGCTTCGTTGTTTCTCCATTCAATCTAGCTTTGTTTTTTTTCTGTTTTTCTTTCAGGAAAAGGAATTTTAAGTTCATTTACGTCAGCTACTATTCTAGACAATCCAAAAAGAGAAAAAATGTTCATCAAGACAACTAGTTGTCCATACAAATAAAGTTAGTGTGAATCTAAATTAGATTATTCTTTTATGCGGGATGAAGAAGTAATATACTATGAATATATAAAAAAAGTGACTTACCGTTGTCAACTTGAAGACGATTCCATTGTTTTGTCATTGGACCTGGTGTTGATCGGGACGGTGGCTCACTTTCGCCGGAGCAGGCACTCTTGAATAACTCTTCAACGCAGGTTTGCTGAAGTTTCTTGAGCTCTGGAGCCAAATCGAGCGGACATATTCCTCGCATGTTTTTCTGCTCAATTCTGAATCAAATACAACTGAATCTATTGTTCGAGAACTGTGATGAGTTTTGATGTCGTGATAATTTTGGCATGTCATTGAACTGTGTTGAAATGAACAGTTAAAATGAGAGCCCATGGATGAAGTAATTATTATGTTAATACAATAATTTTTTTGATTGAATGTAGAAAGCGCATACAAAAATTGTGCTAAAAAAACAAAATACTTCCAAAAATGTATTCTTTCTTCTACCATATTGCCCTTTGGTTCTTGTTTGATTTGCATAATCAAGTATGTAATCTGAAATTCTAATCTAATGGTTTTTTTCACATCGGTCGTATTGGAAAATATTTAAAAATAGTAACCATAAATTAATAAGTTAGTAACGTACATAAAAAGAAATATCGTGTTATTACTTCTAAATAAGGAAAAAAAGATTTCTGATATGAAGATATAGTGGGATGAGGCATATAAATATGTTCTATGGGGCCACCCTCCATTCATTTTCAATGACTTCAATGTCCTGACTTCGAAAATAAATAAAAAATGAGTTCTGTTCATAACAGCTAATCTTGACTTTTTGAAATAACTTCATGTGGGCTTTTGTCTAAAGTGCGTAGCGCATCATTTTTTATCGAACGCGTAAGCTTTTAGTAGATGAAACTAACTGTGCTCCGAAAAAAATAAGCGTGTGTAAGCAGGGCCATGATAAGGGCGATTCCCGTACCGCCAGCATAAGTGGGGTGTTTCCATCTTCATCTCCTGGAAAGATGTTATTTATTTTTCAATACGTTATGTTTTTAGGATTTGAAAATTTTCAACAAGAAGAGCAAATCCCTAACCGAGATTTACGTCTGCACCGTAAGCAATAAGAAGTGCAATAATTTCGCTACTCTGAGAGCGAACTGCTACTCCTAGAGGAGTTTGATCAACGATTGAAACCACGCGAAGCTGAGAGCATGTTGAACAGAGCTCCGGTGTCATTGAGTGGGTTCTGCAATTTATAATTGGGATATAGAAGTGTATAATTCATTCACTAAATTTTGTATAATAATTATAAATACGCAATTCATCGTTTAGAAAATCCAAAAATAATGTGTCACGCTTCATTCATTTTTTAGAACCAAATTTTGGAAACAATGTTATTTTTTACATCCCGATAAATAAACACGTGACGATCAGAAATATAGAATTTCCCCGCAAAAAATCTCGACTGCCAGAACAGTAATCCGATATTCTCAATTTTTCTTAACGTTTTCCCACAATTGGAAAATGACGTTTGACCTTTTTCAATGTAAAAAATTCGCTCGCCTTGGAATTATGGAAGTCAATGGAATATTGCCAGTGGCCGTACAATTTCCTTTACAGTGACAACTCGCCGGCGCATTTGGATCATAGCCATTTTTGAGTAAAAGCTCGACGATGTCGCGCTGCTTATGAGCAACAGCCATATGAAGTGTATTCATCATTGCGCAAGTCGATCGTCCACCGGAATGTGTTGAAACAGTGCTACTTGCATTTGACCTTCGATGAGCACCGGCTCCGTGTCGCCGTTGGGCTAATTCTGTCAATGTGTTGGTGCTCCCTGAATGTATAAACATGGCATATTTCAATCAGATATTCAAACCACATAAATTTTTAATGACACGATCAAACCTTGCTTTTTTTGGTTTAAGCAACTCACCAATTGATGGAGAAGTTGACATTGGCTGTTTGGAATTGTGAGCTGTCAGAAGTCTTTCAACAAGGTTTACATCTTCATAGTGAATTGCCTGCAAATGATTTTTTAGAGAGAAAATGAGGTCCTAATAAACACATCCTTATAGGAAAACGCGTGAAATTTGAACTAAACAGGAATTTGAACCAAGCTCTAATTCCAGGCGAGAAATGAACATTGAGAAAGCGAGTGGGCGTGGTTGCATACGATGGAAGCGCAATATGTGCCGCCCGAAAAAAAAAAACAAGATATGGAATGAAATTCGTTGAAAACGCATAGCTTTTCGGAAAGACCCGGTTCCTGGTTAATGAACAGAAAATGTGGAAAACAATGAGTTTGTCGTCACAAAGAAATCTCGAACATGTTCTGTGGCTTATGCTAGTACAGAATTAAGGGAAAGGTTCGAAATTATCGATTATTGAAAGAATGTTCATATTAAGAAAATAAATATATTTTATAAAAAGAAAAATATTTAGACATTAACAGTTCCTTGGAATTTTTTTTTAATTGTGCAAAATTTTTTAAAATTCACTTTTTTTACAGTTTTTTTTTTCAACAAATGTATAATATTAAGAATTTTTCTTATCAAATTAAGTATTTCATTTGTGAACAATTGAAGAAAATCTTTAATGAGCATTTTTAAAAGTTTCCGTGAAAGTGTACAAACTTGTACGAATTAATGTCATATTCAGCTTATATTATATATCGATACTATTCTATTTATTTAAAGAAAAATTATTCTTCAAATGTTGGAAAATGTGATGTAAAACCTTTTACAATATTAATGGATGAGTCAAAATTGAATTTTTCATAAAGTATCTACATTTTGGAAAAAAATTGCAATGTTGAAAAAATGAAAAAAAATTTTAACAATACTAAATTAGCAAAAATAAAGGTGAGCGAAATTCGTGAAAACCTTGGAAACATTCCTTTAGGCACTTACGTTTTATATATGAAAGCTCCCATTCCCAAAATCGAGGAGATACAAATCGTATTTCTTATACAAAGACAACGAACAAATTAATTTTTTTTTCGTTACGATGGATGTTTTTCATTTTTTTCGAATTGTTTTCAAAATCTTTAAAAACATATGTCTTTCGTATGTCTATCAAGATGGCTTGTGATGCATTTCAAAATAATAACAAAAATTCTTATTGTCATCAGCATTTTGTTGAAAAATAATCTGTCTTCTTCAAATGTTTTGAAACAGGCGGAAGCTTAATAAAGTGCTGCTTATATATATATAACCATATGTTTTAGGAAAGAAACAATTGCAGCTATAAAAAGAGAGCTGAATGGGAAAACAAGTGGCAAATGGGACCCGAAACAGCAAAAATGAGTAACAGGGAGCAGAATCCTAATTGAACAAGTGTCAAATTCTCATTGAGACCAAAATAGGCGATGTGTCAAAAGAAAAATGAAAACAAACCTCAAGCATGATTTCCGAAAGATTCTGTGTTACAGATGGCTTCCTATCGTCCCTGAATAATCTTCGTCGGTATTTTCTTAGAGAATAAGTCCGCATTTTTTTTTTCAATAGTTGAAAATTTTTAGCTTGATGCACTACGAAAGTCGCAAATTTTAGGAAACGTAAACTTCTGTTTTCTAATCGAATTTTTTACGGGAGATAGACACCAACATTAATTGCATTTCGAAGCGGTGCCGTTGTTTATTTAAATGCAGTATATTCAAATAAATACCTATTGTTTGGCAGAGCGAAAATCCGAAATTTTTCGCAATATTTTGCGTCACGTTATAAAATCGTTAAAAATTGTGACTTACACTTCATGCATTATTGACAATCTCTGGTGGAGGCTAAACGCTATATTATGGAAAACGGCAGCATTTTTATTCTAATACGAGGTTATCAGATTAGTGATTCTAAATCTTCATCATCGTGTAGTGTTTACACGGACCACCAACTACACCATTCTTATATTAGACATATTATCAATCTTGTTTTAGTCATTTTATTTAAGCATGACTCATAGAAGAACAGATTTTCTGAATTTCTTGAAAAAATAAGAAACGAGAAGCAACATTTCAAAACATGTAACATGGCCTGAACAGAAGCATTTTAATTTTAAACTAAAAATGAAATTTTGACACATAATTGTTTTAAGGAATAGTTTACAATTAAATAGTTTATATGATTTTAATACAAATGTGTCACTGCTTACCTTTCTCTCATTACTCGCTGTGCAGCGCCAAATGTAAATGATCTACCGGTATCGGTCGGTGTGCCAACTAGAGAAGAACACTCGCTACTCTCTCCAGTGTATCTTCTCCCTGACAATCCTACAACATAATTCTTTATTACATTGAGCCAATTTATAAACAAAATAAGGGACAAGATGGGGAATATCTCAATTTTCGCTAATTTGACACTATTTCGTCACTAATTATATCATGCAAAAGAATTACCTGACTGCCCGCTCTGCTGCCGCTGCAAACGTTGCCTCAATCGTTTTGCTGTTGATGCCGATGGTTCGGTTCTTGCCAGTTCGTTGGAATATCCAAACGTGTACCTGTACTCAGATGTCATGGCCTGTTGAAATTGCTGCCAACAACAGAAATATTTTCGCTTTTGCCGTGTCAATGCGCGCGCAAGTTAAACTAACGTTAATTATTCGAATAATATGTCGACATGCTCAAATATATTATGTATGAAACGAGAAAACTCGATTATCGGCCAGTTATAGATAACTATTGACGACGATGTCAAATGCATGACCACATGCAATCGAAAACATATGAATTCAAGAGGAATTAAAATGTAATATCTTGTATGTGCTTATAATTCTTATCATAAATCTCATAATTATTTTATTAGTATAAAATCGATAAGAGTAGTAATAAACATGTGAGATTTCGTTTCGTAAAAATTGAGGACAAATGTCACTTGCAGATATACAATGACATGTTTGAAACATTTTCATTGAATATCTAGAAACATTTTTTCTGTTTCTTCCTTTGACCAAAAGGAAAGAAAAAATTATTTTTTCGAAATTGCGCAATGCACATGGTTTTGCATATATCTGGGCAATATTCTGAATACAAATCTCAACGAGCTGGTTGTTGAAAAAACCAGACCTCTTATTACACCAAAACTTAATAATTCAATTTAGTAAGGCTTCTTTTTGGAAATTGTCTCAGAACTCGGATTTGTAAATAAGCTCGACTCATAAATGTTTATTGCGAACTAACATTTTTCAAATTACTTATCACGATCGCAAATAACAAGTATGCTTGTGTAAATTACAGTGATTTTTATATGCAGGTTTTTTGTAGTACGATAGACTTTAATTCCGCGCCGATTGAATATTAATTTGATCTACCTCGCTGAGAAAGTACGCTAGTCGGAAAAGACACAAAATTCTCATTTTTTGCGATGATAATGCACATTTACTTGCATATACTTTTGTCAAAAAAATGCAAAATTCATACCTGTCTGGGGTCTCCATTGAGGAATCACGTGATGTTGGCATGGAATCCAACTGTAAAAAAAATGAATTATGATCGATAATCAATTTTCATTTGGTATGACTAATTGAATAAAACTAGCAAATAAAAGTGTCAAACGGATATAATACATAGGAGAAGTGTGTACATCGATTTGAAGATTAGCAATACTGGGATTTATTTAAGCCGTTGATATTCATGTCTCTCCTTTTTGACTGGGAACATCGGTCCTTCTCTTTCAGCTTATGCTCTTCATAAGTATTCTTTACACTAATAATCGAATGAAAATAATATGAATTACGTCGGTGATTGGCTTAGTAAAAAACAAATCAGTTTCAAGGAGTTGTTGAAAAAGTGTTTTAGAAATTGCAATAAACAGACATTCAGTGCTGTTGTTTTTCAGTTCGTAACATTTTCTATAATCATTGTGAACTAATTCTATTTATAGTATATCAATTTTACGAATATAATTCACTATTATAATGCTACTGCAAGGAAAATCACATATATGTGTACAAAGTGAAATTTCGGATTTGGTTAATAACAAAAATTAAATTCATAAATGTAACACTTGACATTTTAATGACCATTTTTCAAGAAACTGTTTTAAGATTTTATGGTATTATTATGCCAAAAGATTAATATTATATTTCCGATTTAGATTTTTGATGTTTGTTGTGAATTTTTTAACAACAAATAGAAATATCATATTTCTCATGTGAAATGATCTAAACAGGATGATCTGTAGACCCTTTTAAATAATTGTGGAAAAAAGAAGTAAACAAATAAAAAGTTGCAAATGATGTTTTAAAAATATTCAGTACTACCGATAATCAAAGAGAAGTCAAAGCATTCGATCAGCGCAGTTGAACATTGTGCCAACGTCTCAAATCAATCACTCACCAGAAATCAAAACTCCTAGATCAAATTATTTTAGATGATTTCACGCCAAGCTGAATGAACGCAAATAAACTGATAAATTAAATAAACTGGGAGCTGTCAAAAACCGTTTTTGTCATCTGACTTACTTAAAAAATCACTCAGCTGCGATCAAAAATAAAAAATTTGATATTGACGACCATCAAAATGACGGCCATCTGTCTGCAACCACATAGCTGGTGGTCCTCAGTGAATGTAACACGTGTCTCTCGTAGCTGTCTGATTGATTGGACAATCATTTGCCAGTTATTAAAATTCTTACAATTATTAGGACACAAAAATAACAAAACCCTGTATTGTCAATCCTAGTTAACGCAATGAACAGTGGTTCACTCATGATAATAAATAATAAGCAATGAATAAACAATAATCTTATGACATGATGGACCCAGCGACTTAAATTTTTTCAACAAAAAATATTAAACTTTATAATAATATTGTACTTTATAATACTCGTTTTTATAAAGGAATAGGGAATTAACTCTCGGACACTTATTTCTAACATTTCTTCTTCTATTTAAATTTTATTTTGAGCTGGAAAAATCGTTTAAAAAATGAGTTCAACTATAAATTGAACACGCATAAAAAAAACAAAAAAGAAAACAACTAATGAAAGACGAAAAGTCATCTCTTTTCGGTTTCTGATGACTATTCCTTCTTTCTCTTCGTTCTTGCAGAAGTCATCTGCTGAGTTTCATTCCATAATCAGCATTAGTGTAAAAAATATTGATTTGTGGGAAACCGGAAAAACGTAATATTGTGAGCATGTAGATGACTTCGTCAATTTCCGTTTACTTTTAGCATTTTTTTCGGCTTAGCTCAATTGAAATGCGAAGTAATAGCAAATTTTTTTCAGTGGAAAAGTGAAAAAGAAAAGTAATTACATAAAGAGTTAGATAAGAAATTCACAAAATGCGCAACAAACGATGAATAAGAAACGTGAAATAGAAGGAGATTTTCTAAATATCCAACGACGAATAATGTAAGCACTCAATTATGTTAGGACATTATTTGACAAAAAAATAAGGATTGATCTTAACCTCTGAAAGAGTGATTATTTAAAAAATGGTTATTATAATGATAGAGCAGATGGTTGTTATTTTCAAGAACCTACCTACCAACACGCAATCATAATTTTTTAAATCTAACGCTCGGGATTATAATTATAAGACACTTTTCATGGATTTTACAGGACTAAAAAACTTGAGATTTAACAAAATTTTCATGTAGTTGCTCTAATGTGGACTCCAATATTATGTGACAAATATTCAAAAGTGTGGGAAGCCTATATTTGATCGAATGTCTTATCCGTGTGACAACTAATTCCATGGGCGTCACCTGGATTATCAATGAATACTTGCCAACCCTTATTACATTGAGCAACAAAATACTGAAGTATTTATTAACAATTACAAATACAAATATATGTATATATGTATACACATAATAAATTTCTAAAAAAAATAGACCGATAGGTATATATCGATGCTAAACGTATTATGAGTTTTTAGTGCGTTCCTGGAAAAATTTCAACGATAATGAAGTAAAGAGATTATGTTAAACCACTTAAGTGAGTGTAATGTGCATGATCTGCAAGCCAAAGGGATGAGCTTGATTCTTGTTCGCAATCATCTGACATTTTGCTAATGCGTTGTTTTTAATTATTATGTATTGAATAAATATTATGCTATTGCTATTACTTAATAATAGGATAATATTTCATACTTATACAATAGATGCCCATGGTTGGTGTCAAATTTTATTCCTTCTTACATGCGCATATGGCGAGATCAAGATAAATGTTCGTAAATCTACCCGCACACATTTATAGCGTCGACCGATTATGCTTGTTTTGAAAGTTGTGTAATTGTTGATTGAATAATAAGAGCGTTATTTTTCGCACGAATAATTCAATTATTATAAATTTATATTGTTTCAGTTGAACTATATATTATAATGTGTCTCTTAAACAAGTAGGTTCAGATTTTTTATTCCATATTTAACTTTATCTTCTGGTAACCAATAGGTCATTTTTGATTATTTCACTGCCAATAAATTTTTTATTTTATGAAATGTTTTATTTAGACAAAATCTGCATATATCAAACCTAATTATTTTATCACCCATTTTTTCAAATAATCAAAATCTTACCGATGGAAATTTGTAGGATGCCTTCAGTGACATTTCGCGAATCAAATGTGCCAAGAAGTTGAACAATGGTGATGATGAACTCATTTTGCTAAGATCTACTTACGCTTTATTAGTTTCTTTAATGTCATAAAGCAAATGAGTGAAGCACCATCATGACTCTTTTCATTCATACCAACCAACTATTTGCATTATGCATGAGCTATGTGCACTTATTATAATCAATGTATGGTCATGCTGAATTTCAATTTTTGTGGTATCTTTATAATATATAAATTCTGGATATTCCTTATATTTGAACAAACGTCGCATATTCGAGTTTATTAGTCAATGTATTTAAAAAATAGACAATTGTCATTCTGCCCAGAATGACACAAACAGAAGAAACAAATGAAGCTAAATGTTGAATATCTACTGAGAATAGTGTAATGAAGATCGTTGTGAAATAACTGAATTGATAGAAGCCATCACCCTAATAAATGGAAAATTTCACATAAAAATTGCACAACACTATGGGCTTGAAAACATGCAAAGAAATACGGTTTCCACCGTAACCGGGAAAAAATTGGGTTGAAGTTCTGTTCGCAATGTATTGTAATATATAAGTGAATGAAACACGTGCATGACTTTCAGAATTTCGAATTGAAATTGCATTGGTTATGCAATGATTATTTGGGTTGAGAGCTCGCCCATGGCACTGAAAGCGAAAGAAATATTATTTGTCTCTTCGTCAAAACCCGTTTGTAATTTCATTCTTTCAGCAAAGCATCAGGGCTTTCTCTCTGGCCAGGTCTGTAGGCTTGCTTCTTGTCTGAAAATAAACGCTTGATAACAAATTTCTAAATTTCCTTCAAATGTAAATTATATAATTAAAATAAATTGTTTGGCTCTCAAAATGTTTTCGAAATTTTTTTGAAGCTTTATTTATACAAATTTCATAAAATCTGAAATCGGTTGTTTAGATTATAATCATAGAATAATAGAACTGGTTGTTTCGTACAACCAAAGCAAATTTCAAATTCTTAAGCTGATCAACTTACTGTTTCTAGCTTTGAAGCACAAAATGAAGAGGATCAAAATCACAAGGAACAGCAAAATAGTTCCGAGGATAATGAAAATTCCGCGAACTCCAAACAATGAAAAGGAATTGAATGGTACGTTTGGACGAGAGTCAGTGGTGGTAGTGGGCTCATGAGATGATGACGTCATGATTCTCTCGGTAGTGGAGCTGGTTTGGGTTACAATCTAAATATAGTATATCCATTAAATTTTAGTCTGTCTAGTATCCGACCATCTGAGACGTCTGGATACGAATGGTTGTTGATGATGGGAATTTCGGTCTCACTTGTGGTGTGGTTGCATAAAAGGAATCCGGCGGAAGGGATGAGCCCTGCAAGAAAAAACATATGTTGTACACTTTTATTTCCTATTTGAACAGAGCAATACGCGCGCACCGGTCGGGCGTCTTGACCCTTGTTATTTACAAGAAGCTCGAAAATACACGTGAAATATAAACCATGCTGTTTGCCGCTCTTGTCGGACACACTTTTGTCAAGTCAAAATCAAACAAATCACGCGCGTGAGCCGCTTTTGTGTGCGTCGCGCCGAACGCATTCGCAAGACGAGCACATCCCAAATGTTCGAGCATACTTCATGTTTGATTTTCCCATACGCTTTATTGATATTCAAACAATCCATGGGAGCCTATCAATGTTAAAATAGAATTTGGAAATTTACCAAATGATGCTCATTGTCTATATGTGTTTTCATTTAATATTAAAGCGCATATTGTGTGCATATGGACTATTGTGCGTACAAAAGTAATTAACCATAAAATAGTGCACAGGTGTGATGATTGGAGGCCCTTCTCGACGAAGATAATTCAATTGTGTATTTATTGCGCATTCGCTGCTCCTAGTATTGCATCATAAGAAATTTTTAGGATGGCGATAAAGCAAAAAAGCGTACAGGTCAGCCTGTCTGTCTGCGGTGAGCAAACAAGTTAATGATTAGACACAGCTCCACTGCATTACTATAATACTAACCTCCATATCTTCATCATCGGTAATACCATTGCCACTTCCTTCCTTGCCACCGAGGTGAACACTTTCTTCCTCATCAATGGATTGCGTATAGATTGATCCAAGCGATATCAATAAAATAATGAAGGATAATTTCCTAAGAAGCATTCTGAAAAATAGCATATAACTTAAGGGGTTTTTTTTAACGAAATTTACATAAAAGTGAAGAAGAAACAGGAAATTAAATTTAAATTAGGTTTGAACAAAAAAATTGCATTTTTTTTTGTTGAGATTCTAGAACCTATTCGGAAAAAAATTAGTAAAACTTCGATGAATGTAGTATTTAGAGAATGTGTGAAAACAGGTTCATAATACCATACTACCAATTCAAACACGATTTATGATTTTTGCGTGAAAATTATACAGAAAACAATTAAAATAATAATTGTTTGGAAAAGTTGAACATATTGGTTATTCACAATATTTGAAACAGAAATGCCCAAAAAGCTTTTGGACATGCAAAAAAAAGAACAATGTCAAGAAATTTGGAATAAACAATTCCAACTGACCACACAACAAAGGGCAATAAAAAATACCACTGCGTAGAGAGCATGTCAAATTCGAAAAAATTATGCACGAGAATAATACGCATTTTTTCCCGATCAACTCAATGCCCATATTTGACTTTTGGGTGGGAGGCAACTGACGAGGGTGGCCGAGAAGGAGTGAGGTAAAGCGAACTGCGCGCACTGTATAATTAGACAGCGTATTTGAAGAAGAGACACGTCCAAAAAATGGAGGTCCGCGCAGGTGTTAGCCTTTCTTGGTCAGTGTATCTTGGTCAGGTCCGAGATTACTATGAATTTAACTTTGTGACATCTTAAAAGAAAATTGGACAATGACACCTTTACTACTCGTCACGAGACCTAATTAAAAAAAGAATAGGTGGATACAAACTTTAATTTAGTTGTAGCAATCTAAAACATTAATCATAAAATAATTACGAGATGGTTTTCTGTTTGTATTCATATATTACATTTAACAAGGGGTTCTCCCGTACTCTTTGGGCTTGATTGTTATCTTTGTATTTTATGGTTATGATAAACAAGGTCACGAACGTATGGTTTTAATATTCACTATTTGTATATATATATATTTGCTATTTATTTTGAGGAAATAATCTCGAAAGACAGAAAAACAGAATGTGCAACCAATCAGAGAAAAAATATCCGAGTCGTCTTAGCCACTCGAGCGTGATTTATTTATATTTTTTCTTGATTTTGCTTGGTTGAAATAAAACACACTAATTCCAATGCAAAAACCATCCGTATGAGATACATTGTGAAGGGTAGTAGTAGTTGTAGTATATAATAGTTATACGAAGTTTGCTTTGGTAATTCCATAGAGACTATACATAACTCAGAAGAAGTATTTGATGCACAAAATATGAAAATTGCTTTGAAGTGTTTGAAAATGATTGAAAGTGTTGAATTAATCTTGTTTGAAAAATGGATTTTGAGTCTTAAGGAATGTTTCAAACGTTCCAAAGACTAAAATAAATTGGATTTTTTTGTCTAAGTCGGCATTGGAAGTTATGAATAACTAACAAGGTGAAAGGAAAATGAAAATATGCCCTTGAAAATTTTGACGTAAGATATCTTAAAACAAAAAGAACAATTTTTGAATGAGGAAAACAAAATAAACCGTATTAAAAATTGGTCGAAAAATTATTTATCTGAAAAATAAAGTCATCATGGTAGACTTTAAAATATTACAATGCTTAAAATAGGCAATAAATTTAGTAAAAATGTTCTGCCATTAAGACAAATTTTTGTAAGTTTACGATGAAGTAGCTAGAATATGATAGATTACACTCGAATGAACAAACTATCCGATGTTAATCACACTGATACAATGTCAACAGATAGAAAACAAAAAAAGAGAAGCGAAGCCAAACGATTAGAAAAATGGAATGAAACAAGACAACCCACACAAAAAAGCGCGATGACAAGAAAATTTTCAACTGTAGAATTTCGCGCAGTGAACGCGTAGGTAAACACTTGTATGTTTTGTCTCTTCTCTCGGTATTCCATTCCTGCGTCTTAATGGTGGCTGATGATATATATGATGATATATGATATATATACAAATATATATACAAATATATATATATATATATATCTTTCTTTATCCTTCAAGCAACCCAAAATTCTCGGCGCAACCGCGAAACACGCAAAATCGGCATTCATTCAATGAGAAGACAGAGGAGAATCGTCCCGGGGTTCGCTCATAAATTATCAAAAAGATTTCCGATTGAAAAACAATCCTTGAAAAGCTTGCCGACAACTCGAACAAGCGTAAAAAGGATCAATTTATTATAAATGACTGGAGAACAACGAATAGAATAAACAACTGACCCATTTCATACGTTTCTTGAAGAAAACGAGCACACGATACTCAAAGTTATTCAAATGCAAATTTGAGAGGACGGCTGTTGGTGCCCAAGAATTGTGGGACCCACTAGCATGCGATCTGTTACAACGACGAATGACAAAAATGGTAGTAACTGTCGGAATGAGAGATGGTTTGGGGCGTTCAACACAAATACTCTATCTGAGAATGACGCGTTTGCTGCTACAGAAATCCTTTTGATTCTTTTGAAATCAAAACTTAGTCATACAAAATATGATTCCAGACACTTCGAAAACATTTATCAGAGGATGATTGGTCATTTACGATCGGCGAACAAAAAAGACAAATTCTCTCTGATATTGTTAGTTCTGCGCGTTGAATCGGATTAGAGTACAAGCTAGTGAATAAAAAATTAAATTTAAATTTTTGAACATTAAAAAAATAAATATACGTAATTTAGCCATTTCATTCGAAATAATTCTAAATGAGTTAAAAAAAAGGTCTAGCGAAAACGATTCCATAAACCTAAAGTAAAATGGACGTTGATGAGGATCGGAAATATGTATGGCGTTAAACATCAAAGCATTTTCGGGGAAGATTTAACGGTCGGACGGTTAATGAAGCGACACAAACATGTTGCAATTTAGAGCTTCAGACGGATTACAGGCCAAGGTCAAACAGAACATTTGATGCCGACAAGAACACCACAGTAATCAAATTCTCATCCGTAAATGAGTACTTGACGGAAAACGTCGCGCGCATAATGCGTAATGAAATTCAACAATGTGTGTCGAAATTTCTGAGTTATGCGTGAATGATCGTCGTCGGTCGCCTTGGGTCGACACGCTTCCCCCACTAATTTTCAATCGATTTGACATCGATCCGACGTCGAGATACAATCATTTTGCCGGCAAAGTTGCAGGGCGGGTCATGAGCGCCTCACTCAATTCGCCGATGCATTTTTTCCGAGTGCCAATTCGCACTGGCGCCAAATTTATTGCCTATTTGGCGTCAAACAATTTTATTCGTTTTCAATGTCTTTTCCGAATTCAAAAATTTTTTAATGTAAAATGGAAAACGGTGAACATATTAATTGTGAACCGGGTGCGACCTTGTAAAGAACGGCAATACGATAAAGAGACTTCGAATCCATCTTCTATTGTAGACTGAACGTGATTTGTGAGATTGTAATAAAATAATTATACCAATGTATGGCAAAAGCCAGCAGCTATTTTTTTGGAAAAGCATAAGGAAACGAATAAGCTATAAAATATAAGGCCGGAAGACACTTTCCAACAATATCTAGTCGTTTTTCGGCCCACGACCCACGGCCCACTACTTACACGCGAAATTCCAAGGATATTAGAAACGAGATCTGGTGTGACTAATACAAACGTCTTTGAAATAGATCATGAAACGCATAATAATTGGCAAGCGATAATTAGATTCAGCGTCATTTATCACATCAATTTCAACAATGCAACGCTTATTCCGATCGCGTTTGCCTGCCACGCCAACACAACCACACCGAATAATAAAAAATCGCGATTAAATTGTCAATTCTGATTAAGCGAACGACGTATCATGCCGCACTCATTCGATCAACACTTGGTTTTCAACACATTTTTGCCCAAAACCTAGCGCTGACAAAACAATAAATTTCTGTTATCAAGAATCATAAAATCTAAAACAGACACGTCTGGATGCAATGATGAATAATGTGTTTGATGTGCGCCTTTGATAGTATCTCCAAAAAGTTGAGAATCAAGATAAAAAAAAATGAAGTGCACATTAGATGGATGTTATATTATTTATCATAATATTATGTGTATCTGCACACTTGAAAAGAGCTGCCGTTGTTTGTATGAGGTCCGGTATTGGGACTCGCGGAGTTCATTTTTATCTCAAGCAGATATCGGGAAAAGATAATCATGTGTTTTTTGAGCAATGTAGTCTCTCGTTTTGATTAGAAAAAAAAGAAGATGGACGAAAGAAAAACTAATTTCTTCAGCGTATGTCCATTCCCTAGTGAGAAGACAATAAAATTGTTAGGCTGTGTGTAATTTTTGCGGAAGCGCGACTTTTGCCCAGAGGTGCTATATAGAGAATTCGTCGGGGATGAACTTTTTTTCTAAAACAAAACCAAACTTCGACGATTGAGAAATTCTGTTTTCAAGAAATGGAAATTGTAAATGTAGAAAAACAAAGTTTTAAATGTCTTAACGAGAGTTGTGAAGAATTTATTTTTGTTGGGTGAAGAGATTTGAAGAAAAGTTGACATTATAGTTGCTTTTTATAGTAATTCTTCATACGTAATCATGACAAAAATGAAACGAGAGTCAATATTTGTGAAAAGCAGAAAATGAAAAAAAGAATGAGCAATTGGGACAACTTGAGCGACAAAAATGCATTACTTGGGACTTTCGAGGATATGTTCAATGATGCCGTTGATGAAGATAGCATTTAAAAAAATAATTGCAAGAAATAAGTCATTTAGCGAACGGACATTATCGTAGATCATCGTTTTCTTATCACTACTCATTTTGGGCATTTCTCAATTCAACGAATAAAGAGTCGGCGAATAGAAACATCCGGATGCGAAGACAATTACGTGATTGTAAAAGGAAATGCCCGGTTACATGTATGACAGATATGCTAATCCGGTAATTATGTGCCGAAAAGGATTGAAGAGACGAATATGTGACAGCTGGTGGCGTGCATGTTCTTAAATTATATTTTATTATATTATTGTAGGTCGCCGGCATACTTGACAAACATATGCGGGGAAATAAGATATGCTTTTTGAGCTCAATAATTACTTGGGATATAAATGTCGACGGCCATCAATAAGAATATTGATTTTTAATATTTGCAATGAATTTCATTGTACATTTACTTAGCAAAATTTGCTCTTACGTTTACATTGATGGCAGAAAATTAACAGAATATTGACTACCAGTGAAGAAATGAAATAACACATTTGAAAACTAATTGTACACTTTCAATATAGCCTGAAAACGAAATAAAAAAAAACGCAGCTCAATTAATTCAAAACCAATAAATTATTCTATCCAAAAGCAAATCTGCATAGCAAACGAAGAAAGAGATTAGGAGCTAGTGCAAATTTGGACTAACCTATTGGCCAAACTTGATAGTACTAGAGATCAGCTCGAGTGGAGTGTTTGCTCTAGATGGTACCGATCACCTGCCATTCTTATTCAATGTCATCTCGTTAGCATATTAACCAAACACATCATTCGTTCACAACATTCGAACAACGGGATGGAAGTAAAATTAGAAAAAAAATGAGAAAACAAACTTTTCTGCTTATTTACTTTGCTATAGTAGATAGATGAACAAGGATTCTAAGCAAATAATTCAATTTTCCGTCAATTTCCAGTGAATATTCGAAAACGCGGCCAAGCTCTCTCAGAAAATCGAGTAAAAAGAAAGGATGCGTAAAATAGTGTCAGGTGTTTTGAATCACTCACTAGGATTACAACTGATCACGTTAATCAAAGACCTCGTTCATTTTCATCACACATTTTCTCTATTTTTATCGTTCACCCATCTGCAGGCATTTTCGATTCCGATGGTCGATAATTAAAAAAAAAATGAGAATAATGTATTTATACTGAAGAAATGGAAGACATAAGATTTTTATCGACGGTATTAGTGGTGGCAATGCCACGTTTGCCCTGCTTCTGTGCAAGTCGCCAATAAATTCCTTGCATCTGGAGTAGTTCTTCATGTGTTCCTGAAGAATATGTGTTTAATGTTTGGGACAAATATCGACTTTTTTTGCCGACTTCTGTACTGGCACGATGTCAACAGATGTATTCTTTACGTTTTTACACACCGATCAAAAAATCACCTTGTCATTTGAAAACAAGATTTCTTATGGAAAAGGAAGAAAACACCTAGAGAGTCAGGTGTTATCTTCGTGGCGTGCTTCCTATCTTTTTTTTCAAACGATCGACGAAATGATAAAAAGAAGTTTGAAATATTATAGCCATTAAATAATTTAATTACCTTGTTCGGCGACTTTTCCTTTGTCGATAACGACAATTGAATCAGCCTTGTACACCGTTGATAATCGATGAGCAACTACAACGGTTGAAATATGCTTACATGCGGCATCTAATGCATTTTGTACGACCTTTAAAACATCATTGAGTATTTATTGTTTTATGACAATCAAACCTTCTCACTGTCGTTATCCAAAGCACTAGTGGCTTCATCAAGCAATAAAACTTTAGGTTTTCTTAAAATTGCTCGGCATATTGCGATTCGTTGTTTTTGTCCACCGGACAGTTGGGCTCCTCTTTCGCCAACGATGGTTTCGAGTCCCTGAAAAAATAAAGATTACAGAAGCAAGAAGGAAGAATCCAAATCAAATACCGCTGGAAATTCGTAAACGAATTTATAAGCATTTCCTTGCTTCAAGGCTTCATCAATTTCATTTTGATCCACAAATCTCTTCAATCCATAAACAAGATTTTCACGAATTGTTGTATTGAAAAGAACGGGCTCTTGCGAGACTAGAGCAACATTCGATCTTAAATATTCCAGATTAATATCCTGAACATTTTCTTTGTCAACGATCTGAAAATTTTGAAATTATTATATTTGTGAGAGAACTGTTTAAAACCATTTCTCCCTCGGTAGCACTATAAAAACGCTCTAATAATGCGATTATTGTTGACTTCCCACAACCGCTTGGACCAACAATTGCCAACATCTTCTCTTTCCCCAAAGAAAAGTTTATTCCATTTAGAACCATATTGTTCGGTTGTTGGGCGTAATGAAAATGAACATTTTTTGCGCAAATTTCTCCGCTGGAAATATTTTTCTTTCCATCTTCATTGTCCAATGTTTGGGTCGCAGGAAATGTTAGTAACTGAAAACTAAAATTGAATATTGCTAAGCAGTTTCAAATACTTTGAAAATTAAGCCACCAGCGTATACAGCTTTTTTGTAATCCGGAAAATATGCTGCAGCGTCGCCAGCAGTATTCGCAGTGAGAGTCATAAACATAACAACTCTGAAAAATTATTGATTTCATTTATTGTAATTCTCATCAAACTTATAAACATCCATTGGCATTATTTTATATTGTAACACTAAATATACGCCAAACTTAAAGCTGATCGCTTCGACTAAAATCCATGCACAGTTTGCAAATCCCCACGATATTCCCTGATTATAGAATTCGCATGAGTTATTCATAATAATAATGTACCTGCTTAACAGATCTGATTAAGTTTTTGCTAAGTAGCGTTTTTAAGCACTCTTCTATCATAGATACCATTTTGTTCTCAATGTTAAGAGCTCGTACTGTTCGGAAATTATCCAGAGCTTCAGTTGCAATCTGTATCATTAAAATATCCAGAACTTTTGTATTTGAGAGAGTCATACCTTATTACTATGCTCAAATGCAATAGTATCTTCATGCACAGTCGTTTCAGTACCTTTGGTTAAAAAATACTCACCCAAAAATAAAATGGGATAAAGTAGAATTATCTAAACAGTTGTTTCACTTTATAAGTCACACAAATTACAAACTTGAATTGTCAATTGCCAGCTGTAAGTAAATGACATGGCCCATGCAATTACTATGGAAACAAATGTTGTTATAACATTTCCGATTCGGAATTCAATTGTTGCTTTAACATTTGAAGCGTCAGTATTCAATCGAATACTAAGTCTTGTTGGAGAATGATGGACGTCATCATAAAAAGAACATGGAATCGCGAGAAGATGTTTGAAGGATTTGATGCGCAGCCGAGTTGATAACCTCTCCGAAACATAACCAAACAAGAAATACTGAAAATAATTTAAAACCTGAAAAAAATTTAACTGATAATACCTGAGTGAAAATGGTAATTCCGCGAATAAAAGCCAAACTTATAAACATAAGAGACCAAAAATGGCCATATGTTAAAATATCCTCGCCTTTCATTGCGTATGCCTAGGTGTGAATTTTAACAGTTTCCGTGAGTTATACTTACCTCGTATGTTTTAGAACACAACAGAGAAAGCAAGGGATAATTTGCACCTTGAATAATACACGCTAATACTGCTAGACATATGACGCAAGAATCAACCTTGCAACATTTTAAAATCTCCCAAAAACTTGATTTTTCAGCTCCTTCTTCGCTGAGTTCTAAAGTGAGTAATTTGCTATTATCAGTGTTAATGTAGCAAATTGCCTTCAATTAGTCGTTCTAATTCATTGTTTCTCACAGGTTGTGGTTCATTGCTTACACTTCTTTGCATCAAGTATTGTCGAGAAGTTTCTTCTGATATTGATCCGAGTTGTACTGTTCTGAGATCATCTAAAAGCTGATGATAAATATATTTGCTTTTAACGAGTATACCTTCATGCTCGGGTTCGAATAATTGTGATTGGACTAAGTCACTATAGACGCTTTTTTGCTCTAGAAGTTCTTCATGAGTCCCAATTTCCACAATCTGAAAATGTCAAATAATAATTGAGAAAATATGGCAAATAGAGGTAAATTTATGTATGTATGAAATCCGCCGATTTTCTTATTCGCTTATTTGTCTAGGAGTGTTAACAATTTACTTCGATGTATTGCTTAAATCATGGTTCATAACAATATTCTATAAAGAATTCATATTTTTTGGACTTAAAAATGAAATCTTTTCTTTATTTAAATTTTGTATGAATTACTATATTACGTTTTTCTTTAGTTTTCAATATGCAACATCAAACTCAGAAACATGATTGAAATGGAATAAAAACGGATGTGGAATTTTTTGCAAAAATAAAACAAAAGCCATACTTCTCCGTTTTTCATCACAATAATTTTTGATGCATGTCGTATTGTTGACAGCCTATGAGCAATTACAATTGTTGTTCTTCCGAGAGAAGCCTAAAAATAGAAAACATTATTATAAATTAAGCTTAGCTTTTGGTATCGAAGCCAAGAATGGCCGGCTTCTGCCAGGGCCATTTATCTAGGATTCTTTTGGCAGTTGTCGACTTCGGACGTGAGATGTGTCAGACGAAACAATAAACTTTTTAGAAATTTAAGAATGCTTACGTTTTCAAGCGCTTTTTGCACTGTAGCTTCGCTTTCATTATCCAATGCGCTTGTAGCTTCGTCAAGTAGTAAAATTTTAGGGTTTCGGATTAGAGTACGAGCAATAGCAATTCTCTGCTTTTGGCCTCCCGATAATTGAGATCCTCTTTCGCCAACAACTGTTTTCAGCCCCTTAATTTAAAAAAAATGTGCATTATGACAATCAAAACTCAAATAATACTTTAGGTAGCTTTGAAACGAAATCATCCGCATTTGCTTTTTTTAATGCATCCCAAATTTGGGCCGAAGTTGCTGCCGAATTTGCAAAACGTATGTTCTAAATACACAAATGGCATCACTATTAAAATAAATTTAGTTAACCTCTTCAACAGTTACATTGAAAAGAACTGGCTCCTGAGACACAACACCAATAGCGTTTCGAAGACTTTTTATATCAATTTCCATCAGATCTTTGTTATCGATCAGAATTCGGCCCGAGTTTATCTCATAAAAATGAAGAAGAAGCTGAACGATAGTACTTTTACCGCTTCCACTTGCTCCAACGATAGCAATACATTCTCCTTCTTGAACGTCAAACGAAATTCCCTGAATAGTTAACTTGATATTAAAATTAATGGAAAAGTACCTTTAAAACATCAATTCCTGGTCTAGATGGATATGTGAAATGAACGTTTTGAAAAGAAATTTGACCGTTTAAATCTTTTAACTGTTCTCTACGTTGTTTTTCCTCAATCTCGTCATCATCCTAAATGTTTCCAATCAATTCTTGATTTTTAGAAAACAAGAAAGCAAACATTGTTAAGGATGTCAACAATTGGTCTCGCAGAAGCCATCGAATTGGCCAACATAGAGCAATATGGAAAAATTTCACTTAATGAAAAAGCTCCAAAAAGAAGATAAAAAAATGTCTGAATGTCAAAATTTAATATATATTCTCAGCATGTGGTCGCGATTTACAGTGCATATCGAATTGACAGTCATCAAATTATCGTAAATTAAATTGGCCCCAATATATAGTGTAACCGCATTGAGAAGATTAACAAAAACATAATGTACGCATCGAGACATTCCATAATAAAATGCGCGACGAATTCCTTGTTTTTCACCTAATTTTAATTCAGTTTCGTATCTGAAATTTTAAAAGTAATATTGAATCCAACCATTTTTTTCAACTTTTCTGCTTCCAAATTTTGTCCATTTAGTGAGATAACAGTTTTAAATGAGCTTAGCGCTTGAAGAGCTATAGCACCAGCATTCGAATAATGTTTGTTTTGTTTTTCTGTATTTTTCATTAAACTCTGAACCCTTGTTATTTTAGGTTTCATATAAACACAATTACCGCTGAATTGATAAATCCAGAACCTGCAATTCCAAGTGCAAATAGAACAACATATGATGAAAGCTTCCAATCAGTTACGAAAGCCAACACAAATCCCAAAGTAATTTCAGCACCTAACTGAATAATGAATTCGATTTTCTCATTGAAACTCTCGCGAATTCTTTCTATATTACTAAAATACGACGAAATTTTTTAACGGAATTATTATCACATACTCGTTCAAAATTGTAGACAGATGCCCAGAAGAAGTTTTATCAAAAAATGCCGCATCTCTTTTTAAAAGTTGACGAATAAAAATTATTCGCAATCGATATGTTCTCCAACAAATCGAAATGTAACCGCCTTAATTGGACTTATTAGCACTTCAATGAAGCGTTTAATACCTGAAGTGTTCCACAGATCATAATTGTTAACGCAATTAGAAAGAAATTGAGAAGAACGCTATTCATATTATGCGCGAATATTTCAAGTTCTTTTTCGATTTCAAACGGTTCTGAAAATTATTTTTTGTTGCAAATTGAGAAACTATAAGTCTACCCAATGTTTTGTTATTCATTATTGACGTTATATCTGCAAGAGCTTGTATTAAATCTCCCTAAAAATATCCTTCTTGTACTAATATAGGACAAGTTTAACACTTACAAAAATTGAGCTAATAAAAATCATAGCTGATCCACAACTAAAGGCAGCTATTGACCCTATCAGTATAAATACTTTTTCATGCCATTTCAAACATTTTAGCTGTAAGATTTTACAATTGAACCAAATAGTGATTTATAAACTTACAAATAGTGTTAATAGACCTTGTATATGGGAGGTATTCTCATTCTCTAAAAAACTAGAGTTTCTGCAAAATTATAATAATAATTATAAAATAAAAACACGATTAAACGTACTCCTCCATTGTGAAGTGCGATAAAGAATTCTAATTGATAATACGAGCGCATTTAAGTACGAATAGTGATGAGAGATTGTTTCGCAATATTTCATCAAATTGTGTGAATCTAACGTCAATGTTTTCATCGAACTCACTCAATAAAATTTCAATAAGCATTTATGTTCTTTGAGAGCCATTTTTGACAAAAATATGCTTATATGGAATCGTATAAAGAAAAATCAATTTTATAAATGTTCAGGAATGGCATGAGAACGACAATGTGACAAGAAAGACTCAAATTTAGATAAAAATGAACATTAGCTAGAGGCAAATAATGGAGTACAAACTAAACAAATAAACAAATATATACATAGAAAACATTTTCCTCATTTTTTTGAATAATCTATATCAATTTTAATCAAAATTTTAATATTTGTAATTTTAGATGTTACCGGAAATGCACCTCTTTCTCTTTTGACCCTCAATTACTCAATGGATCGGCTTTCTCGAACATCAATTATATTGCAAGGTCTCTCACCGCCCCCCTTTCGTTTTCGTAAAACTGGCCACTACGTCATCATCAACTGTTTAGTAAGTCAACCAATCGTCGTGTCTGTATATTACGTCAGAAATGAAGTATTGCTCGCCATGGAAACTCGCATGCCTGGGATTGGTTTTGCTCATCATCCGCAAAATCGTCATCGCCTGCATGGCCATGTACATTGTAATGCAACATTGGGATGAAGTCTCATTTGAAAAAATGGTTTTGAATTTTGCCTTATTTTATAATTCATGAAATTAAGATTCAAAATGAAATGTTCCAACGTTCAATTGCCCGAATGTCTTCAACAAATCCAGCCCTTATTCTCATTCTGAATAAACATGCGTTGAATATGACTTATAATTGGCTTTGCAACACCCAACAATTATCAGGTACAATATATGTGTAATAAAATAATAATTTGAATGAATATTATGTTTTCAGGAGTGCACGAGAACACGCATATTGTAACATTAGATGACGAAGCTTCTGAAAAACTAAAAATTTATTGGCCAACTGTTCCTCAAATAAATTTAAAAATTGATGGATTGAATGTTTGACAAATTTCTAAAATATTATAACATGATTTTTTATTTAGGACCCGTTCAATTACGGTGACGGTCATTATCAGTTGTTTTACTTGTTTCGGGCTAATCTTGTTCGGGCTTTCTTATTATTCAACAAGCCGATTTGGATGGTTCAACAAGACACATTTTGGAGTGATAATCTGATGAACATTGATCTTAAGAATAATACAAATGATGATATTATTTTTGATCGCGCTTCAAGTAAAAGTCCTCTCATAGCAGGTATATTTTAACAACAACGCTTGATTTCTAAAAATAACAAAAGTTCAGAAGTTCAGAAAAGTGTTTATGTTCCTCAATACACATTTATTGTAATTTTTTGTCATTGTAAATAAGTTCTCTAAAGAAATACAAAACTTCCTCAAATTTATTTCTATAAAATGATCTTGTTTCTCTGCACGATCAAATCATGCAATTTAATCTCTGACCAGTTAGTAACAAATGAACTTGCAGATAATCAGAGAATCTCTTCAACTAGTAAACATCGATTTTGTCTTTATTGATGGAAGATCTTCATTTTACTTTTTTGCAGGTGGTTATTTTTTGGCAAGGCCAACATACAATTCGAAACGATATTTTGAGAAGTTAGCGCAGGATATATCATGGTGGTACGCACCGGACAATGCTTATATGACGGCGTTGTGTGAAGTTTCGGGATTGGCGAAATGTGGAAGATTGCCTTTCCAGTAAGAAATTGCAAATTTCATTGAAATTATTTTTTTTTTATTAGTTTGATTACGAATTGGCAATGGCTTGAGAATGTGTCGGGCACAATACCACAGTTCATTCAGTTTGACGGCGAAACGAAACTTAGTGGAAAGTTGGGAAAAGTATAATAAAATTAAAATCAACTTAGACTATCATTTCGATATAATATTAATCAATAAAATTATACCAAAAAATGTGTGAAAAATTCAGATGAAGCAAATTGGATTCTATTTTCTCAGTGAAAACATCGACCACCCAATTTGCAATTTTACATCAGTCGAGGTTACACATTAATCTATCTTGTTTTAAAATATCTCGCGTTTTCAGAATGCTCGAAGTATTTTGAATTCCAAAGTCTCTCAATGGAATAAAGTTGCCTCATATAGTCATGGACAATTCAAGATGTATCAGGAAATTGTTGATAGTTTCTACATGACACGTGTCGGCGCGGCCGCTCTTAATTACTTTGTGCTTCCTTACGCACATTTCTGTATGCTTTCTCTGTGAGAATAAAAATTTCAATAACGCACATGTTCACTTATCTTTTTCAAAACTCCACTCTCTTTAGCTGTGATAAGAGAAATCATAAAAAATCTGGTAGCCTCATAAATAGGTGTAGTTACCGTTTCATATCAAATATTTCCGTATGCTCCAATTTTACAATTTATAGATGCGAAACATTATATTTTTGGGGATTTTACTTTTAACCCTTAAGTTTGCTTCGAGTGGGGTTTTGCGAAGTGGATACGAGAAATGGACAACACCGAACGGTAATTATGTGCCGCCTCCACCCAAGTATAAGGTCAGTGACATTAATCCAATTTGAGAACGACTAATAATTGCTTACTTCATGCAAGATAATTCAAGATACCGAATTACTTTTGGAAGGGGGAAATATATTAGTTTTAGAGATTAATACTGATTCTTATTTGAGCGTAGTTATAATTTTTATGATTAGCGGAAATTGCGAATTTATGACTGTGTTATAAAATTTTTTACTAACAACCCGAATCGTTTAGATGATAAGGTACGCCAGAGAAGTGCTCAATGATCCGGAGCACCTGTCCGTTTCATGCTTTGCTTGCACATTTGCCGTTGATGGTGTTCAAATGCTTCTTGCACAGAATTCTACAGATGAAGAGATTGCTAACTTTTTAGTGTGAGTGACACTCAAAAAAAATCAAAATTAATGGAGTTTGTGATTTAGGAATCTATGCGATATGTTTAATATCGAGCAACCCCACGTATGCAAAAATATCATTCTCGCATTCAAGGATGAAGTAGTATTTGTATTAGAGCGAACCGTTTTCACACCACGTGAGATTTGTGGAGCTTTTATTCATAATTGTGGGCATTCCGAGAAGCCTCTCACCCACATGTGGAATATCACCATTCCAGGAGGCAAGCCACCCGTTCGACCCTGGCCGAAAATTCCAGTTTGTGTACATTTGTATTATTCAGTTAATTTGAATGTTTTCCAGGAGAATAAACCAACAATTAAAGTACTTCATCTTTCTGATATTCATATTGATCACCAATATGCTGTTGGCTCAGAGGCATATTGCCAACTAGACAGTGCTCTTGGAACATATGCAATGTGCTGCAGAGATTATTCGAAAGACGGTGAAGGAAGACCAACACAATACAAAGATAGTTTGTGCAAAAGTGAGAAAATTTCATTGATACATTTATATACAGAGCCAATATACGTACCGTCTGGACCATGGGGAATGCCATATTTGTGTGATCTGCCATATCAGACATTCGAATCGGCAATCAAGCATATTAGTAAAACCGTCAAAAATGTGGCACAGCAAATTCAACGACTTATGAAAAAAACCCATGAATTATTCAGATCGACTACATTATTATTACCGGAGACTTTGAGGCTCACGATTCTTGGGATTATACGGAAGAATTGACTAGAGAAAATATGAATAATATGACAAATGTTTTTTTGGAGTATTTCCCAAATATTCCAGTCTACGTTTCAATTGGAAATCACGAAGGAGTTCCACAAGATGCGTCAGTTATCATTAGAATATGTTCATATTTGACTGAATTTTTAGTATGGCACCACACACCATGCCAGAATATGAGTCTCGAGGCCCACAATGGTTGTACAAAATAATGGCTGATATGTGGGGACATTGGATACCGCAGTCTGCTTTGGAAACTGTCCAATAGTTGGGAAACTTTTATGAAACCTCCACAAGTATAATTTTAGCCGCGCAAGTTACGCCGTTTATCCGAAGACTGGTTTGAAGCTCATCTCTCTTAACACCATTTATTGCTCCGAGTTCAATTTGTAGGCTCCATTTCTAGATAACATTTTTTCGCAACCTTGTATTTAGCTATTTATACATTGATGAAGTAGATCCTGATGCAACATTGGAATGGCTTATTAAGGAGCTGCTTGATTCTGAAAAGAAGGGCGATGTGGTTTGATTTAGTTTGCAAGCGTGCGAGAAACATTTTTAATTAGGTTCACATCATTTCCCACATTCCACCAGGAGACAATTACTGCCTCAAAGGATGGTCGTGGAATTACTTCGAAATTATTAAGAGATTTGAAAATATCATTGCACAAATGTTCTATGGTCATACCCATTATGATCATTTCCAAGTGAAAAACAAAATTTTAACATCAATTTTTATTAATACCAGGTTTACTACGACATGGATGATAAGAACAGAAGGCCATTCCATTTCAACTGGATCAGTCCATCGCTCACAACCTATGCCTGGTTAAATCCAGCTTATCGCGTATATGAAATTGATGGTGGTTATGAAGGAGCTACTTATGTATGGTTTTCATTTTTTTTGTGTTCTTCTAGAACGTTGTTCGTGTTTGCTTGCATTGAACCCATTATTTTGTGAATTTATTTTCAAAGCTTTGCATAATTTTTCGTTAATTATTCCAAACATTTCGTTTCTCAGGCGCTTTTGCAATTGCGTTAAAAGTGCAAAACAAAGCAGTCTCGTAAATTTGACTACTTTCATGTCTATTATTTTGCAGAATGTGAAAGACGCTTATACCTATTTTGCAAACGTGACAGAAGCGAACTTGAAAAACAAAGAGCCGGAATGGAAATTGGAGTATAACACCCGACAATTTTATAATCTTACTGACTTATCCCCACAATCGTGGTCAGATTTAAGTGATCGACTCTGGGCGAATAAAACGTTGTTTAGACAATTTGTCAGGTTTTGATACAGCAATTAAGCATATCTATAATGTCGTTTGTCAGATATTTCTATCGGAACCATTACAACAACGAGTGTCACACGGATTTCAAATGCCATCGCCGATTTGTTTGTGACATCAAAAAAGGACGAAGCTATGATGAGAGTTTCTGCGATCATTTAACAAAATAATCTTTTACTTTGAACTAATCATATTATTTCATAAAGCTTTTGGTGACAACGAATTTCTTCTAATGTATCAGATTACTAACGCTCCACTCTCAATTTCACTTTTTTATCGTTGAGCTTCGGATATTCTCCATCTTGCTCCTCTGCAGCTTCTTTTCCATCTTCCCTATTTTCCGTTTGAAGGTTGTCATAAAAACATATCTCATCGCTCACGTCTCTCGTTTTGAATATATTTCACCTAAACATTCGCGAACCATTTTTTACATCAATCTTCGAAAGCCTTCAACTCGAAGCAAGAATGGCATCATACAGCATATTTATTACTTTACTTCACAAGTTTATGGGTTTTGCCTTCGAGCTCCTCCTTTTCTCTCATCTATAAACCTATTCAGGAACGAGGCCACTCGAGCTCTTCAAAAAGCGGAGAACAAAAATGGCGAATTTTCTGCCCATCCCGTCGTTTTTCTTTTCTTGTATAAACGTTATCTTCCGTATATTTATTTGTTTTTAAGAATCGTGTTTCGAAATTTAGGCAAATTTCAGGGGCTCTCAACTGCAATGAACAATGCAGAAAGCGTAAGTCATAAATTTTCTCAACCCGATAATTTGGAGGCTTCCCGAAATTTTGATGTAACATGTTGTTTTAGTATTTCATTCTCAAATATATAAAGTGTAGCAAAAACGATTAAAAAAAGGGTGAAAAATAGAATGAAAATGGCTTTCTCGGAAAATAACATTTCCGGAAAGCAAAAAGCAGAAATGCAAAAATAGCTTATTGTTCTCCGCTAGTTTTTCGTAACATTCGATGAAACTAACGATCGAATATATGGAATTTCTCAGTTTATTTTCTATTTGAATTTTCAGGTCGAGGGCAAAGTGAAACAATTGGTTTCCAATTTGACGAATACACCCGTCGAGGAAATTGACATGTAATTTAATCCGGCATTTATTTTTTAAATGATGAAATTATTTCTAATTGCCTCAATTTTGAACTTGATTAGTTTCATTTAATTTGCATTATAAACATTTCAACCCATCCTGATTTCAGGGAATTTGATCTGAAAACGAGAATAGAACGATCGGAGAAGAATTTCTTCAACATGATGATGGCCAATTCGCTTGGCTCTTATTTTGGTGTAAGAATACATTCGGTCTTGAGGGTCTCATTTTTCTGCTTCTAGGTTCTTACGGACCCCCATCAAATAGCAAAATGTCGCACTGTTCAAGATATTGTCAATCGTGTTCATAAGTATTCTAAAAAATAAAGTTGATTAACACGAAACATTTATTATCACTACGGTTTATATACATGGGCATTGGGTTCACATACTCAGAATTATAAATAAGTGATTAAAACACATCGAATCGTCACGCATGTTCAAAAAATTTGTTACCGATAGTTTTACAAGTTGAAGAAAACAGTATGTTTGGGTTTTAAGAATATATAGGCTCTTTGTAAGAAACGAATTTCAAAGAGTAAAGAATAAAATGAAAAAGAAATAATAATCGAACTGAGTCAGAATGACGACTAATATGACGGATACATTGTCAAACGGGCTTCAATTTGAGGCGAACTTTGCATATGGTTTTTGAAAGTTGGAAATGAAAGAACAATTGATTTTCACGATGACATTTCCCGGAAGTCGCTAATTGACGATAGCTGGATGGCAACATCTTGCATATCAAGCTGGGGAAATGAGTTGCTTTCGCAACTGCTCGTCTCCGCCGAGTGGTCTGAACCAGTCGAACCTGAATGTTCATATAACCGTATTTGAAATTGCGTCGGATTAACTGGATGCAATCAGAATTAGTATTTTGTTTAATTAAACGTGCTAGATTTCACAATATTAAAATTGCTTCAAAACAAAATCATGCAGTGAACGTGTTAATCGCATACCCGTTTTTTTCACTATAGAATTGCTCATTGAGTACATTCATTCTTTCTTGCAGGAATGCTCCGCGATACCATTGACAACCATAACCTGAACCACGGGCGGTTAGTACAATTAGTAATAAAGCAATTAAAAATAACATGCAGCATAAAACCAAACATCATGAAATAATCAAGTAAATTATATAAAATTACCTGTGGTGTTGAATTCTTGATAATGATTCTCAGCCGACTTAACATCATTGCAAAGAACTTCGGAAAGTTGCTCGTGATCCAAATTCTCAACCATCGCCATATCTCGCTTCACCTTTAATTACAAGCTTTCAAATTCGTGTAAAAAATTTGATATTGATTGCCTTAAATGGGCAAGTGGGCTGTTTAGTATTTTCTGTGTAGAAACGCTTGATGTACGGATGTGTGACAGCCTCATTAACTTTCATTCGTTCAAAAGCATCGACACGCAAAAGCTTCTTGATGAAATCAACCGCTTCACAGCAATCGAAGAAAATTTGCTTAAAAATCAAGTTACAATTATTTTTCATCGTCTGCGATTACATTATTTCCTCGTGTTTTGCAGAACAACAATTCCTCCCAAGTCAAATCAACTTCTAATGAAAAATCTTCAATAAGCTTCTTTGTGCGATCACATCGGATTTTGTCGATGATCTAAAATAATCAGAATTCTAATTCTCCGCAAAAGTTTTGTCGATAAAAGTCTCTTGCCAACAGCGCCGGAAAAGTTTACGTGATTGCTACTCACTTGGCGCCGTTTGACCAGACGATAACAAGTGATAAAATCGATGGATACGTCAAATGTTAAAAGTCTGTCGCAAAACACACACTCAGAGAATGAGAGATTCTTATCCGAGCATATATTTTTGATTATAAGAGCGCAGCCAATGATTTCGATAAAACGAGGAATAAAGAAACGGGTTGCTCACCTTTTGAGATGGTCTTCCAAACACTTGCAACAAAAATTTGATTTGGTTTTGGACACTGCGTCCTCCGAATAGCTCCCGTTTCAAGACCATTTCAGCAAAAATGCAACCAACAGCCCACATGTCGACGGCAGTCGAATGTTCTGGCATTACAAACAGCAGTTCTGGAGCTCTATAAAATTATATTTATTGTCAACAAGTTATCGTATTTTGTTTTAACCTATATGGAAGAGTTGCGACATGTTGAGTCATATAAAAACAGTGTTCATCTGGATCATCAGTTCTTCTTTCAACTTCAGCCAATTTCGCCATTCCAAAATCAGCTATCCTCAAGACACCATCGCTATTCACTAGTAAATTGGAAGGTTTCAAATCACGATGAGCGATGCTGGCTGCGTGCAAGTACTGAAACACAATTTTTTAAAATTTTGACCTCAAAGTGATAAGTAATAGTTCTCGCACAAAATTTTTATCCTACTGTAATTGTGATAATTGCCTATAATTTCTCTTATGCCATAATATACATTCAGAGTGTGCTATTTGTGAAGGTGATTTATATTTCCAATTTAAGAATGTATATTACGAATATATTTTCGTGATAACGATTCGTATCATCCATATCAATTTACAACTACTATATTTCTGTTTACATGATCGCTGATATAACATTGTCAAAAAATTCAATTTCTGCTCATGTAAAAGGGATGATACGTAAATTGGAACAAATCGGGCGTGGTTCGATGAGATATCCTTGAGAGATTTACAACTTTACCAACCTGTAGGCCCCGAAGAAGTTGCACGAGAAAATCAACGATGAGATTTTCATCAAGCGGTTCTGGTTCGCCATAAATCAAGTGATGCAAGTTGCCTTCCATGAGGTCCATTACTGTAAACAACTGAGATATTACCAAAATATTTCAAATTCCGATTACCCAAGTAGACATCTGTCCCTAATGGTCCCTTTGTTCTGAAAATATCGCGAAGGTTCACGATATTCGGATGATCAATGAATCGTAGTACACGAATCTCTCGAAGGGTTCTTCTCGCCAACGTTGGAGTTGCTGATGCATGTCCAATCTTCTTAATGGCTACCTGTAAAGTTACATTTTTGGCAATTTTTCGCATAAAAATTTCTCGAACTTTGTCTTTACTCGATGTTTCAATAGCCTCGCACACAATTCCAAACGCGCCAGAGCCAATGTTTCGCACTGGCTCGTAAGTTTCAGCAGCTCGTTCTAGCTGAAAATCGTGCTGAAGCTGGCGCTTGGCAAGTCCATCAAGCACACGATGGAATCCGGCTTGTTTTGACGGCATACGTTGCTCTGAACAGAAAAAAATGAATTGTGATTCATTCGAATAAAGTAAGCCAAAGGGAAATGACGCAAATTGAAGTTAAACATAAAGGATGGGTGGACACAAAGGTGGGCGAGTTCGGTAAAGTCAATTTTAAATACAAGTGCCAATATTGAAAGAACCGACTGAAAATTGAGGAAAAATTGGATGTTTTTAATAAACGCACTGAGCTTTGGAAACACGACAAAAGCGTACAAATAATAGTACTAAACACCATTCATGATAACGGATGGACATGTACATCATTTACATAAACGTGGACAGAATTTGGTCTTTTTGCAAGCGTGCAATTACAAAACAGGTGTTGGGTGGATTTAAAATTGAGATCACAGTGATTCAACAAACATTAAAGATGTTGCAAGTAACCTGCATAAGACGTTGGCCTCCGGTAGAGCCGATTCGGGTTGAAATTTTGTTTTTCGTTGAAAAGGATATAGTCGTTATCTTTTGGTAGTGAGTATTCAGTCCCCTTTCGAAATCGTTCGTTAGCGTTTTGACGAACAATTGGATGGTTTTGAGGTGCCATTTCTCCTACTGGCTCGTCTGTCTTCTTTTGCCAATTCGAAAAAATGCTCGCCGCAAGATATGATAGCTTAACAAAAATTGTGTTAATGTAGGGAGAAGTGCAATAGTAATAATGGGTTATAAACAAAAATTTTTGGTGAACATTTTTCATGATTACTTCTCCGGTGCAATAGAAACTGATAAAGGAATCACAATACGAATGGTCTTTTATACAGATTGATAACACACTTCAACAACTCTCCAGTAACGGATAGTTGTACAATTTTCGGTAGAGTGATCACGGTATATCAGTAAATTTGACAAGAATAGTAATAATTTTACGATTTCAAATTCAAATTAATCAACTATAGTATTTATTCGAATGGGAAACAATTTGTTTGTGATTGTGATTCATTTTAAAACACCCACGACATTAATGATTTTTGATAACGGCAATAATTAAAATTGAAAACGTTGCGACAGAACTAAATTCAAAAATAAACTATATGCCATTGATTTGCTTATTTCGGCTGCATAAAATAAAACATGAACTGAACTGCGTGCGTAGTCATACTAGTGGACGAGGAGAGTGTCTACTGAAGATAATACAAAACGGGTCCCCCACACGACAAATTAGCGAGCTAGAGATGAACAGCTGTGGTTACAGTAATGTTTTCTAAACAGGAACAATATTAGATGCGAAAGCCATATAATCAAATAACTAAATATTTGAGAATCGAAAAATACTTGTTTGCTTATTTTCGTATTTTTTAGAATTGACTTTTGAATGATGTTTTGCTTATTTTTTTTGTAAAATAGGGGGTTGATAGGAGTAATCCGCGCATCATCAATAATCTTTAAAATAAATAAACACTGGTTAATAATACAGTTAAAATTAAATTTCAAATTGAAACTAAATTTTTAAAATTAATTTTGTGAAAATGAAAATTTTATTAAATTTATAAAATCTATAAAGCTGCTATAATATCATATCAATATGGCCGTCATCATTCGCAAATTTGGTCTGATGACGATAGAGAGTGCAAAAACGTTTCACAAGATAAAACGTTGGGCGAGAAAAGTGAATAATAAAATTGATCAAAAAATGAAAACGATAGTCATTAGGAAACATTAACAATCGATGAAACTAAAACTGATGGGTAAATCATGAAATATCCAATTTTGAAAGTGGAAATCGGACCGTTACCAAACGAATATTTGATTGAAAACTATTACGGGTCTAGATTGGTATATTGAATGAAAGAAACACTGCAAAATGTATACGCATTAGGAAATAGAAAGCATTTTAACCTTGAAAAGAGAACAAAACTTCAATAATTAATAGTAAAACCGCTTTTTTGAATTTCTATTTTGATCAAACAGTCAGTAATTATAAGGAAAGGCAGTGAATCATTTAATGGGTGTGGCAGCCGAATAAACTTTTTACCGGGCTAAGAGAAATTCAAAAAGATTTGACCAAGTGATAGGAATGTGAAACTAGATAAATATTCACTGCTTTGTTCTTGCTAGAAAAAACTTATTACGAATATTGAAAGATATCAAAAAAATTAAATTAAATAATTGACGAGTTTTTTTTTGCATTTATGTGACGATATTTTGCTGATCTCACGTGAGACGTGAATTTTGATAATAAATTTCAATTTCACAATTAGTACTAGTAAAAAAATGAAAACTTACAAGGTTTGTAAATCCCATATTGTAAAATACGATATCGTTTAAATTAATATGTTAGTTTAACTCACCCGACAGAAAAAGCGTTTTTTTTCTTATCGGTTTGCTGTGCAGTCTACTGCTGTCACTGATAGCAAGTTCTTTCGCAATAGTTTCTGGAAAACTTCTTACAGTAGTCACTCGATTACGATTTTTCCGTGAAGAAGCAAGGAATCGAAAGAATAAAAAGTTTTGTGTACCCCTATACGGCGTGTTTTCGCATATTCATAGTAATACAAACACCATGCTCAACATGAAAACATGTTTGAAGAAAAAATTGTCAATTTTTCTTCGATCGAACTCCCGCCATAGGATGCAAATAGAAATTATTTCAATGAGAAAGTATTGAAACTGACGAAATGTTCAAATAGTACTAAAATAGATGATGAACGAAGAACAAATCAATTTGAGTAAATTCAAAAACTCTAACAGTGGCTGTACTCGGAATCACAATGAATAAGAAAGACTAAGTACCATGTGTCATATTTTCACATCACTTTCGGACAGAAGACTATTGTGTAACTATAGTGAAATTTTAAAAAAATGAATTGAAACTAAAAGTGAATTTGAAATTGAATCAAAAATTATTCTAACAGCAGCACGGTTGAGTTCAAGAACCTGAATACATGAACTTTCCGGAATAGAAACAATGGAAAAAAAAACGTTGGCGAAGAGCTCACGTGTAAATTATTTGCCTAACGCAAAACTCCGAAACTTTTCACACTGCACAAAACTAGCAGACAACTGTATCTTCTCAACATTGACGTTGTTCTTGCGCACAATTCTCTTCTTCACGTACACGCTCTCACTCCGAAATTTTCTATATTTTTTTTGCGCCGCACGCGCCCTCGTTTAACCAAGGGACGATTGAGTATCAACTTCTATTTGCATAACGCATCACGCCAAGAACGTTGCCACCCGCCGAGAATTTGCCACCTATAACCCCGAGCGTCTGACAACGCCCTTGCCGCGCCGCGGGGTTTATGTTACAAGGCGGTTGCCGAACCCAGGGCGCGGCATTTCTTTGCATGTGTGCTTAGTCGGCAAAATATATATCAAAGCTTGGAGAATAGCGAAAGAATGATCAAAATTTACTGTACGTAAAAAAGAAGAGAGAGAAAAAAAACTTGTCAGTTATAAAATCCAGAGTTTGTAAAATTGTAATAAAGCCCAAACAACTGTTATTTTCTCATTTCTAAAAATATGGGGGGGGGAGAATAAAAAATCTCAATCACATTAGCTTTAGTTCTTTGAATACTAAACCAATATTTTTGTTTTTTTTTTCGACAAATTGAATAAAAAAAAAACAATTTTTTTCTAAAAACACGACAGAAATACTAAAAAGCGAAGTGAAAGTCCTTTAATCTGCCGATGATTTGTGGAATAGAAGATAATCGTGGGGTAATAGGCGGAAGTTGGGCAAGTTTATTTTTTTTTTCTGTGATTATCGTCATATCTCTGCAAATAACATAGTATTTACCTCCAAACGTTGCCCTCCAACAGTCTATACGCGACGTGTGTGGCATAGCAATAACAAGCATGAACAAAAATACCGAACAGATCAAATTCGAAACTAGTATTTTTATTGCGTAATGATACTGCATGCAGTCTTAATCTGTTCTAATGATAGAATTAAGCCATATTAACAAGTGAAATTGTTTCCGCTCCAGTGCGATCAACTGGAAATATTAACAGCAATCTAAATGAATAAAAGGAATCAAAACTGAATGGAAACGACATTACACTACACTTGTGAAATCCCAGTCAAAAGTGTTTGACCTCTACGCTCAAGAGTAATTGATTTGTATTAATGGTACACGATTCTATATATAGAAATAAATACTCACAGTTATCTTTCGAATTAAATTCAAATATAAATAAAATAAAACAAAGGACTTTAACGTTATCATATGAATTTGATAGTTTGCAAACAGTAAGAGCATCAAAATTCAATGCAAATGTTAAGGAAAGCGATAAGATTAGTCACACTAAACAATGAAAAGACATCAAAAAAATATTTAGAAAAAAAAAATTATAAATTTACGAAGCGACTATTCAAAAAGTCGGCGATCATCACGATCTAAAATCTTGTATGCAAATTGCTTTTGTAGGTGAGTAGAAGATGATGATGATAATGATGAGAGAAGCGGGTATATCGAATCAAAATCAGCTAGAACAGTGATAGGAAAGCCGAGACAGAATGCGCAGAACATATATATATATGCATTCATAAGGCGGTAGTACGCTCAAAGAGATACGATGGCGACAACACTTTTTCCCGCAGAAGGCAAGGTCAAATTGAAATGTGGGAGTTTAACGCGCACGATTTGCGGCACCATTTTGAAGATTTACAATTGATACTGAGAAAAATGACCATTAGAGGATTTCAATTTTGATTATTTGCATTCAAAAAAGCTTATTTGAATATCGAGTCTAATTGTAATATAAATAGCAGGAATCATCTGTTGCTAATTAGTTATTTAATTAGACTAATTTGTATCATAGATAATAGGATTAAAATATTGCGCTATTTCTAAATATATTATATATAATATTTATTTGTTGTGTTTTATTTGATTCACGTATAACTTACACATTGCGTATTTCCTATAATAACTATATGCCCATACTGATTTTATATGTTGTTTATCATTAATAACATAAAAATCAGAAATAGTATGAATCAGGAATAGAAATTGAAAGCGACATAAATAAAAGATCCAATATTTTTCTCCACTTAAAAAAAAATTCAATATTTCATCAGTTTTTTAACACTTTTATTTTCATAACAATTGTCCTGGTTTTCTGTTGAATGCAATAAGCGAATACTGTAAGGGTTACAATCGGGACAAGGAATCGCTCAAGTGTGAATCGGAATATTGGCGACGAACCGCATAAAAAATGTGGGCGACAGGCGTTCGAGAAAATAATGACAATTCAATTCGTTTCACGGTAATTAAGTTCAGAAACAAGATTTTTCTAGTTCTTTAAATCGTTTGACAACTGTTTAGAGTAGTATGATTAGCTATATTAGTCAAATGGTGAGACAATGTCATGGTGATAAGTGAAGTAAATTACACAAAACAAGATCATTGGTTTGCTTGTAGGTTATACATGTTGAACCTGGCGAAAATGCTTCCTTCTAGATTGATATTTGGATTGAGTGAGAGAAAAACGCACGGTTAAAAGGAAATGCCGAGTGACTCAGACATGGATGTCTCCTTCTGATTTGGACGAACATTCCCATTAATGCTTCTCAATGATCGTAAATCCATGGGAAAGGATGTTCATTCGCATTTTGAAACTAATTAATAGGCAAGGATTATAATTTGGGAAATCTGTAGCCAAAAAAAAAGAATGAATTATTCGAAAAATGTGAATTCGATAGCGAGGACGAGTGAAGTAATTATGAAAAAAGCGACCGAGCGAAACTTGATGTATCAAACTTATGGCAGCAAAAAAAAATGCAAAATTGCAATATGACGGAAACGCACACAAGGTAGTCAGAAGTTTTCATTAAAATAATCTGATTTTTCGACAATTTTTTGAGTGAAGAAAATATTGTCTTCACGGAAAACAGGAATTACCGCAACGGCTCATAATGGGTCTTTGTTCATGTTCAAACACTGTTTTTTGCGCTTAACCTGTCCGATTTTCCGTATTACATACAAACATTTCCCTCGCACTACACACCCATGAGAATTATGTCAATATTAGACGAAGCTGGAAGCAAAAATACATTCACATTGGTATTTGAATCCATTGCATTTCGTAATGTTCGAAAATTTGTATTTTTCTATTTAGAAATTGAATTTGAAAAAAAAAACTTCGTAAGAAGAAAAGCAAAAATCCGCCATGTAAAAAATATGAATATACACAGCTATTGCTTTTCGAGACTTGATTAATCTTATCGACGTGCCTACGTGAAACAATGTACTACGCCTTCAATTTTGAACAATTTTGAACAGCGATTGGTAAAACCATTCAAATATTAATTTGCTTTTTCAAGGTTGTTATTTCCTTCAGGTGTTGACTATTATAACAAAACCAAAAATTCAAGGTGTCAGACAAATAAATGTGTTGTCTTTCCTAACACAGTCTGAATGGCACAATGAATTTTGTAAGTTACAATTTCACTCAATAATGATTGGGAACAGTGAATCACAAAAATCGAATATCTTCCATCAACGAAATTTCATGAAAATCGTGCGATTTACAGTAATGCAGTGTTCAAATGAATAATGCAGGCGAAGAATTTTATTCATTCGTGCAGTTGTGAATCGTGTCATTCTCGCACAGAAACCACCATCGACGAGAATTGTTTCCATTTACAAATATAAGCAGATTATCACGTATAGTCGTAAAAATTGGTTTCGCTTTTCACACCGCAGCTATCACAACGCAACGTATGATTTATGAGCGACATTATTAAAAGAACTGTTTAAATACGGATGCAGCATGAGAAAAAGATGATTAAAGATGCAGAGATTCGTTGATAAAACGTTATTTTTTTGCTGCAATAGCTAGCGATGGCTTGCCTTGCCACAAGCGAACAAAAACAATTTATGTGATGTTGGGTTATACGGAAAAGTGAAAGCGGTAAATGTATGAAAAAGCTAAAGTGAAACAAGATTCACTGAATTCCGTCAATAATTGAAGTCAACAAATACAAGAAAATATATTGAAATCCTCAAACATATTTTCTTGCAATTCCTGTCATAAAAACCACACTTTCGGATATTAATACATATATAAATATAAATTTATTGATTAAAAACAACAAAAAAGCCGCTAGGCTTGCGCAATAATTGATGATTTTTACTGGATTTTGTGGCAGAGATATGAAGCCGTATTACAGCGAGTTGTCAAAAACTCTTTTTTTTCTTCCTCAACAAGTGTTCACCTACGTTCAAATCATCAACAATTAGAAATGTTTCCAATTTTATTGCTTTTTTTTGTTCTTATTTTTATGCTCTTTAAAGTATTGTGTTCAATGATCATTGAAAAATTCACCTCGGAATGATTTATATTCTGGAAATTAGTGAAAGTGACTGCATTGTCCACACATTACGGTAGAGCGGCGTCATTTAATTTGTTTTACTTGCCCATACGCAAACCGTCTTTCATTTTTGTTACCACTGTGAATAAACGAAAAAAGAATGGAAAAGAATTAAAACAAACAAAGAGGGGAAGCAAAAACCGAATGAGTTCACGGAAATACGAAAAAAACATTACAAAATTCGAAAAGCGAGGGATCTGGTTTGCGAAGTGAACACGAAAACTTTTGCTTCTTCAGCTTCAATGTCCTTTACATAAGCAAGGTAAAGCGCATGGAGCGCTCTACTGCAGAATTGGACATTATAGCATGAGCTGTCGATTTACAAATAGAAATATTTTAGCATGATAAAAAATTTTGACCTTTTACTTTAGGAATCAAAAGAGTAGGCATAATTAATTGAATTTGTGAGTTTCAAAAAAAAAGTATACGGAATATTTTATTCTAAAAAATCGAAAAAATATAATTTATCGACATTTTAAATTATATATGATTCACCCAGAAAAATTCAGATCGACCTTTTTAATTCTAAAACTACACACAGATTGAATAATTGAAAACAAAATTGCAAATTACAAATTCAGTCTCTTTGAACTGGTTACAAAATTAATTTTTACAGGCAAAATATTTCCATTCCTTTCCCCCAATACTTTATTAAATATATTGCTCTGTAATTTTTATTTGTAGAAAATCAACGAGCAAATGTTTCTTTTTTTTTCTTTAAAAAATCTTTATTGCCAAAAGTTTTCATAAGAGCAATCGTTGAAGGGACCTAATTTGCGACGAATTGAGAAATTGTCAGGGATGACGAGCAAGCGATGAGGTGCATATATGTATTTTCATGGATGAAACAACGTTATACAACACTTTGTGAAAATCTCCAAACGCAAGTCAACACGTATGTATGTAGCGTGATCCAATAATCGTGTCATCCAACACATATCACCTGTTTGCCAAATATTCATCGTTCATAACCTTAAAAAAACTTTTGTAGAATTTAATAAATATATATTGATTACGACTCACGGTGAATGTATTTTTGTATTAGTTGATTTCGATAAGCAGAATAGTTGAACTGCGATCAAATATAACACTTTGCTCATACCTGTAAGTTATAATTTTTGCATTAAAAAAATGAAAAATCATTACTACTAGTGTTTCAAAATAAACCTATTTGAAAGACATGAACCATATTGGAATAAATAAAACTATAAAAATCTCATTTATTAAATGGACAATACTTGAACAGAAATTATGTTACAACCGCGCTCTATTGCCAATTTTCCTCTAGAAAACATAAATGTCGTTGTGCTGTGTGCCCTTGATTTAACAGACCGCCCAACCAAAACTATCTTATTATTGCCAGTTTTCACGTTTCAAATTGCAATTTGATTTCAACTTTGACGATTTGTTTTAAATATAGGAAATAATAAAAATATTTCAGGGGTAAAATGCTATCACGTCCGTCAAAAACTGTTGCTGTAAGCGAATATTATTGTTAAATATTGTTTCACGCAAATAAATTTTCAGAAGCGATTTGCTTCTACTGCGACTGCTTCAAGAGTTATTCAGGAGAAAACGTCGGTTTTGAACAATGGACTCTCGGTTTCAAGCGTCGAACTGAATGGTATTTTGTTAGAAATTGTGACACATGAATTAAAGATTTTGTTTGAAGGGGCCAACTCTTCCCTTGTTCTTGCTTTCCGTGCAGGAAGCCGTTACCAACCAGCAAATAAGCAAGGACTGGTTCACATTATCAGAAACAGCATTGGACGTGACTCTCACGAATTTCCTGGACTTTCGCTTGTTTGGAACACTGCGGCCAATGGAGGACAAATTGTTCGTTTTTAAAAATATTTTATCATATATATATATATATATATATATATATACTATGGGAAAAGGAACCGCCCAATAATTATTTCAGAGAGCTCTTTCCAACCGCGATATTCTCGCTGTTAAACTTGACGTTGTTCGTGATAATGTTCCAGTTGCACTCTCTCTTCTCGGCCAGCTTGGAACCAATGCGTTCAAGCCATGGGATGTTGAAGATGTGATTATTTTCAAAAATGCGAGTAGTTATCGAGCAATTTTAGGTGAAACACGACACTATTCAACCTGATCACGTTTACTTGACTGGAAACACTATTGCACTTGAGCAACTTCATCAGGCTGCTTTCAGAAATGGTCCACTTGCTCGCTCTAACTATGGAACTAACAACGTTTCCGCTAGCGACATCACCACATTTGCTGTAAGCTATCAATTTTTGTAGAGACGAATAATACTGTCTCGAGGGCAGAGAAATATCGGCTGAGTTACGAAAATTTTAAAAATTTCACACAATTTAAAAAAAGAATACTGTTGGGAATATTTATGTATAAATAATTTTTTACAGTCCCAACGACTTCTCTCTGGAGAAGCAGTTCTTGTCGGTGTTAATGTCAACCACGATCTTCTCGTCGAATCGGCTGCTCAGCAGTTCCCAATTGCTGAAGGAACTGCAACTCAATCACCAGAAAGCAAATACTTCGGTGGAGAAGCTCGCAAGTGAGAAATAAAAATAATCAAGTGTTCGAAACATGATTGTAATAAACTTCAGAGATGGACCAGGTTCGCAAACATTTGTTGCTATTGCTGGTGAAGGAGCCAGCCTGAAATCGCATAAGGATGCTGCAGTTCAAGCTGTTGTCGCTCAAATCCTCCTTGATGCCGCGCAGAAAGTCTGCTTGAAATCGGAATCTGTCAATCTCAACTACCAAGATGCTGGACTCGTTGGAGTTCAATTTTATGGCGACAACAGCGGAATCACTTCCAAGACCAAATCAATTGTCTCTGCCCTTAAGACTGCTGAAATTTCAAATATCAATGCTGCTAAAAACACCGCAGCTCTCAAGGTTGAAATTTTTAAACGATCGATTTTCATTTTCTCAAAAGTTTCAGGTTCTGACATCTGGGCAAAAGGCTTCAAATGTTGCTCTTGACGTTGCCACCCAAGTTTTGTCAGGAATCAACGCTCTTTCGCCAAGTGAATTTGCAGAGACAATCAAGTCTGTTTCGGAGCAAGACGTGTCCAAGGTATGATCTTTCAGATAATAAAAATATTCAATTCCGAATTGAATTAATTGATAAGAAAGCAAAATTTGCATTCAGGTAAACCTACACAAAAAAATATATAAATCTTAAGCAAACAATGGTACACAAAAGAGTTGACGTTATGTTTTGAATACCACTGTAAGGTTTTTTAAAACCATTCGTAATTGAATTTCTGCATGTTAAATTTTCAAGATTTAATTATCCAACAAATCGATTTTCGAATTATACCTTCGAATATGAATAATTATTATGGGCAATTTTTCATTGTTTTAAAGCTCAAGAAACTTTTTGCAGTATAACAGTTAGTTAAATGCTAATCGTTTCAATAACAGTTGGTTACTTTCAGTTCCTTTCTCGTGTCACTGGAAAACTCTCTCTTGCTGCCTATGGAACCCCATCGCTTGTGCCCTTCCTCGACGAATTGTAAACTATTTTATCATTGTGTTTCTATTTGAGGGACAATTTTATTTCATTCATGCACATTTAGTTCAGTCTTAATTTTTTTGGTCTTGTTTAATATTCAATAAAAATTTCAGAACATAGCTCAATCCCTTTTTTCTTCATGAATAGTTTTCAGTGGGTTTTTTTTAAAGTAACTGAGCGATGTCGAATATTTCTGCATGTGCATTGCAAATCAGATTTTCAAATATTTTCGGCTTCTCCATTGTCCCATTTTCAGCTCAACACTATTCCTTTTTTTCACTTCGACATATTCATTTTTGTTCACACAATTTGAATAACGCAAAATTTCGAAGCTGTTGTTGAGAGCTGAAAGACGAAGGGGGTGGTTTTGGGGGCGAAGGAATAACACATTCGTAAAAAAAAAACAAGAATAGTTGCATACCCTTTTTGGGAATGCAAACGAGATTTGAAGAGTGACGAATTCGGCAAATGGCAAAAGCTCCCTTCACACATGATGTACCTATTGTTGCAGACCCCACCCCCCCCCCCCCTCTCGGCGGAGTCGAATTATTCAAAACGTATTTCTACTTTCGTCAGATTGAAGATTTTATTTGATTATAGCTCAAACAAGAAGAATAAGCTTTGTTTCATTATTTCTATGTAATCTGTTATCCTTGTTTAAATTCCTATAAAAAATAGATGATGTTTGTTGAGAAAAAATGAACTGTTACTTATCTTTTCTTTAGCTACTATCACTATTTGTTTTCAAGGATTTCCTAATTCGACGAATTAAGTAATGTGAGAGTGGGGACGTAAGTCAGCAAACAACGAACCAAATTTGTTATGAGATTTCATTCTTTTCGTATCGTCGGTGAAGACAGTTATTGCGTAAATTCGAACAAGGAAGACAATTTTTAAGGAAAGCGCGCTCAAGAAATTCACAATGGCCCGACTTCCTTTTTCTTGTCTAATTTCTTGCTGTCTGCGGAATTTGAGCTTTTTTTTTTACATTTTGAGGCCAACTAATTTTTTTGAAGTTATTCCGTGCATGGAAGATGACACGAACGTTATCTTTTCAATTAATTTGCTGAATTTTTGTTTAAATTTTCGCAAAAAATTTAACCTTGTATTTTTGCATTACTCCTCCGAAAATGATGAATTTGCAACGAGGTAAGGTATTAATTTCAAAGTATTCATTTCATTCGACTGACTCAAATAAATAGTTGGCCCCACGAATATATGCTGACCTTTGTTCTGCCCAAGTTATAAGGATTGAAATTTTTAAAGTTCGTTAAAAAATAGTAACTGATAGCTTGAAAATTCATTCTTCTATACACATTATTGCACGTTAATATGTATATTTCTTTATTCGAATAAAACATGACGTAAGCATAATTTTATGGGAAGAAGCTCTGCATATTTCATATTATATTAAAGTTTCGAGAAGTCCTATTAGTGTAACTGATTGCAAAATATTATATTTTTAAATTTAAAATTTAAGCAAAAATTTGACAATTTCAATAATTTTAATCAATAAATTGTTGGATATACTACATTGAAATTTATTTTTATAGTTAAAAATCTGCTGAGGTCATGCATTTCGTTTTACTACTCAATGTTTTGCCGCGATTTGCAATTTGTCATGAACCAACCTTATTGCGGAAACGTTAATCACGTGTTGTAAACGATCTGGTTGCTTTTCGAGAGAAAAAAAAACCCCGAAAATGCATAAAAGTTTCTATGTGCTCGTGAATGTACTCATAATTTTTAAAACAATTCTGCCCTGCCAATAGTGCCGAACAATAGAAATGAGACGCTTTTCTTTTCGTGGCCCAAATGCGAGAGGCGGTTTCACCACGCTTTCACTTCAACACGGCGCCCTCACTCTATTGTTCGTCTTTAGGATATACTTAAACTGAAGAAAGAGAATAACTAAATTTGTTGTCTCGAAAAAAAAGGCGAAACTCGAAAATGTCCATTTCACACGTTGTTTTGTCAAGCGATTTGAGATAATGCCGGAGCGTGAGCTGAAATTATGTTCGTCAAATTCAAAGATGTATTGTTTCAAAAGCATCAAACAAAATTTTTCGGGTTAAAACATGTATCATTTAATTTTGAATAAAATTGAAGCAATTCCGAAATTAGCCACATTTTATAAAATTCCTGTTTATCTACCTTCGTTCTTTATTATTTTTCGAGATTTTATTTAAAACTTTATCTTATTTATCGATGTATACAAATTTGATTAAATGTAAGCAGAGCTCAAAAATACACCTGATTTGGAGTCGCTGTAATAGGATTTCTTATACGGAAATTACTTGCCACACAATCGGCCATAGCCAATTAGTTTCGGTTTATTCTTTTATGAAAATTGACATAGAAGTTAAATCCTTTTTGAATTACTATTTTTGGTTGAGATATTAAAATAATCTCAAAGAAGAAAACATTTCCTAGCAATTGTTGGTTATAATGGTTGGCACCCATTCAACGATGTAGCGGGCATTCTCATTTCTTTTTACATTCTTTTACTTTTCCTCTGATTCTTGTTTCTTTCATATTGAAATTTTGCGACACTGCAAAGGCAACCCCCGATTTATAATGTCATCGTAAACCAAAATTGTTTTTTATTGGTTTACGGAAAGTGGTTTTATAGCTCATGTTTTGAGTATTGATATTCATGTTCCCTGTTCCCATTATTTCCGAATTTAGCATCGTAGGGAAAATAATATTTAGAATCGTCGGAGTAATAATGTTTCTGCAAAATAATGATTCTTTTTTAATGATGGTAGTTCGATTCGATTTCTTCCTATTATGAAAATCTTTAGTATATGTAAAACAAAATAGTCGAACTCAACCCGAATATCACGATCGGATTATCTTAAGGTAAACTGTTATCTTCTAATATAATTTTTAAGATTATTTTTTGCATAAAATCATTCGAAACTCCAAAAAAAGAACCAATTTCATCTCTTTTCGAACATGCGCGGAAAACGTGATAAACGTTTAGTCTTTTTGAAATACATACATATTTAAACGGTTAGGCAAGACAATAATTTCATTTCGTTGTGGTGACTAGCGACAGGTCAACTTTTGTGGATTTTGCAGAAGCGGATTGGTTGGTAATTGACAAGTCAAAACGGCCAACAAGCCTCTCAAATCAAAACTTTATACTTTGTTTAATGACGTGAATTTGCCAAACAATGTCGTTTTTCAGCGAACCAATTAAAGATAGATGAATGTCGATACACCACTCTTTTCATAGCATTTCCTCATTGAAAACTTGCACTAGTCATGGACGTGTTGAACCATGTTCATTCGCTTTTTTCCATATTCACACATTCTTTGCTTCTTGAAGCCACAAGTAGTCTAATTTTTGAAGATTCACGAAACTCCTCCATGCGGTTCCCAATAATGCGTAAGCAGTCTCCATGAGCTGCTGTGTAATCAGTCTCCGTGAGCTTCTCAATTTTGTTAAATTCGATATGGGTGAAGTATTCGATATATGAATATGGCATTCGCAATATTTATAAATGATCGGTTGCGTGTGTGTTTTCATTTCCTACCAGCTTGTTGCTTCTATAGGATATCTATTATCGAAATATCCAATTTCACATCAGACGGCCCAACAAACGCATTTTTGGCAAACTCAGCATGAAACATGTGCCTACTAGGTTGCATAAAACTGTGAAACCATAACTTGAAAAAAATTAGGAGAATGAAAACCGTGTTCAAATTGACGTTAGTATTCCCATTTCGTTCACAAAATTTTCTATTCATGTTAATTCCATGCTCCAGCGTTTCTTTTTCGTTGTTCACACCTCGCATAGTCTAACGCCTTTTTGGTCTCACGGATTTTTTTTATTTGTTGGTTCATGTTGGTTCAGGCTATGACTATTTAGACATTTTTTCATGAGAAAACCTTGAAAAGAACTTAAAAGAAAATATTAATTTTGGTAAACAGTTAAACGAACATGTACAGACCATTTTCAGGCGCACATCGTGTAATCAAATAACGTGGAATAAAACGATAACCGAGGTTAGTCTACATTTATTTAAAATTCATGTACATGCATGAACTTGTTTTGGAGAGTAAAGTGCATTACGAAACATAAATTGTTGGGCATTGATACTGTGAGATTTAATTCTTTTTTTATGTTCACATCAATTTGGTGATAAAGTTCTTATTGGTTTAATTTCTATATACACCATAAAATATGCTTTTGGGCAGTAGGATTGAAATTCGATCTCTTATATATATAGTTTGAAATTTTGCATATGTGAAATTGAGTGCGTGGTTTTGCTCTACATATGTATGATATATCCAGGAAATAAACTTATCAGGGAAACGTTTGTATATATTTGCTTTATTTGCAGTTACTCCTGCATTAACAAAACGTTTTCGAAACTGAAATTTATAAATGACCCAAGTTGATACTCGTCTAAAAATTGAGCATCAGCGTATCGCCGGCTGAAGCGGGCGAATTGTAATGTGTTGTTGCACGCGGTTGCATCGACATCAAATTCATCTAATAAGGTAACAAAAATAATATTTCTATAATTAGTGTGCTTATTCAGTTATGGTATTGTTTCTTGCGGTCTTATTATGACGGGTCTAGTGTTCACAGTTTTTGCAATTTTCCAAAAAGAGTCACAAATTGGCAAAGTGTGGCTCGCCGGACCGACAACGATGGTCGTTGGCCTGGTGCTCGCCGGTAAAGTGATTATCGATTGGGGTCCCGCAATGCTTCATGGACGCGAAGGCTCTATAGATTCGCAATTTTTTGAACAAGTATTAATGAAACGAGTATCTTGCATCAGAGTGATTCATTTTAGATGAACATGCCGAATTCACAGTTCCATCCAGAACCAACACGACAACCACAATTTAGGATAGAGCACGAACCGAAATGCAACGGGGCGGCATCGCATCGCTACGTACAGTCGAATAACAATACTGGCATCCATTTTCCAGCCGGGTATCGTCCTCCTATGCAGTATTTACATAGCCCTGAATCTGAAAATGGGATGCCACGATTGCCCGGCGGTTTGCCTCGAAGTTCAATTGGATGCTTACCTTCACATTCTGTCGATCACACAATTTCACCCGACAACTGTTTGGTATACTCGCATTACAACTCATCGCTCAATAAATTAACGGTGATTATCTAAATGGGCGCAATTCACTACTTTTTGTTGGTTTTTTTTTGCAGTTCCGGGATGATAGGTGTTACTCAATTCCTCGGCACATTAACAATATCAAATCATCTCCTCGAAGCCAGAGATCACCAAGAGCTTCTCTGCACAATACATTTTCGAATCATTCGAATCCTTCAAATAATTCGGGCCATTCTGGCGAGCAGTCATTGGCTTTAAGCGATGTAAGAATTTTTTGATAAAATAGACAAAAACAGATTTATTTTAGACATGCGAATGCACCCAATATGGCTCAATGCGTCGCGGCCCATCTTTGATCCCCAACGGACAAAACGATAATCCTCCATACCAAGGCGAATCATTTGTTTTAAATGAGCGAAGCTATCTTATATAAAACGTACAACTATGCACAATTATGGATAACAAGAATGCAAGCTCAATAAGCACTATTATTACCGAAAATCTGTGGAAATTTTTTGACGGCTAAGGAAATAGAAATGAATTGCTATTGCGAAATGTAGAATAAACCAAGAAGATGTCAAAATAAAAAGTTATGTTTTATGATTGTCAAAATTAAACAAAAAAATTAAATTATTTCAATAATGATGCTTTGCAGGTTTTGAAGAAAAATCTTAAATTTTTTTCGTAATCTACATATATATTGTTAAAAAAAGGTAAAATTTATTTCTAAAAGTTTATTTTTCAATACGTTGGTTTTATTTTTTTTGTTTTGTCACTTTAAATTTTCGGTCTTGCAAATTTTCATATTTTTTGCTAAATTTTTTTTTGATTTTCTTCGTTCTTCTGGTTTCTTTGATTTCAGAAAAATGCGACAAACGATAAATTATACAAATTCTTGAAATTTTACAAGAATACAAATTCGAAATGATTGTTCGCTTAACGAATGCGAGGGCGGAGAATTGCCTCACGGAACTCATCAAGCACAAGACGCAAATCGATGTTCTTGGAGATCAGCGCATAGCTGGCGGTAGATCTCGCTGGTTTTGAGAGCATGTCCGCCAAATCAACAACGCATTTTTCCAAAATTTCCTCCGCAATCGCGTCAAGTTGAATATGGGTAGTTGGTCCGCGAGCCCGGAAAAGCGCTGATTTTCGAACACGCTCCTCTAAAATGGTTTTATCTTATCAGTTTCGCCTTCTTCGTTTGTACCAAGGATTGGGAATGTCAATTTCGCTCCAGAATACCCCATAAGCATAAGCTTGTCGACTTCGATTTCCCAGAACATCATTATTTTTTCCGCTTCCACGATGCAAACAAGCAATTCGTCGCATTCGATCTGAAACGCTCGAGATGCTTTTCAAAACACTTGTAACAGTTTTTGGTCCTTAATTTCATTCTAATCTAATTCACGTGTCGTCAAAATTTCTAGTTTTCTTTGGTGCTTGAAACTATTGTATAAACTTGTTAAAGGTAATCAAATCTAACCGCGGAACACTCCTTCTCGACTTGAAGATCGCAGAATGTAAACAGCAATCCCATCATTTTCCGATATGGCACTGGCCACTCGTGATAATCGAAGACAGTGACAGCAACATACTTAAAAAAAAGGATTAAGAACAATTAATTTCAATTACCGCTCGTTCTTCAACACTCCAAAGACGTTTTTCAAGTTCGTCGAGTCTTTTGACTAAATCAGCAGTTATCTCTTCGCGTTCTGGTATATCGTTGAAGTCAAGAAAAGTATTAAAATCGTTGTCACTGTCTTCAGTTTTGTTGTCGACATCATCATCGTCGTCGTCCTCATACGCCATCAACACCTTCGTCAACTCGTTACGAAGTTCTAACTCCAATCTCATTTGAAGTCCCACAAGTCTGAAAAAAAACAATATTAGAAGGATGGAGATGAAAGAAGAGGGATGAGAAAAATTGTATCTATAATACATTTTTCGATGGCAGGAAGGAGCCCATGGGCGGATCTTGATATCTAGAAGATTCAAAAATATTTGACGAGATGTTTCAGAAAAATTGGACGTGCCACGCCCTATTATTAGCAAAATGCAGAATTCAATGAGCTTCATGGGTTTTCTTTGTCTTGTGGGCACAGAGACATGAGAGTTGTTTGAACCAAAAGAAATATAAGCTTTACCAAAAGAATTATTTAAAAACCATCTCACGCTCTGGATGAGAAACATTAATTAAATTCTTGAAATATTGCTTTGAGCAAAACAGAAGAGATTATACTGGAATCAATGGGGGAAGAAAGTTTTGTGACTATTAAAAGAATTTTTTCCGAAAGATGAACGAATTAAAGCTTCAAATGTAGTTATATTTTTACCACAAAAAGTAGAATAACTAGATTGCAAAAATGTAATAGATTGATTCGGAAACAAGTGTGACAACTTCCGTTTCGAACGAATATAACTGATAAACGCACTTCAAATATTTTTTCTCTCATTTATCAAAGCACATTTATGTTCGTCGCGAGCAAAGAGAAGATCGATTAACTTATTTTTGGGATATTTTCATACCACAAGTGCGATCACAATCTTGAAAGAAACTAGTAATTCTATAGTAATGCACAATTTTATCAAAGTGAATTAGATATATGCATGTTTCATATAAGAAATATTAATTTTTCATTATCTTATTTGTGTATAATTAATTCCAATAATTTAAAACATCGGATACCTTACAAAAAAAAACAACAAAAAATTAGTAAATGTAAATGAAATGATTTTTTCTGAAATTGTGAGCCGGGTAACGGAGTTGATTCGCACGGCAAACTACTAATAAATAAACTTTCGCGAGCGGGACAGGTGGAGATAGGGCGGCGGCTCGTTAGCCAATTTAACCGAAATTCTCACGTCGCTTTATCTTGTTAAGAATTCTCGGCTTACTAGCATTCTCTATACGAAAAAAAAATGAATTTGTGTGTTCTGTCTAATTTTCTCTGAATGGGTTCAACGACATTGAGAAGAGGTTATATTGCTTGATACGTGAGGATGAACGTATTTATTTTTCTTCAATTTCGCAAGAAAATGACAATATTGAAAGTGGAATGACAATGTTTATTTGTTAAAAAAAAACCCCAATTTGTGATAGAAAACGCAGAGGAGATATTTAGATTTAATTTGAAAGAAAATGCAATCTATAGTGATGTAATTAAAAATAATTTGGAAAAAAATTTGTTTTTTTTTTTCATTCATTGACCACTACGTCCCTTTTCGATTAATAGCACCTAAAATGTGTTTTTTTGCTTGTGGTAAGGCATTAAAACATATCGCACTTAAAAACTGAAATATGCTAAATATTATCACATTAATAAAATGCTTTGACATTAAGAAATTTACAGAACAATGTAATTTGTAAATTTATAAATTTAGAAATATTGAAAAGACAACTATTACAGCAAAAAATGATAACCAATAACATTCAAAATAAGAAACTAAGTTTTAGCTATTTGATATTATTGAACGCGCTAGTTTTTCTCCCAGTATTTCATTACATTTTGTCAAATTAAATAGACCCGGATGCACCCGTCAATTTAAATATCAAGTTTTGCAAAAAATTAAGAATCCGAGATTTCGTTTTAACTACGCACGAAGTAACCTCGACATTATTTAATGCGTTTTTTATTGACACGTAAAGCAAATGCAAAGTGTTGTGGAGTTCAAAAAATTCCAAAAGGATTTCATCATTTGTTAATGAAAAAATTGCAATATTTTTCATTATTTAAAATAAAAAAATATCAATTTTTTGAGAGCGCCCGCCAAGATGGTGAAGCATTGGGAACTGAAGAAGACGAGATAATTGTTGCCTATGTCTGTTATTTAGGCTTCGTAGAGCAGTTGAAATGAGATTCATCGTTGCAAATGAATGTGCATATACTACACAAAAATAAAATGACACTTTTGATAAAAAAAGGAAAAAATGAAAAAAAATAACTATAAATTAACATAAAAAAATTTAGCCTTACTTCTGCACAGAAAGTTTCATTTTTCAGCACGTGATCATTCATTACCCATTTCCGGCTAAAAAATTGCATTAACAATTAATTTTTGTCTGGTTCGTTTTGATAGTGAACAATGATATTGTAACTGATCTTGAGATAGCAATCGTTCGCTCAAAAAATATTATTATATGACTATGTACTAAACATAATTAGGTTTTTTATATTGTACGGTAAACAAAATAGTCTATCGCTTCACTCTCGCATCGTATTCATTTTCAAAATTTCTTTTTACTCAAACAATTGTGTTTAAAAAAAGTGAGCAGGCCGTCTTCATATTGCATCACCTTTGTTCAGTTTCACAATTCAATTCTCACAAATTCATTAGAGATCGCGTGGGTGTTATCACTGTTTTCATTTCAATTTTTAATAACGGGCAGGAATATGTCTATTTCTCCTTCTTTCTTTGTTTTATTATAAAACGTTTTCAGTGTGGTTCCTCCGTCACATTCAAACGCCCACATATTCTGGTTAGATACGATGAGGAAATATAAATTCAACGGTTCTATCTGATGCACATTGTGTCTGGCTGTCGTAAGGGGGAAAGAACGATTCACCATTTTCTCACCTCTAACCTTTTCCCCTCAATGTTGTGGATTTGATTGCTACAATTATTGGAAATTGTGTGAAATGTATCAATGATTTATGAAAAGAATATAACGAAAAATTCAAGACTGCTGTCAAAACGGTATTGTCTGAATGTCGACACAAAAATACCATATGACATCAATTAAAATTACTTATAACGAGACAAAAACAAATCATTTTTATTAAATGCTAAAAGAAAATAACAGAAATTATACCGTAATTGAAAATGGATATCTTAATGCATCGTTTCATTAGTTTTCATATCTCAAAGAAAATTGAAACGTTGAAGAAATTAATTTTCAAAATAGGAAAGAAAAAAATGGTAAACGTTTAATTATATCACTATTTTATTTCCAATAATTTGAGAATATTCAAGTTAAAAGCAGTAAACCTACTTTCAACATCTAAAAAGTGGCGAAACATCCGTTCCATCAATATTACGTGAATTCAAGTATAGAAAATATGGTGCATTTAAATATTTGAGTATTATCTAATTCAGATTTTTAAAATAAAAATGTAACCAAACATTGTTACATATATTATTACAAGTATAAACCAGTTAATTTCTCTCAGTTAAAAATATTTTGCATTTTTTTTTATTTTTCTTCATTTCCGGAGATTTTGTATCTTTAACAGTTCAAAGGAAATAAATAACATGTTTTTAGTATTATAATTTTCTATTTACGGTTTAACCAGTAATTATTTCATGTTTTCCCAAAATTTGTCGTTTCGAGAACACGATGCGTACAATCTTCGTATAAAATATGTATTAGAAACGACAATTTTATTAGGCCATTAAACAAAATATTTTTCTTTGATTTTTCATTTTTTATAAAGCCACAAACAATCATACATTTTTGCGTCATCTTTTCACGTTGTTCAATTGAAAATACAATCAAATTACGAAATTTTAACAATTTTAGAACATAATTTAGCTAACCAGGTATAAAAAGAAACTTGAAACTCAAATTCTGAAATAATTTCACAATTTCCCCTGTTTCACTAAAATCTTGCAAAATTAAATTCTTAACGTTTAGAAAGATATCTATTTCTGGATTCAGCATTCGCTTCCTTGCCAAATTTAAAACATCCGCGTCAAGATTTGGACTCATGTGACCAAACAACAAATCGACATCACATGAGAAGTCAGAGCATTTCTGAAATAAACAACAATTTGGTAATGAATGATTTTTCTTTTGTTTCATTTTTAATATAAATTCTGAAGCAAATATTTGATCACACAAATTAATAGCAATGAAAACCATACAAAATGACCAGAAACGAATGGTGCAAATAAACAGCCCATATATGTTATTGGTTTTGAAGAAAAATTAATAATTAATTCGATTTTTGTTTGACCATTTATAACATTTCATTTCATTGCAGTAAGATCATAAATAACCATTTGGTTTTTTTTCTCAAAGTTTAGTTGTAGATGCGTTTGCTAAAATGGGGCACACTAGTAAGCATATTTTCGCAGCGGGTGGCATTCAATTCTCACCGACCTTCTCCGCATAGCCATACACCGTTGTTGTGTTCGTTTCCCCACTCTACTAGTCAACGTTGTGAATTTCTTCCCAAAAAATGGCGGAAAACCCATGAGCCTTTGCTGATCGATTTTGAACCCTTTTCCATATATGTATATTGCATGAAAGAGTGTTGTGAAAAGAGAGCTCGTGGCATTTTGCCGCGCTCTCCGATATTCGCTTGCATTCTCGCCGCCGCTTTTTCGAATGCCATCTCTGCGTGTCGTTGTCTTATTTTTCGTTCTCTATCAACATGGAAATTTGGTGTGCAGTCAATTTTAAGATTTTCGTTGGTTTTAAAAATGTTTACTCAGGTCAGTTCCACGTGTCTTATATTACTGGGACGCGACTAATTTGTCATAAAGAAAAACCTCTCATGTTTTGCAAATCCTTGTACATTTGCATCATAATAGGAAATGTGCATTCTTTAAATTCCACTAGGTCTCCCGTGATAGCTTAAAATTTGTTATCTAGCTTTAATTTTTGGAGAATAAATATGCAACGATTGCGACATCTTTCCGCCAAAATTTTCAATTATCCCTGGAAGTTAGATTTGTTGCTGATATTACAAGTTAACGTGAAAAGAACACAATATTAGACTTATTGAAAAATACAAGTGTTTGATAATTTTTTTATTGAAGTTGAATTAAATGACACTTATATAAAAACACGTAAAATATTGATCACAGTTTTCTGTTTGTTTCCCGATTCTCTATGTTTGCTGAAGAATCTTCGTTTTGCGCATTTCACAGCTGATTTTCTTTTGAGTAATTCCTAATGGTTTTGATATCAGAAGGATGTCGAATTTTTGTTGCTTTCCCGTTAATTAATTACTTTCAAAAAAAAATGAATGAAAGGAACTTATTGGAGGAGAATCTGACAAACACCATTACATAATGAAAACATGATGTCGCATTGACAATGATACAACCACACGTAAGTCTATTCACATTTTAAATATTTTATAATCCATCGACAAAAATGACGTTTTTGTTCAGTTTGGTTTTATTTGAATAAGCATGGAAATCTACGTATAATATGAATTTGTTTAATGGATCATGACTATTAAAGAATATTTAATGATTTTCAGTATTCATGAATTATTCTGTTATTTCGCACGACGCATGTTTTTCTAATACGAAAATAGAATTAAAAAGGGCATCGCTTCCATTAAATTTTCTGCGGACTATCAGAATTGATCCGAATGAAACTGCGCTCAACTTTAATTTTTTTCGCCACAATGGTGTTGTGCTACATTTTATTATTCAGAAAAAAATGTTATCACACGTTATCAGATCAAATAGAAACCACGAATGAAACAACAACTAAACTAGAAAATATTTCCAATTATTCACCATTCATAAACTTAGAAAAATCATTAGTTATGAATTGTCAAAGTAGACAACATTGGTCTCGAAGGGAAGCAGCTTTAGTATTTCATTTGCATATTAGCATCGCCAATAAATCATTTCATTCAGGTATTTAAAAATATTCAAAGTAATCTTCGAAAAATTATCGGTAATTCAAAATTGCTCACCTTCCCTTCCAATATATACCTATTTCAGCGTCAGTCAATTTAATTCTAATTTTTCACCAATAGCGTTACTGCATTTTTTACATATATGGGCTCGTGTTTTCCAAATTGTTTTTTCTCAATCTGCACATCTTTCTTTTGCAAACACTTCACGTTTTATTCTCAAGATGAAATATATACTTATATTCGTTTTTTTCTGTCATGCAGCAGTTTCTTTTTCATTAAGCGAAAGTATTCAGAAGACCAGTTATCGATAATCTTTCTTCGCAGAAGTTGTGTCGGCAGGTTTTGTAATCTCAGTTTTTTAATGACTTAATATGACTTTAACTACCTGCTGTTTTTTTAAATTTGTAATTGAAGGTTTACCCTTTGACTCAAGAAAATACGCGTTTAATTTTCAATTCGATTCTTCATTTGAACGTGTCCAGTCAATTTTCTGCATCTGCCCCACACGTTTTGTCCTTCGTCCATTTATTTTGTCGAGAAAAACACTGCCATTCGTTTTGTACTAAAGTGACGTACATATATATGTGCGTTTTGCGTTCGCTCTCTTCATTGCTAATTCCAGCCACTCACCAAACCAAAACCAACAATTGCGGAATTGTTAAAATGCGCTTATAGCGGCATTTTGAAGAAACCATGATTCAGCAGCTAGCAGCACAAAATTGGTTTTATTTGATTGATGGCTAAATTACACCTTTACTCATTCAAAAATGCTACAAGACATTTAGTTTTTCCATTCTACCTCGATTTTGCTTTTTTTCTCTTTTTTCCACTAGATGATTATTCCTTAATAATATATAATAATTTTATGTAATATGACAAATTAAACTGACTTTTGAAAAGAAATTTTAAACGCATGTATGGATCAATCATCGAGCTTTTCAATTAGTCTATCAATTCAATTTGTATTCGACGTGTTATTCACGTCATGCAGCGCTAAAGTGCATTTATTCAAAATTTAATCATTGTTCTTTTTGGGTTTTCAATTGTTTTTCTGATTTCATAACGCTATTCAATTAATACTTCATACTTTTTAAAGGATACAGCAAGAACTTAATAATGCATCATTTTAGATTGTGGAATGATATTTTTTTTTAGTATATTTTTTCATCGTACGTATTGACTTTTTAGTCAAGGTTTTATTTTCGAAACTAAATCTGTCATTGATTTTATGTAATATCTCTGGAATACTTTGTGAGTTCTGCATTAGAATAAAATTTGAAGCAGAGTATATTCCAAAGGACAAGGTGTTTTTCATTGCACAATTGATAAACGTTAAATGTTTTCAAGGCAACGCAAATTTTTAAAACATCACTTTACTTCTGGATTCCTAATAAAAAAGGTTACACTAAATACCTTCATTATAGAAATAAACAGAAAACATCCGAATACATTTAAAAATGCTTATTTTTAACCACTTGCCATTCAAATCATGTTTTTCTTTTGACGCGGGCTCATAAAAAATCTTGAAATTTCTGCGAACTTGAAATTACAGGGTGTCATTTAAGTTCCCGCACAAAAGTTTGACGCCATGAAGAGCTTGGCTGATGCACTTTTCGTGCACCAATACAACTTATTTTTGTTAAATAAGGTATATTTTACTTACTTTCCAAGTTTCACCTCATTCGGATGTGTTTCCGAGAAATGACGAAGGCTAACATCCATCGCGCTTCCATTATCGAACTTCATAAGCAAAATGTGAGCCCGAGAGACATCATTCAACGGGTCGGTGTGCCTCGTAGAACGGTTTACGACACCATCAAACGTTTCAAGGAGCTAAATACGACCAGTGACCTTCCCAGACAAGGAAGACTCGTCTCAGTAACCACTCCTCAGAAGATCAACGCCGTCAAATCGAGGATCATGCGAAACCCCCACAGGAGCATGAGAAAGATGGCGTCAGACATGGGAATGAGCATCTTCGCTATGGAACAAATCGTCAAAACGAAGCTTGTACTGACTCCATATCGTGTCCAAAAAGCGGCAATTCTATCGGCCGTCAACAAGCAGAGACGCGTCGAAAAAGCAAAACGACTTCTTGCTCGCACGCGGTCTGGAGAACACCTCGTCACTGTCTTCTCCGACGAGAAGCTGTTCACTGTGGAGACGGCATTCTACTCACAAAATCATTGAGTACTTGCCCAGACATCCCAGCAAGCTTCTGAGAAAGGAAGAACAATTCATCCAGCCTCACATCCTGCCAGTGTGATGGTTTTCGGTGCCATCTGCTCAACAGGGAAGTGCCCCCTGGTTTTCGTGGATCAGGGGGGTGAAAGTGAACAAAGAAGTCTACGTTCGGGACATTTTGGAGAAGCATGTGATGCCCTGGACCCAAACGCATTTCGGTGGGCAAAAATGGGTCTTTCAGCGGGACGGAGCACTCGCCCACACTGCCAAAACTACTGAGGAGTGGTGTCAGACCCATTTTCCCGACTTCATCAAGTCATCCGAATAGCCTGATTGCTCCCCAGACCTGAACCCGCTTGACTTTTCCGTGATGGGGTCTTGCAGGAGAAGGTCAACGCAAAAGCCCACTAAAATGTAGAGACTCTGAAGAAGACATTACTGGCGGAATGGCACAATCTTTCCATCGAATACCTGCGTACCACAGTCGAATCCTACCCAAAGCGTCTTCGTGAAGTCATAGCTGCGAAAGGAGGCCGAATCGAAAAGAGTTAATAGATAAATATTTGTTATACTATAGATAAAAAATATTTCGAGTCTCGTTTGATTTGGACTTTTAGTTTCAGAAATATACGTCTTCAAAGTTGTGCGGGAACTTAAATGACACCCTGTAAGTGTTACATGCATATTTTGGAATATTAATCATTTTCAATTAACTTAAAAATGAGTTGAATTTGAATTAACGATCAATTATTGAAATCTATTGAAAATGTATGTCACAAGTTTACCAAAATATATCTATTGAAGAGATTCAAAACAGTTTGGAATTGAATTTTTTCATAAAATCTCACGATATCCGATGTTCTATTTTATTGCCTGCTTACTAAAACCATTGTTTACATAATCTTTCAATGCGATGGATTAAGTGTGTGTGTTTTTTTTCAATTTAATATGGGTTTTTGTGGTTGCCCAATAATGGTCAATCCTCTCACTAGGTTTGTCCGGTCATATCCAGTTTGAATCATTTTTTGCTACCGTTAACTTTTTCGTTATTCGCCATTAGATGATGTAGGCTGATTCAGTTTTCAAATTTTCGATTTTGCAGCAATCGTTTCTGCAAAAATGAGAATGAATTAAAATGAGTGATAAAGAGAAAGAATTGTGCCCACGATTGATCGACTTTTTGGTTATTGTCGGGAAACGTAATCGAGCAAGGTATCTTTCCTTCAGTATAAATATGTAACAATGACTTATTTATTTTGTCAGAACAACCAGCCAAGCTAATCAAGATGCGCCGATACCGCACTCAACGGTGACGTATCCGGAAATTTTGCGAAGGTACAATTTGAGTTGTCAAGTTAGAGCAGCTGAAATTCTATTATCGAAGTAGCAACAACATTAAAGATTAAAGTAGCTCTAATGGGGTATGGAAAGAAGTAAAATCGTCTTCTTAAAAAACCCCTTTTATTTAAGAAAATCGGCGAACACGGTCATTAATGACAATTTATTTTCGCTTCACTATTTTAGTACTGGCACTTCATTGATAAAACATTGATGCAATTTTACATCGATATCAAAGAGATAACTTTTTCAGATATCCAACGGACGATCATAAAGATTTCATTCTACCAACAGATGTTACTGTCTTCTGTCAACCTGAAGGATGCAATACCACAAGTAATTAAACAGATATTCTTGCAGCAATTATTGAAGACATTTCGTAGGTTCACGTTATCACCATGGTGCACGGAAAGAACCTCAGTTTTTTGTATTCATGCTCACAGAAAAGGATTCAGCCAAAATACGTTACGGAATTTGTTTGAACTTCTACCAGTCATTTGATCGAATGGTGGTTGACAATGTGGTAAAAGGAAACCAGAAACGGTATTATTAGATGATAAATGGAAAACGAAAAAAAGATTAATTTAGGAATGATTATCCACTGTCGCTAACAAGTCTCACATTTATTTCTCACCATCCTTTCGTGTCAATATTCCACAAAATTCTCGTATTGCTCAAAAAAATTATTGATAGCTGCAATCATCGCGCTGCTCAAGCCACCGGCCATAAGTAAGTTGCAAAAATAACAAACATTGTTTTATGAAACTGCTTTTAGAAACATTATTTGGGCCATACTTACTGGTCATTGGAACGAACAGATACCAGTTGTTGCGATGAAGGAAATCAAAGAAATTGAAACTTGGATTCTTATGCTTCTGAGCTCACCGGTACCTGTGCCAGGAAAAACCAAAGTTCAAATAGAAGCAATGCCGATGGATATCACGCAAATTTACGAATTTGCGTTGCCAGACCACACTAGATTCACTCTAATTGATTTTCCATTGCATATCCCATTTGAACTTCTTGGTGTTGATATGGCGCTCAGAGTTTTAACAGCGGCAATGCTTGAATTCAAAGTAATTTTGATCAAGGGTCTGATTTCAGACGAACGGTTTTCTTCAGGTTGTTATTCAATCACGAAATTATAACGCAGTGAGCATGTGTATTCTTTCAATCGTGGCTCTTTTATATCCATTGGAATACATGTTTCCGGTAATTCCATTGCTGCCAGCTTACATGCCTTCTGCCGAACAGCTTCTTCTGGCACCAACGCCATTTTTAATTGGTGTTCCAGCTTCTTTCTTTCACCACAGAAAAATTCAAGAGCTTCCTTCTGACGTCATACTAGTTGATTTGGACTCGAACTGCCTTCAAGTACCCGATGAGCTTTACATACCTGATCTACCTGAACCAGACGCATCGCAGTTAAAGGTTTAAAAACTTCACATAACTTTTTTTTACACTAAATTTGAAGGCAAAAATCAAAAGTGCTCTAAATAGCATGACATCTGTCGCTTCCGAAAACTCCTCTAGTCGAGAAGCCGCTTATATAATGGATATTGATGCAGTTGACGTAGCTTGTAGAGTTGCGATGGTAGAATTTAAAAACAATGCTGATTAACTACTAAATCAATTAAGGTGCAATTCTTTAATTCACCAAATGTCTTTGGTCACTTCAGCGAGCATACCAGAACACTCCGTTTATATCCAAGACCAGTTGTGTCCCTTCAGGCCGAATCATTCCTTCGGAGTAGGCCGCAATGTACACAGTTCATAACGGATTTGTGCAGGTTGAACAAATCAAATCAATATTGGAAATGTCATTATTATTTTTAGAACACAAGCTGTTGAATACTTTGCGGAATGTTCACTTTGCCCAAAAAATGAGACTTTTGTGAGAGTTCAAGCAGGAATCGAAAGCCCTGAACAAGTTGGAGATAAGCCAAAATGGTTCAGTGAAAATCTCATGCCTGTACATTTCATGGTTTCTGTTCAATTTATAGTAAATGTTAACCAAAAATCCTACTCAGGTTTATCCAAATGATTCGACTATTGCAACTGCATATGTCGAGTATACACGGGAATCAGACACTGATAGCGAAGGTGAAGATGAATTATCAATTGACAGCAATAGCAGTATGGATGATTTGGTTTTTGACGGAAATGAAGATAATCGTAGTTCTGGTATCAATAACAATAAAACGTGGCAATTTTTACGCTCTCAGGTCATGAAGAAGTTACAAAGCCGCTAGCAGAAGTTAATGACGTTTATCACGAACCAATGTCTTTGGAACTTCCTCCAAGCGAAAGTGCGGTCTCTATTGAAAGCTCAATAAGCAGCGGACGATCGAGTCCTGCTTCTTCTTTATCAACTTCTGCAATGGATAGCGAAGCCGATTTTGCAAGACTCGCCGAGAATTTAGCATTGAAATCCAACTCGCAGGGATCTTTTTCATTTGATCATGGAAGTGATTCGGATTACGAAACTACGCCGGTGTCTCAAAGACGAAAAACTATTCATTCCGAAACGAGTTCGGTTAGTTCCCCAGTGTCAAAACAAAGTAGCAACAGCAAAGGCTCTAAACTCAAGGTATCCTTAATTGTTCCATAACTTATTTCTATGTATGTTGCTATTCAGGGATTTGCAAACTTTTCCGATTCAAGTGAGAAAGTTCTCGGCCCTTCTTTTATGAATGCAATTAATGGCTATGCCGAAAAAAGCCATAGTGTGTTCAGCTCAGTAATCAATAAAACCGCTCCGAAAGCTCAAGCACTTAAAGAGCGCACAATGAAGCCAATTGCCAATAAGATAGAGCAAAGTCAGCATATGGTTATGACGAAGGCGATTCCAAATCCAACTAGTCAACAAACGGCTATTCAACAAAGGTATGTATATTATTTGATTCGAAGCTCTAGAGCTGTTGACATTCAAAATTTCAGCAAAAATCAGCAATTGGTTAGAGAATATTGCGATCAAGCATTGGCTGGACAAAGCGTCGGAATGTTCTCAGCTCCAAAATTGAGAAGGTATTATAGAATTCTAAAATTGTTTCTATTGTGAATTCTTTTGTTATTTAGATTAATGGAAGATGAATCGCTAAGAGAACTTGTGTGTTCAAAACTCAACCTAGGGCTTGAATTCAAACTTTCGGAAGATGAATATGTCAAAGAGATAGTAAGAATCACGGCGCTCATTTGCCATACACCTAATCAATTCAGCAACTAACCAAATCGCAATTCAAAGCTTACGTAAAAATTTTAAAAGCTTGTCTGGAAGGAATTGAAGTTTCCTTTAATACGCCAGGATGTTGCGGCTTGGCAAGTGTTTTCCATGTGCTTGAAATTGCACACACCCATTATTGGTGCATGTCTGGAGGAGATACCGCTATCACGCCAAGTAGTTCCGTATCAAGCACCGTAAGCATTTTTCTTAAATGCCTAATCTTATATATCTATCATTTTTAGTTGGTTACCCCTTCTGAATCTACCTATGATATGCCCAAATTTGATCAGTCACATGCCAAATTACCAGCAAGCACAATTGATCTACGAACGCCTACAAAACCAGTTGGCTTACCGCTTAATGGAGATGCGATCAAACCATCCGATGTCCCAACAGAACCGTTAACGACGCGAGCTCCGCCTCCTATTCCGCCAAGAGAACCACCACCGGTGCCAAAACGAACAGCTCCACCTTCGGGTGCTCCACCACATAGCGTACCACCAACGGTGCCACCACCAATCCCAAGGAGACCCCCTCCACTGCCTCCTAGACCGGGAGCTGCAAAGAAAGAATCATCTGAACCAATCAAAGATATTCCAAAAGAGCTTCCTCCTCCGCTTCCTACTTCAGTGACTCCAAGCGATACTTCAGCACGGCCACAACCGTCGACATTTCAACAACCCGAGCAACCGCTATCAGCAGCACAAGAAACGAAGCAATGCAAGTCATCACAACCACAGCCTCCGCATTCACAATTAAAATCACCGCCAACCTCGTTACCCGTAACAAAGGGTGAACCACAAAAAGTGCTTCCAACACCTAGCGAACCTATGAGACATTACATTTATCAAGAATTAATTCGTATGATTCTTGAAAAATTTAAACCCCTATCAATTTATTTCAGTTGGAAATCAAAATCCTATTTGGCAGAACCCACAATTTTGGGAAAATGCATTTGTAGACTTAGTTGCTCAGGAGCGAGAAATTGTTGGTATGGATCAAGAACCTTCGGAAATGATCGACAGGTTGCTAATTATTGTATTTTAAGATCACATTTCTTTCTTTAGATATGCTACTTTGAATGAGTCAGAAAAGAAAAGATTAGAGCTTGAAGAGGATCGACTTCTCTCGACGTTACTTCACAATATGACGGCCTACATGATTATGTGCGGTACAGGACAACGAGCATTGCAGCAAAAAGTCCGCCGTCTTCTTGGAAAAGCTCATATTGGTCTAGTTTGCTCAAAAGAAATTAACAAGCTACTTGATGAGCTCCCGTCGACGCAGGGTAACTTCATTCCACTAAAGCCATTAGGATCTCGCTTGGTTCAAAAACACTCGTTCACGGTGTATCCTGAACCAAACCAAGAGGGTGAAATGATGTTTATGGAAGTATGTAGAAAATGAATTGAATGAAATACATAAACTATTTAAGGTGTGTGATGATGCGGTTGTTCTGCGTTCTGTTACAGGAGCTGTAACTGAACGATGGTGGTATGAGAGACTTGTGAATATGACGTATTCGCCAAAAACAAAAGTGTTGTGCTTGTGGCGACGTCATGAGGATAAAGTGCATATGCACAAATTCCATACAAAGAAAGTGGGAATTTCAAAGAGTTAGCATGAAGTTTAAACCATAAATATATTTTAAGTGCCGCGAACTGTATCAATGCATGAAAACGGCTATGGAACGAGCTGCGGCAAGAGGAAAGGTGTCGGTAGAAGGAAGAGCTCTTGGAGGAGAGTTCCCAATTCATGACACCGAAACCAATCAAGGAGGACTACTGCAGGTTCGAAACATTTTGAGAGAAAGAGAGAGAAACGTTGAAATATGATGTGAAATTATTAAAGGTTCGATGTGATGGAGTCGCCGTTATATTTGCAAACAGTAAAATATTCATTGATCTCGCGAAGATTAAGAAGTGCAATACGTTTGGTGGTAATGTGTTTCTACTTGAAGAATATGGTATAGTAATTATAAATGAAAAAGTACCATAAACGAGAATATAAGTTCAGATCGCAAGAAAGGAGAACTTGTTCAGCGACGCTATTATTCCCAAATGGTAAATATATATACATATGATTCGATATGCGTGCATCTAATACTATTCGATATTCACTCCCTTCACTTATTCTTATTATTCGCACATTAGTTGTGTGGTGAATGACTATCCTATTTATTTATCGACTATTATTTTTTGTCTTTCACTTCTGTGTCAATGTCGTGATGTTTTTTTGCAGGCTACTGAAATTGCATGGGCAATGCATCGTGTATTTAGTGTGCAGTTTGCGATTGCATGCCAAAAAAGGTATAACTCTCACAAGCCGCTCAAAGTAACACCGGAAATGTGGACGGACTCATCAACGGAATGCACGATGACGGAATGTTTGGAGGGCATGTTAGATGATCTTGAATCGCTAACATTTATTCAGCCAACACTGCCTGAAAGCAAAAAATAACCTATAATTTTGCTTGTGTTTTATACTTGTGAGTTTGTATTTGGTCTGAATATTCACCGCGGGGGAACGTTTCGAGAAGATTACTTGTTTCTTTTATTGCAGGCGGATCAGATTTGCTACGCGGTACTTTGCGTGTTCTCATTAGCTGCTGCTGGTCATAAGAAATCATTGGAACAAGGGGATCATTCAAGCCAAAACCATAACAGCACCAACCATCACCATCATCATTAATCGTTTAATTCCTTGTTTAACACAATTTTCCTAAACATTTATTTCGTTAAAATTATTTTAAATAGTAGCTTAGATTCAATACTATAGTGTCATCCCGAACTCTAGCGTTTTCGTGTGAACAGTTTTGAGTTCCATTAAATTTATTGTAGTAAGCAACTAATTTATTTTTTTAAACAATGGTCTCTTCTCATTATTCGCATGTACCCTTATTTCTAGAGCTATTTAATAAACTGAACTTTATTATAAAAGTAAGTATTGAACACACTATTCGGCAATAAGATTTATTTATGGTTTGCTATTGTAGCAAATAACCGAAATTAGGACTTAGCTTTAAAATTTTATTGATCATTCAAGATTTGCTGAGATGCTAAGATATATATGTATTTTTTCGAATACTATTAATCATTGGGTCGGCATGTCAAAGAACTCGTGGTTTTCTGCGCAAAAAGGGAAGCGAAATTGGAAGAATATGTCAATCTTGAATTACGGACGACCGAGCACACTAATCGCGATGTGTAGGTCCCAGAGCTCTCTTCAATCATAGTGTTGAACAATTCAACTTACACATACTCACACGAATGCAAAAAGTGCACAATGATAGTGCCTGAAATACCAATAATGTGCAATTCCCAAAGCTGATTTTCCATTTTCGTAATTTTTCTTCACGCTTTTCTTTCTTTTGTCTTTGGTGTCAAAGGAATATCAATTTTCACGTAACCCATTCGAGACACTTTGAAATGTTTCTTAAATTTCCCTGTTCGATTCCAAAAAGAATAGCATTGAGGAACACCCACTCAATTCCAATTAAATGCCCAAATCTCTTCAATAAAGTTTTATCGTCGCAATTTTGTGAAAGCACAATCTTAGAAGCTGATTCGAACCAACTAAAATCTACAATTTATGGCACACTTTGGATCCGTCGAAAAACCAATTCTTTTTTTTTCTCAAAATTTATTTGTTCGCTTCTTTTCACATACCATTTTATATATTTTATGAGTTTTAGTTTCCATTAACAACGAAGGGCTCTTTTGAATAGTCTGTAAGAAAATTTCACTGGAAATTTCATAATATTGAAATTATTAATTTTTCAATGTCTATTAAAGCGGCTTGGTGTTCTTTGGAAATGTTGAGAACAATTTTATAACAACTTTTGAATATTTAGAATGTTCTATTTATGGTAGTTTTAGTTTCTTCCAATTTTTGAAAATTATCGAAACGTATAATTTTGGGCATCATAAAAAAGACAATATGCCACTGCGTGTACTACTCATGTCCGTTTCAATATTTAGTGTATTCTTGCAGTCAACCTTTCACGAATCCAATTCCCAACGACCATTATCCTGTCTACTGTAATTCGAAAACGCGTGACGTTTTGTTGTTGAGCAATTATTTCTTGGCGTCTCTGAGTCAGATTGATTCCATCAAACCTTTCATTTCTAGTGTGAAATATCGTATGTCTTTCATCGTCTTGACAAATTGCCGTTTTACGAGATGAACAGCTTCATATTTATGAAAACGCAAATGGGAGGGGTTTTGAGAGCTCGAAATTCCATCAATGTTCAGTTCTTTGACTTCTGAGACATTAATTTTTTCAATGATTTTTTACGGAGTTTACGTACTCACTATAGTACGGCTTCCAGTTTTGGTTGAATTTCCCATTCAAGTAAATCTTCCACATCGCTTAATACCAAATAAATGAGAAAATAGAAAATTTGAAGACGGGAATAGTGGAATCACAATTTTATTAATGACTAACAGAAAAAACTATTGTATTCTATGTCAAGATTTGAGAATATATTTGAAAAAAAATATTTATATCCAGTATATACATACATCAATGTCAACTGAATACTATGAACTATTAATTTTCCTTTCAAACCAACCTGTTAAGTTTTTCCTTTAAACGCTATTTAATTCTTATTAAATTTTATTTATTTTTATTAAATGTCTATCTCAAATTTCTTTTTTTCTAATATTTAGTTCGAAACAACTTTGTTAATCGTAAATAAATTTTTGAACTCTACCATATTTTACGACATGTACTCCCAACTAGGCCAATAAATTTCTAGAAATTGCCGTTCGATGCTCACATCTAGAGCACAAGAACAATTATTTTGTCGAAAATGAATGGGTTGCTCAATGACGTTCGTATTTTCTTGGAAAACGTGCACTATTTGGTAGATCTAGAATCTAGAGTTGGCAATTCAGATCATAACGCCCGATACATATATTCATAATGTATTAAGGCAAATATTATTGGTTGTATGGTAAAAAATTATAAAGACTTAATAACGAATGTCAAATAATAAGTACCATCTTAAAATTGTTCATTTATTTGTTTTTTTTTTGTTTTGTTTTTATTTTTTTCTGTGAGAAATAAAAATACGCAGCAAAGTGTTTATTAAGAAGACCCACTCGTCTCTTGTTTATATTAATTCTTCAACACAACAAACCCAATGTGGGTTTAAACATTTCACACTATTGTGTTTTTTGTTGCAGAACATACCTGGAATCTTAGAGCCAACTTTATAATGAGCCACGAATCGCATACGTCTTGAATAATTTCCAATGAGTCGGTGTCGCGTTTCAGATTATTCTTGGCGTTATCCTACGTAGTGATCAGTTTTTTTTTCTTCTCGAGACGTTCATGGAACAGCACCTATCTTATTACTCGTAATTTTAGATTTACTCGAGAAACTTGATATGCCGTATTCGACTAATCTTTTAATTGATATATGCATTCCCAGCAATTTTACGTGAGCATTCGAAAAAAAATGAATTTTTCGATCAATGGTTAAAAAAATCGATAAACATTCAACAGTTTCATTTTAGAACAAAATGGACAACGCGCTTCCGCTAAATAAAGGTCATTATTTTCGCAAACAATACCATTAATTTCTCTTTAAACCATTAAGCCTGTGTTATTGGGAGAGGAAATAAAATGGATATAGCTTTTTTTCTGACCATTTGAATGCACGCAACCGGATATCGCCTTTACGTTTCCATTGAGCACGAAATCGAATTTGAAAAAACGTGTTCCTTTTATGCATTTCTTGCTTCTAAAAGCATTCATTTTTGATGTAATAATCGATCAATCAGAAATATTTGACAATCGAATAAAATTTACTATTTCTAGGATTTCTTTCTGATTCGAATGTTCTTGTAAATAAAAATGGAATGTTTTTCTATTGTCATTAAAAATATACGCAAGGTATTGAAGTCGGTTATTCGACGTCGTAAATGCACTTTTAAAGCACAATTTCTGATTATTGCAGAAATGATTGGCAAATCGTCTTCAAAGTTCTTTCAAATGAAATATCATTACTTACTTAGTTAATGGTAAAAATATTCCATGAATAAATTTAATGATTATTGAATCACGCATTATGCTAATTTAGTTGGATGTGTTACATTACCTTTTCTAGTTGAACATTTTGAAGAAGAGAGTAGAATAATCCACGCCCTTTCGATGTTCGGTTTTAATTTTTTTTTGTTAAATTTAACTATTGCTATTATATATATATATATACATGTTTTAAAATTTGCCAATTTCTAGAGCAGCTTGGAATAATTTAGTAATAATTCTACATCATCGAAATTGAATAAAAATGATTTCACCAAAACTAAGTTTTATAATTAAAATTTTGAAATTGTTGTGAGTCTTTAGCGATTTTCCGAAGAAAAAAAGCTGCACCCCTCGCTTTCTATTACTTTAACTTAAACATTAGCGATTTTTTGTGAGTTTATTAAATATTCTTTTCATAAAAATTCGTTCGACGATCATACTCAAATCGGAAGCTTCATTGATTTGAGAATCATTTTGTTTTTTTTTTTCATTTCTTTTTATTACATTTATTACGTCACCAACTTCTTTTTTTATATCTCAAATTTTAATAACGCTTTGATTATTGCCTGAGGTAGTTATTTCGCCACATTCCCGTTTATTTGTTCAAGTTTATTTGTGAGAAGAAGAAAATCTTGGTGAAAATTCGCTGTGTTAAAATCGAGAAAAAAAGTGGGTGGAGTGAAACCTGAATGTCGACGACCTTCCAACCGAAACCACCACCGTCGGATAAGATGTGAAAAATTTTAAAAATTCACACTAGAATATGAAAATTGTGTCTCAGTTCTGACATTTAATATTCTTTTGTCTGGTTTTTCACAGTTTCAAGAAGTGTTGAACACTGAGTTATTCCGGGGAAGTGCTCCCAATTTTTAAGCACGACTTTCTTCGAAAAAATTTCTCATATTTTTTTAACAAGAGAGGGAGAGAGGGAGAGTGCGGTACTCTAGTTACATTCGAAGGAATACATGAACCTCAGCGTACAATAAACATTTTTCCTATATTTTTCGTATAAAATGTCATTTTACAGCTCGCTTTTCCTATCAATGTTCTCGTGTTTCTTCCTCGTTTTTTTTCTTTGACATCATATGATATTATCATTTTGGCATTCACAAATTCACGTTTTTTTGATGTATTCAAATTTGTTGAGATATAGTAAATTTGTATTGCAATTTCATCATTTACGCTGTTGTTTCAGAGGTCATTCCGCGTTGTGGAGACTAACTTTGTTAACAACCAAAAAACACAGCGGGCCACAAGAAGCAATTTGTTCCCGTGTCTGCCAAACGAATATTCTCCAGCAGTTTTATTCTTTTGACAAGTTCGAATGAATGCAACATTCTGGAATGATACGAATGATCTCGTCATTGACGGAAATGCAACAGAATCTGAAAGGTCGGTTATTTTAAAAACTTGCCTATTTTTGATTAAAAAGAATCACCTATTGGTTCACTTCAATACAGTGCGTGGCAATGCCATTTAAGTAAAGTGTTTTGATTTTGCATATACTTTAATATGATGGAGAAATTATTTCTATTATTTATCTTATATTGATTGAGAAATTATTTTTTAAAATTTTTATTAGTGAGCATATTTATAAACCAATAGAGAACATTCAAACTTGTCATTAAATTGTTTAAAATCCACATGAATTTAT